TTCAAAGGTAACTACTGTCAAATATAGTGACTGTGTATTTTTGTAGTCCCATCCAGTTGACATACAGAAAAAAATGCCATGATGTGAATGACCAATTTATCTGGAAGATAGCTCTCTTTTCTTTTTAAATAGTGTCATAGGATCTTTAATGTCCATCGGAACAGAAATATTGGGGGGGTTGAAATTCTTCAGGTTTCATGGTGTGCAAATTTTGGACTGGACCAAGGCTGTGCATGTCACATTTATGTTACTGCATTGATTGTGTAAATTGTTTTAATTAAAAAGTGTGTCTATTTATTTGTAATGGAAATATAATAATAATCCTGCATTTGATATAGCCCTTTTCACGTTTTCTAGACGTCTCAAAGCACTTCACAGAATACTGTAAAGTGAATTGACTGTATATTTTGTGGTCGAAACACAGCAGCCAATTGCACACAGCAGTATCCCACAAACAGTGGTGGATTGAAGTGACCATTTTTTTTCTCTGCATGTTATAACGCAAAGCTGAACATATGGAGCAAAAAAAGGATGCCTTTGTATGCTGCACAAACTGTGATTTTTGAGACACAAGGAAATGTGCATATATCAGTGGCATGCATATGTGAAACTCTGAATCAAGTTTGGATATTCTGAAGGGTGTTGATGACATGTGCAGACACCCAGCTGACCAAAACAATTTTTTTGTAAATTGTTGTAAATTTAAAAATTGAACATTAGTTTATAAGGAAACATTTTGCTCTTATGAAACCTCGATATTGTTTCTTTTATATTCAAAGAAATTGAATGCATATATTCTGGGGCTTTACTTTCTTCTCTCTTATCAAAGCCCTTCGCATGATTGCTGTAAAGGATAGGGTCTGTTTACTTTGCAGGCAAAATTGAATAAATTAAACAAAGTTGAGATCTGATTGCAGACTTCAAAGTTAAAGAATTTGCATGTTAAAAGTGACAAACACATTTCTTTATATTACATATTGTTAGAATTTACAATGTAATTTGCAATTATACTGGTTGTAAGCACTTGTTTGCATCAGATCTGTTTTTTGTGTAAGTCTGTCCTAACCAGTTATCACCTGCCTTTAGATACAGGTAATCTTCAACCTTTTAGGTCTGAAAAAACATGTTTTAGTCAAGGACACAAAAGCAGTTTAGCACCTACTTGAAACTTTAAAAGCTTTTCGGGTTCAATTAGTCTCCTTAAATATTCAAGAAACCCTTATCTTTAGATCATAACTGCAAACATGAGTGTAACACTTTGCTCACTTGTAAAAGTAGTTAGTTAGATGTTTTAAGAGTATTCAGCAACAACACAGTGATAACTAAACATATAATAATAATATCAATGTTTTAATAAATTTGCTTAAAATTCAGCTCTGATCAAGCTACAGGACTTCACGTATATGTAGGAAGGGGCAAGACGTATACACAGATTTGAAAAACAAAACAAGGATCTAAAAACTCAACTCTCTAAGGTACTGAGTACTTGAACTATACATTTCTAAAACCTAGCATATATTTATAACAAATTGCAGCAAATTATTACTGCTCCATCAGCGTTCACATTTTTTATAGGATTAATATATTTTATAGGATATTAAATAGACTAGAAACCTTTCCTGATAAGATTGACATTGAGTCTCAGTAGCCATATGGCTGCAGCCAATAGGTTTTGGCTTCTTTTAGGAATGTTGGGAAAAGTTTGCTTCTGAGCAGAACAAGAGTGACTTTAGATATTGCTGACTGAATGAAACAAGTTGGGGGCCCTTTCCCTGGCATTGCTTGTCACCATGGCTCAGTTGGTAGCACTCTCAACTCTGAGTCAGAAGGTTTGTGGGTTCAAGCCCCATGTCGGGTTAGTTCATGGCTGACAGTCTACTGCTGGGGGAGCGCTACATTGCCAAAGGTATTTCAGAGGAGATGTTAAGTGCCCTACCTGCCTTTTACATGAAGGATCCAATGTTATTATTCAAAAAATAAAGGGAGATATTCCCAGTGTTCTGGCTAACAATATTCCATTTAGAAATTAGTCATTTTTATAAGGATATGACTTAAAATAAATAAAGCAATAACAAATTTTAATTTCCTTTCCTCTTTTTTCAGAGGAATCCTTAATATTTCTTACCAATGCAAAACCAACTGCTGTTATATATTCTTCACCTGCTAACAATGTAAAATCCATTTGAATATACGTAACAGCTAAATCCAGAATGATGCTATGAGGTTCTTTTACATTAAAATTACAGTAGATATTCTTAAGATATGATTTTAATAATGTGAACATGTCACCATATAAACCTAGTTACTCCCACTGGTGCCTTGGATCTGGACTCACCTCCTTATAAAATATATTGATTCACTGGAAAAAGTGTTGAAACTGCAGTCTTATCTTCAAAGTTTAGGTCATGGCATTCATCAGATTTAAAAGATAACAGTAGAACAGATTCAGTCAATTAAATACACTTTGAAGTAAGAACTCACTTTCCACCCATTTTGGCATCAACATTAATGCTAGCAATTATCACACTTTGAGAAAAAGACATTTTTGTGATATGTGCTAAGCTTACTTTTTGCAAATTTCATTTGGTCCTACTATCTTATTTAGAAAAAAACAGCTTAGGTTACTTCATCTATGTCAATTAATATTCTAAAGACATCAATGAGATTCCTGCTGCCCCTACCCCAACAACCACATCCACCCTCTTTCTAGACTGGATCAGCGCGATTGCGCTTATCTGTGCTTCTTGTCATTTGCAGAGTTTATTTGACTCTGATTTATTTTGTTGAGGCTTTTTTTTAAAACCTATCTTCTTTGTACCTGTGACTAGAGCACTACCACTCTAAAATTAGCTACCTGAAAAATGTTTGTCTTGATTTATGCCTTTTACAAGAAGAATATCACGAGGTACAGTGAACTAGCATAATATTTGAATGGAGTATGGACAGATGGAATAAATGGTCTGCTAACTAAGTCCTACATGGAATGCATTTACCCCTCTGTATCACCCACAATAAGTTCCCCAAACTGGCAAACAATTGACATCAAATTGGCAATCTCATTCAATGATCAGCTATTGTGGGAAATGAAACAATTCATATTGCTCAAGTAAGGAATGCTCTTGAAGGTGGATTTAAGGGGCATAGTTAAGATCTACTCCATATCTGATATGTCATAATTGACATGGAATGTTTATAACTGTTAATATAAACTCAGTTATAGAAGAAACGTTGCTGAGGTGTGGTATTCATAACAGAGTTAATGGGGGCCATCCAATTGAACAATGTATACCCAAGTTATTTAATCTGTTTATCTATGAATAATACACTATGAAAGATTATCCCAGTGCCTTGGAACATCCTCCTGACGTGAAAAGCACTATACAAATGTAATTTGTTGTTTGTTGTTATTTCAAAAGACAAGTACAAAACATTCCAAGTTAAATGAAAGTCCAATAATCTACTGAGTTATTGTATTATCATACAATATACATAGGAACATATTTTTATTCTTTAAAATGAAAGCAGAGCATTACCTTTAGGTTTTCTTTGATTCAGATTCCTTTGGTCTGATTTTCAAGATGACAGCTACCAATTGTATAGCACAGGAACCATAAATTGACAGGTCCAAATGTATTTTTTTATGGAAAATATTTTCATATCTTTGAATGCATTCATTACAGCCTTGATGCCTTGTTTGTATCAAGATACAAACAAAATTTGGGCGCATTTCTGATGTGGGTGATGAGGAAATTAACTGTCTTGTCCTATTGGGCGCGGCACACTTACCATGATGTTGGCTGCAGCTGTTGTTGGCACCTATGAAAATTGATATTCTTTCCAAATCTACTCCAAACTATATGATTTCATAATGCATGTTTTTTTTAAAAAAGCTCTAGTCAAACTTTGTTCTCAGTGATGTAAAGTTTGTTTTTGGAAATATGTTCTATGACATAACAGTCTGCCTTGGGATGTCCTCCTGACAGGAAATAAATGCAAGCCGTTGTTGGTGGTGACTGCACCAGTTTCTACCCAATTTTGTGACATCTCTGCAGAAAGAATACCTTATGTACTGACAATGCAAATCTTCTTTCTGCAGAACTGTAGTTTGCTATCAGGAGGGCAAATTAAATTGAATCAAACCTATCTTAATGTTTAAAGAGCTGATGTACTTTTTTCCATTGGTACTCTGATAATCTAAGGGTAATTGCGATAGAATGATTTGGTGTTGGTGGATTTCAGCACATTTTGAAATAAATAATATCTAAAATAGTATTTTAATAATTTTTAAAACTAAAGTTATCAAACTATAAGAATGTATGGCAACCATAATTTGTTGCAATGATCAAAATGCACACTGAAAATTTCCACAAAAGGAGCACTCTTCTAAAGCAAATAACTCATCGTAGTTTAAAGATCCGATTGAGCATATAACCCTGTCTCAGTTTCAATTAACACGTTTAGGAATTGATTTCTTTGCAGCTTACATGTTTCAAACTGTTCAGAAACGGCCATAAGAGCTAACATTGTGGAATTGTTCATCATTTCCTACAAGCACCTTAGCCATTGCTTACATACATAAATTTCTGATCTGAAAGCCAGATATTAATGAGCCAGAATTCATGCTGGTGATTTCATATTAAAACAAATCACACTCATCTTGTTTCGTCTATGACCACGAGTGCAGAAAAAGTAATTTGCATCTGCATTTTCAATTGACTTGTTTCTATTTGTCAAAAGATCACCAAATTATAAACATTATTTATAACATGAATTAATTGCATGGGAAATTGTAGAGAGGATGAAACTCTTCTATCAAATGCAGTGTCAAGACAACTGGGGCATTAATTGCATTGACCAGTCAGATACATGGTAACTATTCAAATGTATTAATAAATATATTGGGCTGCACAACAAAAGTGTTATTTCAACAGGCCATTTGACACATTATAAGTAAGAAGCTGTCGTAGCTTCCTTCTGAAGGTTTATCCGTCAACTGATACTTTGGAGGAATGCTGGGCAAGAGAGCAGACCGAATGGAGATGTGAGAGCACTGTGAAGCTACATGCACTCCTCTATGGACGGACTTCGATCTCTCCACTGACGACCCTTTCGAGTCCATGGAAGCCACCTTCAATAACTTCGGGGTACGTGTTTGCATTCCTTCTCCACCTCTAAAGGGTTTCAGCAGAAGTTCGAAACCCTCTGCAGCACAGGAGTTAAAACGCATGAGTCGCGCTCACTCCCTCTCCTACTCACACTGACGCTGAACCGCAAGATGATTGACAACAGCAGCAGTTGCTCTTGTAAAACTTTCCTGAAGTAAAAGGTTGGGGTTTTTTTTTAAAAAATGAAAACACACCGAATCTTGCATTGGTGTTAAATCCCCCCCCCCCCACCCCCCAAAAAAAAATAACCCGCAGATCTCTCGTGGCTAAACGTGATAAGGAAATGTTAAAACTTCGTGGCTTTTTATAAAAGACAAACCCGACTGAACACTCACTGAGGCCTGAAAGTAGCCGCAGTCGCCTCACGTGGGGATTGGTCTGCGGGACGAGGTCGGTGGCTTTTCCCCGCCCCCCGGGCACTGAACGCCTTGTGGCACAACCCGGTATTTAAGGCGCTGTCTGTCGCCCGCAAAAGCCAACTGCGGAACTAAGGAGCTTCCTTGTGCACCTTGAGGGTCAAGTGTTGTCGAACCACCACCACCTCCTCCTCCTCCTCCTCCCCACCACCACCCCCAGTCCGAAACGGATCCGTACAAATGGACAACGAACGAGCAGTGAGTGGATAAGAGGGAGGGAAGGAGGTGCAAAGCGCCGGGTTGGTGTGAAAGGAAGGCTGTCGAGCGGATTTGGGAGTCCTGTCAGGGTGTTTATTTTTCAGGGTGGGAGGGGGGGAGTCCTCTAATGTGCCAATGTTGTTCGGGGATTATAACCGGACTGTTAATCGGGCAAAGAGGAGGTATGTTAAGGCCCGTGAGGGGGGGAGAGAGAGAGAGGGGTGTGGTTGGTTGGTTAGTTAGTTGTTGGTGGTGGTGACTGCGTGGCTCCCATTTCGACGCGGCCACACACCACCACCACCACCACAACAACAACACACACACACGCGCACGTGTTTGGACATCGGGTTATAAGTTCAGACTCGGCACGTTTTGTTTTGAGATGATGTTGATGATGATGGGGAGAGAAACTCATGTCGTTCGTTCGGATGGACTCGCTTTTAGTCGACTTCTACCGCCGCCGCCGCTTCCGAAGGTGTGAAAATCCAGTCGGAAGAACTTTCGAGAAGAGTGTTCCCGCGCGAGGCGTTTCGGGCGGGGGATTGGGTTGCGCCTGTGGGTTTTTTTAAAAAAATATATATATAAGTTAACTGGAAGCTTTAACTCACCTTTTATTTCAATTATTTCTACCGCCACACGGGACAGGATGGAAGCCTTTTAACCCACTCTCTCTCTCTCTCCATCTCTCTCGCCTCTCCCGGTTAGGGTTCGTGGCCACCGATCCCGCCCTCGCGCGACCCTTTTTATAACCAACCGTCCCCGTCACGTTTTTTTTTCAAAAAAATTAATAAACATATATATATGATTAAAGATGATAATTCTATTACACTTATCATCATCATCATTGTTATTAATAATAATATAAATTTGCCGATTAAAACGCTGCCCCGTTTGCCGTTGAACTTGGCTCCTGACCTCCTCCTACACCGTCGTGGGTTTTTTTTCTTGTCGAGAGCCGTCGAACTTTTGCGGCTCCCGAGCGCCGCCGCCCTGCGGCTCTTTCCCGCCAAAAGCGCGGGGCAGCGCCGCGCCGTTATTCCAGTTCAGGCCGGTTCAGGCCGGACCCGACCGCATTGCCCCCCCCCCTCTCCGCCATTGCCCCCCCCTCTCCGCCATTGCCCCCCCCCCCCTCTCCGCCATTGCCCCCCACCCCCTCCCATTCACCTCAGTCATGGCACCGAACTACACCCAAACTGACTGAAAACCCCGGGCGGGGCCCAACTTGAGGACGTTATAGACTGTCGTGAGTGAACCTGACCGTTTCTCCCCCCCCCCCCACCCCATAGCCCCCACCCCCACAGCCTCCGACGTGAAAGGCGCTCTATAATAAATGGTAATTTTGGTTGTGGTTTTGGTGAGTCGCTTTTTTTAAAAAAAAAAAAAAAAATTTTTGTACGAAGAGAATTTTCTTTATTATATATTTAAAAAAACTAACCCGAATGCAAGGATTTATCATCGTTATTCCCGTTAATAACGGGCTTTCGAGCTGGTCGGCGGATAGAAGCTCTGGGCGGCCTCGACGTGCCAGGGTGTGTTTTGGGGGTCGCCATGTTTGGGGGCGGGGGGGGGGAGGGGAAGAAGGAGTTGGTTAGTGGTGGTGGTGGTGGGGGAGGGTTAATAAATCACATCTGTAGGGGAGGATGCCCTGAAATGCTGGACACCTGAGCTGCGGTTGGGGTGTGGAGGGCAAGAAGGCTGGGGGGTTGGGGGGGGGGGGGGTAGGAGGGTGGCCGAAGGCGCGGTCACAGAGGAGGGTCTTGAGACGGGTTTAGGTGGAGGGACTGGGATGGAATTCCAGAGGGTGGGAGGGTGCCCATGGGGACCTTCAATCAAATGAATTCTCCCCAAAGTTGAAGGTTATTACCTGGGGCTGGAAACCCGGCAAAACACCAGAGGAGGGTTCTCTTAAAAATGATGTTTTAATTTTCATCATTAATTGAAATAGAAGTGACCTACACCTGGTTCTTGAGTGCACACGTAAGTAAGGCTTGTAAGTGGTGGTATTGGAGAAGTTAAATCCGTTTCCATGTGCAGCGAGGTACGATAGGTACAACAATACCTTCTGTAAAAACAAATTAGAATTTTTTAATGAAGAGGTGAATTATTATTAGGTATTAGTGTGTCCTCTTGGGAGTGGTATTAATTAATCACTTCATAATTTTTCCATTTACTGACATATTGAGTCTTCCAAATCGCAGGTTTCACCAATCATATTCACGCGTTTTCTATATTCGAGGTTAACAATAGTACACTGTTCAGTTTTCTAGTAGTTTTTGTGTTTGAAAATTGTTCACTTTTTTTCTTAATTTGTCTTATTTGTTTGGAATGTTTTATACGTATTAGGACTTTGTTAGAAACCTGTTAATGTTTCCAGTAAAAATACTATTATAAAAATAAATTTATTGAAACATTAGAATACATTTATTATTTCTGTTTCATATTATAACTCAGCGTGGTCCAACAGGTGCTCTCTCTCCTCTCATGCACATACTTTCAATTACTCACTCCACTTCTCACACTCTTCCCTCTTAATCACTCTCTCCCTTCCTCACTCTTTCTCCCCCCCCCCCCCCCCTCTCTTCCCCCTCTCTCCCAATCAGCCGTGCGTTTCACTATCTGCATGGCCATTGCAAAGGATGCGGTTGTAAGAGTCGCGCTTGCCTTCCTGACAGACTACAGTAACACCAGGAATTATTTTCAATCTCTGCACTGTGATGCTGGTTCCTGCCGCTGCCCTGGGAAGGGCGTTCACCAGGGAAGGAGTGGAATTTGGAAATGGTCTTGGGCCGGATGTGGCCCACGGGCGGCCAGCTGGCCCAGCCTGGATGTAGCCCGCAGACCTTTCTCAAAATAGGGAATCCAGCCCGCAGCAACTAAAAGGTTGGATCTCTGTTACAACTTATTGATCCCAACTCGCTGGAATAATTAGAGGAGAAAAACGCAATTGTAATTGAAACCAAAACTTGTTAAAAATATTCCCTGTACTCGCACTTTACTATTTTTTTTCAATTTTCACTTTCTTCTGTGTTCATATTCACTTTAGATTTGCCCTTTTATACCTATTGTGACGATTTCTAAATTTGCTTAATTTAAAATATTTTGTAAGTTTCTTTCAAACTGGCTAAGCACTGTCCTTTTTGGAAGATTGGATTACATTTTTTATAAAAACGTTATTCATTCAAAAACAATTTATAGGGTAGTTTTGTAGCTGATCGAACAATTCACTGGTTAGAAAGTTACTGGATTGCTAGATGAGGACTATCGAGTGTATATAATCTACTTGCATTTTTAATCGTGGTATAGTATGATAAATGGAGCAAAGGGCCTGGATTGAGTAGACGGTATACACTGAGATTTTAAAAATAATTTGTTTTGTGTTTTGCCTGAGGGAAGGAATCCCAAGTTTTAGTAGTGTGAATGGAAGAATATACTGTTTGTGAGCAAACAAAAAGGTTTCTAAATTCCTTTTCAATAATCGTTCTTCAAAATTTCTGGCATTATGTTTTCAGCTTTTACATCTGAGGTGATTTCTTTATTTTACTTTTACAGCAGCAGAATTCTAATTTGACACAAATGGATTCTTCATCTCCATCCCCAAACCCAATGTCACCCGTGCCAATGAACAATAGCAATTCAACTAGTGCCCCAAGATTTGGAACCGTCATTCCTAATCGTATTTTTGTAGGAGGAATTGATTTTAAGGTTAGTCTCCTATTGAACCTAATAATGTAAATTGTAACTGCAGTATTCTTAAATTGTTCACTTTGTTGTAATCATTATTTAAATCAAGCTTTTCTTCTTTTAACAGACAAATGAAAATGATCTAAGGAATTTTTTTTCTCAGTATGGAACAGTTAAAGAAGTCAAAATAGTCAATGACAGAGCAGGAGTTTCTAAGGGGTGAGTATAGTTTTGTCATTTTGAATAAAGGAACAATGGTAAATTATTTTTGATTCTTCCAGAAACAGGGAAGGGGATAGCAGAAAAACAGATATTTCCTTGTTTGATTCCTGTATTTCTCAATAGAAGTCTGGAAATTGGACAAGAAGTGAATCCTTTGAATTTTAGCTATCCTTCAAACATTTCAGGAGTCTATTGAAGGACACAGTAAAGACTTAATTTATCCACTTCTGAATGTAACTTTTTTGGAGGACTTTCAGAATCTCTGTTAAAATATCAAGCTCCTTAACATAAGCCCTGTTTATAGTTATTAAAAACATGTTCTTTTGTAACTTGCGAGAAGAAAAATCCTATGAAAAACATCAGAAGAATAATAGTTTTAGATGTGAATTTATAATTAGTTCTGGCATATAGAAAATATACATTGGGACTATTGCTCTTCCACATTTAAGAAAGATTTATGTTAACAATTCTGAACTTCAAGGCATTATTTCCTCATCCCTTCTTGGTTGTGGGTGTAGAAAGGCGTTAGATGGCGTTAAGATGGAAAACGAGAATGTTTCTCTCAATGTGCAGTGTTTTCTTTCTCCAGATGCTAGCAAGGGAAATCTGTTCAAATGTTTTGCTGATGTTCTGGAGGTACGCTAGCATACATTCATTGGCCCTTAAATGTGAAAATGGCTGGTGCGCACAGATGAGAATCATTTCAGACAGCTCTCCGCTGTGCAGAGACCTATGAGCCTCAATGTAGCTACCAGATAAGGAAAAAGTCCTGTGAGATGATTGTAACATCTCCACTCTATTTTCCCTAGTCTGTGTCCCATTTGCTGAGGTATTACCTTCCCAAGTGCATGTGCTAGTAGGGAGACAACCTAAAAATAAAATGTTTTGATTGTTCCTCAGCTGAAAAGAACATCCCTTTGAGGAATAGTGCTTACTCCCATGTGCAATCATGTAAGCTAAAATGAAACTTCTTCTATACAGCTGAAAGTAGTAAATACTTTTATTTGAAGCTTTTTGCCCCTTTATTGCATTCCTCTTTTAAAGGTGCTGATTCTCACTGTTATGCTTCAACAGTATATCAGCTTGATATAGCGGCTTTAATGTTGAAACTTTTCAATGAGCTTCTCAATTTGCTCGGAGAAAGGCCTCACAAACAGCCTTGAAGTGAATTAACAAATTTATCTTGGTTGTTGGGCAAGAAACCGACAAAATTTGCTTCTATTTTGAATCGCCTTTAATGCTTTCCTTATTGTCTTACGTCACTGCAACCAAGACACTGGTTTTAGCTTCATCAGAAGGATGGTATGTTCTAATAATGAAGTGCCTTCCAGTGCTGTGTTGGAGTGTCACTTTGGACTGATCTGATTTGGTGCTTGAATTCCCCCAATTTCTAACCCAAGCACCGAGAGTGCAATTCTCAGCAGTAAGAAATATTGTTAGATTTCTCCTGTACCCTGTCTAAACTTGAGAATTTATGGCCAGTTGTACTACCCTAATTGCTAACTTAAAACAAATGGGAATTATCATAGCAACCTTTGTGCCTCATCAAGCAGTGCCCACCAGGCCTCAAAGGAGTTTTTCTTGCATGAAATTTTAAACAAAAAATCTACAGAAGATACAAAATGGTTTGATTTAGATTTATTTTTGGTTGTGGAAGAATTGTTTTTTAAATTGATGTAGTGTCTTATGTTGTCCAGATGTCTCGAATCACTTCACAGGATTTTTCTGTAAAGGTAGTGACTGTTTTGTTGGCGAACGCAGCAGCCAATTTGCTGTGAGATCTTTAACGTTCCACCTGAACAGGGAGACTCGGTGTAACATCTAAACAAACTAAAGTAGTTTACCTGGCTGTTTCAAAGTTAGTTTGTCTAGGATGTCAAAAGTGTCTCAGTGATGATTTCCCTTTCTATTTTTCGTCCCCCTTCTGGGAGGTCTTTGGTGTTCATCCACGCATCACAGCAAAATTTGGTAAGTGGGGCACCTTGACCCACTATTCTATACCAACAACAACTTGCATTTATATAGCGCCCTTTATGCATGGTGGTGTCCTGTGCTAGTTAGTACTTTATTGCCCATGTGCTACCTTGGGAAATATAGAACTAGTGTTTTACGTGTATTGATGAGTGTCTTTTGTGCGATTAGGATACTTTTTTGTGCAGCAAATCTTTGGGTCTGAATAGTTCAGCAGATTAGGTGTGGACTCTGCCTGCTTATTTTAATAATGATAATCCTTGCATTAGATATAGTGCCTTATGTTGTTCAGATGACTGAAAGCGTTTCACAAGATGTACTGTAAACTGGATTGACTGCAAATTTTGTGGGGGAAACGTGGCACAGCAATGACCCACAAATAGACATTTTATTCCCATGTTGGTCAGGAATTTCCAGGAAAGGTTAGCATTGTACTTGCTATATGTTGTAGCTATATTTAGGATCCACTCTAGTGTTTGATCTGACTCTTATCTGCAAAATAATAGATATTTTAAAGCAAATTCATGCAATATTTTCTTGATTGTAAAGTTCATGAAAATGATTCTTGCTGTGATGGTGCATGTTGACTTTAACGTTTAAGTGAAACTTTACCACATCTGGCATTTGTAGTAAATTGGCTCAATGTATGTGGAAGTTGAACCTACTACAGTTGTGGCCTTTTTCAATGTTTGAATGTTGTTCAGCTTCCTGCTACAAAGCTCCCTTTATGTCCCTCATATCTTTTTTTCTGACCTTAGTTATTTTTGTTCGTGTTTATATTTTGTCTCAAATCAGTTTTTGGTGCTTCCTCTATTTAATAGCTGAAATGTTGTTTAGACCAAGGCTCTTGTATATAGTTGGGATCTAGATGATCGCCTGAAAAGAAGACAACGATATGGTGTCACACTTTGTATGGGATAAGTGTCCCGAATATATTTTTTCTGTGTGACAGAGTAGGTGGGATTTTAACTGCATTCAATGATTGAGGTAGATTATACCAAAGGTAGGTAACAAGATTTTGAGCAGTTCTGGAAAAGCTTGCAGTTGATCTTCTGGCAAAAATATATTTTAAAATGATTTACTATGTTTTTCATAAGTTATTTTAAACTGTAATTACATTTGCAACATTACCATGTTCTGCATATTTCATTAGCAGTTCAAAGTTTGTTTACTTAAAATGAAAACTGGAGGGTTTTGAAGTACTGTACTGCCAATTATCAGTTATCTCATTTACTTCATTTAAGAAGCCTTGTTAAAATATACTTAGATTCATGTTCATATTCTTGTGCACACATTTCTTTAGGTATGGGTTTATTACTTTTGAAACACAGGAAGACGCTCAAAAAATTTTACAAGAGGTAAGAGTTAATCATTAATAATTTTGCAAAATGCTGTTATCTCTTAGAGTAATACATTTGTTTTACACGTACTAGTCCTCCCTAACGCCTGTAACTGTCATGGAAAAAGAATCATCATTTCAAGTGCTTTGAAATGTGTGTTTCATACATGCATCTGAAATGATCTCTGTTATATATACATACATGTGACATGATCTCTGTTTAAGAGCTGAGATGTTGTTCAGAACAAGGCTCTTGTATATAGTTGGGGGATCTAGACGATCACCTGAAAAGAAGACAATGATATGCTGTCACACTTTGTATGAATAAGTGTCCCTTCTGCAATGACCTACCCTCCTTGGTCACCTTTCTAAACAACTCCCTCTCGGCCATCCTCGACACGCTTGCCCTAGTCATCTCCTGCTGGTGCACCAACCACCTCCCCTCCCCAAAATCTCAGGTGCCCTCTGCCGAATGCACCTGGCGCAAATCCAAATTAACGGTTCAACATCAGATCCGGTAGAGCTCCACGAAGAACTACTGCTCTACCCTCACCTCAGCTAAATCATCCTTTTATTCCAAAATCATCTTGGAAGCTAAGGATAACCCCAGACTCTTCAACCATAACCCAACTCATGTCCACCCTCCCATGCCTCTGCCATCCTTTCCAATACCTTGAGTCAAATGCATCCACTCCCTGGCACCTCCCTACCTCTCCGACCTCCCCACTCCACCACCCGGTGCATCCGCTTGACTGGCACTGACCTCCAGTTTGTCCCTCGCACCCTCCACTATTGGACATTGCGCTTTCAGTCACTACGCCCTGAAACTCGAACACTCTCCCTCAATCCCTCTGCTTTGCTCCCTCTCTCCCCTTAAAGTCCTGCCTGAAAACCTTCCTCTTCGACCGTGCTTACAGCCGCCTTTCCACACACCCCACCTTGGCTTGGAGACAGGCCTCTAGCCCCTGTACCAGCACCCTGTCCCCACCTCATGCTTCCCTTCCAGCTCCCTCATCCCTCCACACTTTTGACCCCGTTTCTCTCCCCCCCCCCCCCCCCCCCCCCCTTACTCACCTCCATTTCCTGTATGAAACCCACCACCTGCTCTCTTAAGCTCATCCCTACCCCTCTCTTCAGCTCCCAGCTCCACCTCCTTTCCCCTGTAGTAGCAGACCTTGTTAACCTCTTCCTATCCAATGGCACTTGTACCCATCCCCCTAAAGACAACTGTCATCATGCCTGCCTTCAAAAAAAAAACTTCTCTTGACCCATCTCTGCTCTCCAACTACCATCCGATTCCAAATCTTCTTTAACAAAGATCATGGAATGAGTGGTCACTTCCCAGCTTCACTTTTTCCCAGCGTTCCCTCAATGAACCTCCAAACTGGGTTTTGTGCTGCCCACAGCACAGACAGCCCTGGTCAAAGTGACAAATTACATTCTGTCCACCTGCGACCGGAGTTATCGTGTCTCATCCTTCTCGACCTCGGCTGCTTTCATTACTGTTGACACTCTATTCTTCGCCACTTCTCCTCTCACCTCCACCTCAATGGTTCTGTTCTTGCCTGGTTCTAAATCTACCTTTCCCACCTTCTGCACTTCATGGCCATCAATGGCTTCTCCTCTAGCTGCTGCCTGCACTGTCGCATGTATTATCTTGAGATGCAGTTATGCTGTACCTACAAGTAACTATAAATAAATAATGTTAAGAGCAGATGCTAATGTAATAATATTAAATTGATAACACCATCATAACTTTGTCAATTGTTTATGCATCCTGGCTCCTCACGGATCGGTTCCCAACCTCTGTGCTGAACAGCCTATGGTAGTCTCGGCAGCATCTGATGCCCTCCAGTGGTGGAGACTGGTTTTAAAAAAACTCGCTGATACAGTGTTAGTTGCATATCAGCAGCGGTGGTGCTGATCAGAATCTCTTCCCCATCTGGGGGAGGCCTAGGCATGGAGAATTGGCTGCACATTATTACACATAAACTGGCTTGTTCAAATTGTTCTGGATTGCTAAAAAGGAACAAATAAAGGGGAGCACAAAATATGGACAAACCACACAACAGTTCCAAACAAAACTGCCTCATCACATCAACAAATCTCAATGGGTAGCTAATCACTGTCATTTGTAGGTTTTGAGCGAAACGAAACCATGAGAAAAATGACCAATTCTGAAGAATTGTTGGCAAAGGTTACTGGGAAAAATTCCCTTTTCTTTTTCAATATGATGGATCTTCAACACCATTTAAAAAAGGCAAATGAGAACCTAAATTTAATGTCTCACCCAAAAGTCAAAACCTCCCATTAACACAGCTCTGGAATGTCATTTTAGCCTTGAGTCCCAATGTGAGACTTGAATTCGCAACTTTCTCATAAGGGAAAGTGGAAAGGGAAACTGAGCAAGCAAACCTCATCTGATACAAACAGGGTGGAAATGCATTTGATTCCCATTTTTCATAAGTGGGTTTAACCAAGAAGTATACCTCAAAAGAAAACGTATCTTCTGGTGTCCTAAATTAGGGATGTTTTATTTAACAATATAGTGGTTCAAGTTTAATATTGAAGAATAACATTGTTCAACTTCTATTGATGTATTTGTGTGATTTGTACAAAAAGTACAAAACCAATTTGATCGGAGTTTTCATAAACTTTGGTAGTTCTAATTTTTTTTCCAGGGAATGATTACTCAATTTCACAAATGCACCATTTCTCAAATTAATCTCAAAATCTTTGTTTAACATAGACATTTTTCTATATGTAGCATTGTAAAATGAGGTAATTTATATTTAGTCCTTATTATTCCAGGCTGAAAAGTTGAATTATAAAGATAAAAAACTCAACATTGGCCCTGCAATAAGAAAACAACAAGTGGGCATTCCACGTAAGTATATTTGCAATCCCCATTGACTGGTCAAATTAAGTGTTTCATAGCATTAGTATTGGAAAGTACCAAAAAAAAACTTTCATTTGTTGCAAGATCACCTGCCTGCTCAGGGTGTGAATTTCTTAAAAGAATATCTTAAATATTTTTGCCATGCTTTTGCAATAATATCCTACTTGTATGTACAGTAACTTCCTTCAAAGAATAATGAAAAGCAAAAAAAACTTGAATCTTCTGTTTGCCTAGCAGTAAGTAGGTTCCCAGCTGTTAGTCGATTGTCGGATTGCTTTCGGGGGGGCAGTAATAATCCCCCAAAATTTGGGTCACTCAATCCATAACAACAAATTACATTTGTGTAGCGCCTTTCGCATCAGGAAGAGGTCCCAAGGCGCTGGACAGTCAGGGATCTGCATCCGAGCTGGTGGTTGGGATCAGGATGGGTGAAGGATGGGGAGAGAGATAGGAAGGTAACCGAAGGCACGATCGAAGAGGAGGGTCTTGAAGGAGGCAAGGAAGGGGGTGAGGCAGAAGGACTGCTGGATGGAATTCCAGAGGGTGGGGGCAGATACTGAAGGTCCGCCTGCCAATGGTGGGGTGGGGGACGTGAAGCATGCGGACAGGTCAGTAACGATTTAGGAGGTCACAGGTAGGAAGATCAAGGCCGTGAAAGGCTTTGACGGTGAGGACCAGGATCTTGGACTGTATCCACAACTGTTTGCGTGACATGACTATGCTCACTTGGCTGCTGCGTTTCTCCCACAAAATACAGTCAATCCACTTTACAGTATATTCGGTGAAGCTCTTTGAGACGTCTCAATCAACGAAGTGATAAGGCGTTATGTCAAATGTAAAGATTTTTTTAGGATCTCATAATTTTGTGAGCTATTAGAGGCTATTTTCCACCAATATTTAAAGGAGGTGGAAAATGGACCTCATTAGATAGCTTTATATCTTCAGGAAGCAGTTTTTTTTTATTGACCCTTTTCTATTTACTAAATAGGAACAAGTTTAATGCCAGCAGCTGGAACCATGTATCTAACCACCTCAACTGGATACCCATATACATATCACAATGGAGTGGCTTATTTTCATAGCCCAGAAATGACCTCAGTCCCACAACCTTGGCCTGTAAGTAAACTTATTTGACTCTCTTTGCTTTGGTTGATTTCACAATAGACTGGGGGAGTCGGACTGATTGGGTAGCTCTTCCAAAGCACAGGCATGATGGGCCAAATGGCCCCCTTCTGTGCTGTAATATTCTAAGATAACAGGTTGTAAAAAGTAAGAAATTGCAATTTGCATGTGATAATATTTGAAGTATTGTGAGTCCAATTTTAAGTTTAGAGTTTTGCTTCTCATGAAATGGTTCCACATGAGAACTAAGTTCCATTTTTAAAGTTGTTCAACTTTATTCTTTATCATCAGCCCCGCTCTATTTCCAGCTCACCAGTAATGGTGGCTCATCAAGCTCAACCAATTTATCAGCAGCCAGCATACCACTACCAGGTAGGAATTTATAGCTTGCTATATTAATTGGATCCTTTTAACTTTGCTCAGTCCTGAGGTTTTGATTCCTGAAGAGATTTAATGGAATAGTTTCCTTCATTTTAGAACATATGCCACGTTTGCCCACAAAACACACTGTCACTCCACTTAGCAGTGTATCCTGTGAAGCGCTTTGGGCATCCTCCTGTCGTGAAAGACTAGACCAAATGCAAGGAATATTTTTTTTGTGTATAAAATGACTTGGGAGGGTGTGTAAGTTTGTGGCAATATGCTAATAAACAAAATAATGTAGTTCTAGTTAAATTAAAAATAATTTACTGTCTTTTTCCTAGAAAAGAGGGATATGTGATTTTTTTATTATTCATAATCTCCCCTCAAGGCATTTTGACATAATTGTTGCATCTATTGGGGTATGGTTCAATAGTTATCAACAGTGTTGATCAACAACAAGATTACATTTGTATAGCGCCTTTCACGTCGGGAGGACGTCCCAAGACGCTGATTGGGTAGCTCTTCTAAAGCACAAGCATGATGGGCCAACTCATATGTAAGAGTTGACTGATTATTGACTGGCTATTTGACCATGGGGCCATCACGGTTAAGCCTGACCTGTCCTTACTTGATTATCAACTCAAGTACATCTTCCAGCTAAGTTCTCTGAATAGTTAAAAGAAATCATATATGATTCCTAATACGAGGGTTGTCAGGCTAGTTTTATATAAATATATATATATATATATATAGAGAGAGAGAGAGATTGAAATTAGAATCTTAGTTTGTTTTCATACCACATTGTGTACTTCTTCACTACTAAACCATCAGCAGAATGGCATGATGGAAATGCAAACTTAGTGTTAATCTATGCTAGAGGAAATGGGCTTGCTTCTTCGTTATTTTGAGTGACAAATTTCATCTTGTTTAAAAGGAAAGACACTAAAACTCTGGCTAGCCGGACCAATGGGGAAGTGGGGGAAGAGGTCAGACAAGCTGGAATTTCCAGTAAAATGTAATTACAATGCCAGTACTGGCATTTTTTTTGCAAGAATGCAGGTAAATGCTGATATTTACCAAAAAAGCTATTTTCTGCTTGTGGGATTCCAATACTGAATCCCTGGTCATTGGGAAGGACAGTGAGGTGGGGGTGCATGCTAGGAGACATGGGTCCGTGTGAGACTACCCTCGTGCAAACCTGTGGAAATTATTTTTATTTTCGTTTGGGACCAGCTAGGTTCAAATTCCGGTTACCTGGAGTTTGGTAAGCTGGAGGTTTATTGTGACATTATATCCATTTTAAGCAGGACCCATTTGCTTTTGATATTAAGCTGGTAATATTGGAAAACATCAAGTCTCTGCATATTACAAATGATGTCAATTCTGCAAATCTGAAACAAATTACATAAGGTGGAACTGGATATGCTGCAACAAGGGGTGCTGAAAAGGGTTTCTCTTATTGTTGTTGAAAGTAACTGAATAATATACATTAGCTTGATAAGGCTGTTCTAGCTTTAGTAATCTCAACTTTGTCTTCATAATATACTAAAACCTGTATACTCAGTACAAAAAAGTAAAAACTGATTAGAGGAAAAGATTTCTCTTATTGGTTTGTATTCAGATCTCTTGTCTTCTCAAAAGAGGACAGCAACTTGAGAGAATTCCTGCTCTCAAACAGAAGCTTCTCCTTCAAGCTAAAGGAGATTTAGGATAAAATGTTAACACATTGAATATCTCTTAATCTGTACAATGGCTCAAATGCCTCCAGTCAGCCCACCCAAAGCCACATCCTGGAACAAACAAAGAAGTCATGTTTGTTGTAATAAATAGTTTTCTCTCTAAGCCAGGCTTTTGTGGGATTTTTCTTGCTTTCATTTATGTGATCGGTAGAACTGAGAGGTTTTTTCCAAGCAGCTGGATTATATTTACTAAATCAATGGATTTTTGTACCTCAGCATTTTGTACAGCAGCAGTGTTTTCTCATCTTTCTCAAAAATTGGAATAAATGTCTTCAAGTTTATTTAAAATAAATCATTTTTTGTTTAATTTGCAGGCACCAGCTCATTGTCTTGCAGGACAGTGGCAGTGGGGATTGCCACAGGTAAAAAAATAGTAACTTCAGCTTCTTGTGTAAGCCATTGGCCTGCATCTTTCAGAGGCAACATGCTTTGCAACAATACTGGTTCTACCTGTTTTTCTGAAAACACAATAATGCTGCAGTTTTGGACATTTCGCTTCTCTTTTTGACTATAACTAATTCGACACAACTAGAATTATTCTTTTTGAATAGTTGTTTATAAATAGGAATTGGCTGTCATTCCAAGGGTACAAAATCAACTGGAACATTATCCCTGTATGAAACGTGATTTCTAGGACGGTTGGGTTACATTTACTCTCTATACCACCTTGCTCTTTAATCTTCTGTCAGTAGGCTATTGTAAATTGTTTAACCTTGAAATTAAAGTCAGTAGGTCCTCCGATATTCTAGATGTAACTTTGCAATATACAATAGTCTTATAGTTGCACTAATTTCAAATCTTGACTTGTCTATCTTCCAAATTATCGCCTCTCCCACGGTAAAAATATTCTATTTCCAAAGTTGCCTTACAAATCGAGAATAACCCCAAGCTACTTTATTCCACCTTGAATCACTTCCATCCTTTTCTTCAAGCCCCTTCCATCTTCGCATTTGGCTTCAGATGCAAAAAGGTCTTGAACTTCCTTATCTCAAATGGACAAAATCTGTCTGACCGTAATCCAGTCCTAGCTGTCTCTCTTTTCCAGCACCTGACTAATTTGGATCTCTACCTCGTGTGTTCATAGTCCCTTTTGTGATCTGGAGTTGTTATTTCTACAAAATGCACTCAATTGCATTTTTACTGAGATAACAAATTCACTTCTACATCAGGGTAATGAATAAATGGATGTACAGATGGTATAAAGGAGCAGTTTCACACAACTGTAATAATAAACTGGATTGTTGGGCCCACTCCATTTCACCCAACAAAACATCCAAAGGGTTTTGTCTGACAAACTGTTTACCCCTTTCATAAATGTTTTTGTTTAACTATTTACTTGTTTAATTAGTCACCAGCTTCTACAGCTCCTGTGTTATATCTACAACCACCTGAGATGATTTATCAACCAATGGAATTGCCTCAGATGGTGGATGCGCACTTCCTCCTCTTCCAGTGATGGAAGTCTCTATGCCTGAGGTAAAAATAACTACCGTTAGTTACTTGCTGTTATGTGACTCTGATTCCTTGGTAAGGAATCCTGTTAAAACATGGTAAATTAGACCACTGTCATTTTTAGAATCTGAATAGGTCTTGGGTTGATTCATTTTATTAGTTTATTATTGTATGTTATTGAATTTGATTCAATAGCAATATTTTTGTGTTTTTGGGGTCAGCTTTAGAGTTCATTCTACTTTTTTTTACATTGTATGTACAAGGCCGAACCACTTAATACTTTCCTCAATTGGTGACACCCATAAAACATGGCGTTGGATAACCAGATAATCAACTGGTGTTTAGCAGGATACCGGCATTTTGATAAATCTGAGGCAAAATCCACATATTTAATGTTGCATGCCCAGTTTTATAGGCATTACCATTGAGAATGGAGTCCAAGAGACATTTCTTCTGTATATCAGTGTATATTCAATGTCGAATGAACTGTTAAATTGACCCCAGAGATTTGAGGTTGTGATTCCTATATCTTCAGTTCCTTTCATTAGAACTAAAGAAAGTAAGGGTCCATCAAGCCTACTTCTTCCACAGTAAATGTGTACGCTTATGTGGGTTCTACCTACCTACCCCTACCTACCTGCCCGTACCCTCCGTTCCTCTGGCTCCGGTCTGCTCCACGTCCCCCGCCCCAACCGCCCTACCATCGGTGGTCGGGCCTTCAGCCTCTCAGCCCCCAGGCTCTGGAACTCCATCCCCCAGTGCCTTCGTCTTGCTTCCTCCCTTTCCTCCTTCAAGGCCGGTCTCAAAACCTTTCTCTTTGACCGTGCCTTCAGCTCCCCTCTCGACTCTCTTCCTCCTCCTCGCTCCCTCCCTTCCCTCCCCTCACCCTGACCATTTCCCCCCTCCTCTCTCCCTCCCTTCCCTCCCCTCACCCTGACCATTTCCCCACTGCTCGGGTCATGACCCAACTGTGCAGCGCCTTGGGACGTCCTCCTGACGTGAAAGGCGCTCTATAAATGGAATCTTGTTGAATCTTGTTGTTCTACTTAACTCATTTACTTGTACATAAATTCACCTGATTCTCAAAAAATTATGCAGAAATTAACAATATTCATCTATCCTCACATTGCCATTAATTCCTGCCTGCTGCAGACCACATTCACTTCCCCTTTCCAACTCTTACAGCATAGAATATGATCAGATTGTGTATAGTATTTGATCATCTCTGTCTATTCCTACCCGAAAAAATCTCCAGTGCTTTTCCCAACCAGTTATTTATCCATCTCCTATTAGGAGTGGTCCATTTTTAAATTTGTCTTCCTCTCTTAGGTCTTTCTTGGCTATACAGCATTTTACACTTGATGGTGATAAAGTTAGCAACTTGCTCTGAGCTTTTGTCGATGCTGCTCTAGTCTGCCCTTTAGAAGGTAGGCAAGGATGGGCTGGGGTATTTTTTCCCCCGTCATTTTTTTTTTACCCCCCCCATGGCAAATACACCTGGCTCTACTTGACTTCATTTTAATGGCCACACCATAATGAGGAGCTTGCTATTTAAGTAATGAAAGGAATTCATCCATGTTCCACCACTAGCCAGGATGGATTAGAACACCAATTTACTACACCATTGTGCTACCCATGTCTCTAAACTTTATTTTAACGCAAGCAGTGAATGTAGAGTATTTTGTATCGTTAAAGTGAATTTGAAGGATTTTATTGAATTTATCCTCATCTCTTGTTTTAGCCAATTCTTTTGTATAATGTTTCTTGTATTGTCTTCCCTCTAAGTTAGTCCCACATGTTCCAATGACAGCTTTTCTGAATCGGTCCTATTTAAATATAGCCCTCAGATGTTCCAAATGCCATATCAAGAGGTTATTTATTCCCACTGTGTTCCTTTCCTTACCACATCTGCCACGAAAGTTGTGAATTATCCTGAAGTATGATTCCATGGACAGCAGCAGCTCTTTGTATCATTCTTATTTTGTTCGGCTGCATTATGAGGTTAGTGGAAGCCTTTGTAGCTGAGCCTCACCCTAAGTTCAGCTGGCATCTACTAATGTAGATCTAGTTGATTTGAGGGATAGCATTTGGATGTATTTTATGGCCTCTCTTGTCCAATCTGGGCTGCTTCCTGTGATATTCATGATCTGAGCATCTCTGAAAGGAATGTAACGAATGCTCATTGACGATTTAGAATACTTGATGATAACAAGAAGTAGTTTGAAGAAAAGGAGAAAATATTCTTTGAATTTCAATGGGGGGAATATTCTTCAAATTTCAACCTATTAAAAATAGCTACATTAAATCATTGTTGACTGCATCCCAATATCAATCATGAGACAGTACATGAGCTGTAACTACTATCTTAGTCATCCTTTATGAAAGTGCTAATGCAAATTATCTCAAGCAATTACGTGGCAGTATTGTATACACTTTACAAAGTTTACATGCTTAATACCTAAATGCTGAACTGTACTCTGAATCCCAGCAATAACAACAACAAGCACTTATATAGCACCCTCCATGCAGGGTAGCGTCTCAGAGCGCTTAACATTGGCGGAGCCTGACTCCGAGCCGCGGGGGGAAGAGGCCGTAAGCACGGTCAAAGAGGAAGCATTTCAGGCGGGACTTGAAAATGGGAGAGAGGGGACAAGGCAGCGGGATTGAGGGAGAGGGTGCCAGAGTTTTGGGGTGTAGTGGCTAAAAGTGTGACTTCTAATGGTGGAGTGGAGGGTGCAAGGGAGGTGGATTGGGGAGTTGGGAGGTCGGAGAAGTAGGGAGGTGCCAGAAAGTGAAGGGAATTGAACACGAGTGTGAGGATCTTGAAGTCGATCTGTTCGATGATAGTCAATGGAGCCTGGCCAGAACTGGTGATGTGGGTACAGAGGTTTGATCTGGGTAAATATGCGCCCGGCAGAGTTCTGAATGAGCTGGATCTTTTGAATAGTGGAGCTGGGGAGACCGGCGAGGAGTGCACTTTAATAATCCAGGCGGGAGGTGGCAAGACCCATGTACGAATGTTTTGGCTGCAATTAGGGTAAGGTACGGTCAGAGGCAGGCCATGCGACGGAGATGGAAGCAGGCAGTCCTGGTCAGTGACCGGATGTGGGGAAGGTAGGACAACTGGGGGTCAAACTGGAGGCCTAGATTGTGCACTGGTTCGGTGAGGGAGATCCCAGGGAGGTTGAAGAGTTCAGATCTGCAGGAGTGACAGGAGCCAAGGAGTATGGTTTCTGTCTTGTCCACATTCAGTTGCAGGAAGTTTAGAGTCATCAAGGCCCTGACGTCTTCCAGACAAGCTGATAAAACGTCGGCGGTACTGGAGGAGTCGAAGTAGATTTGTGTGTCATCCGCAGACATGTGGAAGTTTACACTGTGTCTCTGCGGATAGAGCCCTGGGGCACCAGGGGTGGGAGGACAAACCATTTGCCGAGATGAAATGGAGGCAGTTGGTTAACTAGGACTCCAAACATGCATTCCCACTAAAGTGGATAAGGGAAGAGAGGCAGGGAAAAAAAACAAAGTTAACGTGCAACAATGTGTTCCAGGACTTTGGCAAGGAAGGGTAGATTGGAAATGGGCCGGTAGTGTGAGATCAGAGGGATCCAGAATGGGTTTTTTGAGGAGGGGTGTGATAACAGCGTTTTTTATACTGGTAATATCATTGCCATATTTACTTGCTATTCTTGCCATATTGAGAGAAAAAACAAGATATTTGTAAAAAAAAGCGTTTGTTTTTCTGCCTTTCATTTATTGGGTAATGAATATAATTGTTAATGATGGAGATCTTTTTTCCCCTCAGCCTTACACTGATCATGGTGTGCAAGCACCGTACCACCAAGTTTACACCCAAAGTCCTATGGCAGTAGCAGCACCTGTAATGCAACAGGAACAAGTTAAGGTAGGAACATCTTATAATATATTCCATTCCCTATTTTACGTATTATTTTCTTGCCCATATTTTAATTCTCCCAGAATAACATTTTTAATTGAAAATTTCTTGTATATACTATAGTGACAGTATAACTGGAGGACATTTTTGTTTTTTATAGTACATTTTGCGTGATGCATTATCTGTACATTAATTGCAGTTGGTTATACAATCTCAATTAATGTTACTACTGGGCTTTGCCATAAAACGATGGATGAATGATCAATATATACATTTGTCAACAATCTCATATTAATTTATGCATCTAGGAATCAAGGTTACATCCTGTCAGAAGAAATTTTTCTCAGCCGCCACCAGTTGGGATAAAACCTCGTTACACTCGAAGTCCACATTACCATCTGAGGAAGGAATACCGAGCTGAAGATTCCATCCTTACTCCACCTTCCTCAACTGAATCTGTTAAGTAGAAGAGTTTATAGTGCTATTACCACATTTGAATACATACATGTATGAAAGGAGACATCCGGATAAGTCTTAATGTTAGAAGCTATGTGTAAGAAATGATTCTTTGAGCTATTCAGTTTTTTAAAAACTACTTGAAATAGTGGAAGTAGGATTAAGCAGGATGGGTTTAAATATATAGCCAAGGCATCTTGGTTTGTAAATTGGAAAAACATGTTATGTTATCAAACATGCCACTGTTAATATGTCTGAGCATGTCTGCATTTTATACTTCAAACCGAAGAGATTTTGCAGTATACGTTGTTAGAACCTGACCATTTTTAAGAATCATGGCTACATTGTGAATTCTTTAGAATTTGCAAATAATCCAGACCAGCATAATATGTGGCAGTGTGGTACAGAATAGTAGTTATGCTGATTTTTGAAAAATGCCTGGAGGCTGAAAGTGGAGATTTAATAAACTAGAAGGGAAATGTAAACCTTCCATTTTCAGCTTAAAGTCGCACCTCTATTTTTAAGAAGTATTGATGTTGATATGTTTTTACACCTTTCCTTTGTATTTAAGTTTTCCATGTGAATTCATATGGCCTAAATTGTTTATTTTTACCATTTTGTGTTATCTATCTTTTTGTAATGTTTTGTAATATTGTATATGTCGCATTTAAATTATAATGTTTATTTAGACTGGGTTGTTTTTAACCCTTTCTCACTTGATGCAGAGGTATTACTTAGTGTGTACGGCTTGAGTAAAAAAAAAAGCCTTGAGTATTGGACCACTTGCTTCTCTGCACATGGTACCTTTTATCGTATTTGCATTTATACATATCCTTCCTAAATGTCATGTTTTAACGTAGTAGGACCGTAGTATTAATATAGTATAATGTTGGAAGTATTACTGTTTCAATCTAGTTATGCTGTTATGTTTTAGCTTAGGTACAGTTAAGTAAGTCGTTATTACTCTTTTTAGATTTAAGGAGAAAATTGGCCAATAGGTGCATCCTAAATGGTCAATTGGTGGCATTATATAAACACTTTGCCTCATAGCAGGAAAGTATCTGAATGAATGTGTTCTGTTATAAATAAGTTTGCAATTGCTCTTCCAAATATAAAGATAGTCGATCCTTAAACCATAATTTCATCTTTAGCCTGTTTTCTTTGGGTTATCTTGAAATTCAAAAAAAACTGACCAATATCAAAATGTAATAGTAGGAATAGGTAACGACTGTCAATCCTAAAACCCAGCAATGAAACATAATTTTAAGAATGCAAAATTTTACAAAGGGAATGTCACTGTTGACTTAATCATCTGTATGTTAATATCACTTTTCTGAGAGGTGAACTTTTTATTGAGTAACTGCTGTGTCTTTTGCATGTTTTGAAAAAAAAGCCTTTGCTAAACCATGCAAACGACTGCAGGATAGAGGATTTTGAGGTATTTTTCAATAAAATAAGATTTCTTTGCAAATTAGAAACCACTAGTTTAGTACTGATTTGAGAGTTGATATCTAAATTGAAATTAATATTTCAATATCCCACTCCATATTTTGCAATGTGTACCATAAAAGTAATGATTTCATAAAAAAAGTTGCGGTGTACACTATATACTGTACGGTAAACACAGCTATGTCATAACTTGACCTTCTTCAGTAATTTCCTGTCATTACATGTAAGGTGTAGCCATATTAATACTCAAGGATTGGAATATACTCATAAATACCGCTCAAAACAGTCTTTCAAAAGTATTGGAGCTAGTACTTTTGATATCATCTGACTTGAGATTGTTTTTTAGTATCTAGTGATTTCATAACATCAAGGTTTCTGAGACTCAGTAAAATTCTACCTGGGTCTTAATTTATTTTATTAATTTATTAATATAGTATTCCAGAGTATGTAGAATTCGGCAAATTGTTCAATTCAATTTAACTTTGAAGCATGTTTTCTGTAGTTCTTGAAAGAAAGTAAAGAAAACTAGTTTGAAAATTAAAGTTGTATTTAACATTTTGTCAAATTCTGGAAGCTCTTAAAGTGTTACACATTAATAGATTAAGTCTAGGTGCAATTTCTACACATCCATTTCCACACAAGAAGCTTCTTTCTCTGAGATTGGTGGGATCTAGTGGCCTAGCAATGGTGATTTCATCAGCATCACATCCCTATCTTATTTCAGCTCATTTGTTTCTGAGATTGTTTGATACAGAAGCAAGTGTCACCATTTACAATATTGATCTTTTGCTTGCTGTGAGAATAATAATTTACCCAGGTGACATTCTTTGCTCACTATCACCTCCATGAGAACACTGTGATTTTTCAGGGGACTGACTTACTCTACCTCATTTCTAAACTGAACTATCTACAACTTATGACATTTTCTTTCTCACCATTTTGCTCAATGCTTTTGCAGAAAATTTTGATTCTTTCTATTAGTGTATTTTCCTTTACAGGCCCTGTGTATTGTGCTATTCCACTCTGTCTGCTTTTGCATCTTTTACCTGTTTTAGCAGAATGTGCCTCAAGGAAGGCTGCTTTTCTGGGGGGAAAAAAAGTTGTTTGTCTCTTGTCTGTCTGGATCTTCCTGGGTCAGATGTTATGTTCTTGGTGATAGCGTTTGTGTGAGCAGACTCGAAATTGCTTGCAAAGCTTGCTATGGTGCTCTTGGCTTCTTGCAGAGATTAGTTGATCCTTCTATGAAAGTTGACTGCTGGCATCTATTGCTTTAAACCTTCCCGATAACATATCAGCATCAGTTCTGAACAGCACCACCATTGACTGAAGAATGCTTCAGGGCTGCTGATAAAAGGACTGCAATAAAATATAGTTGTCCTGGCACAAGAAAACAAAACTAGAATAATTTTGTGGAACTAAGAGGGAAACTTCAAAAAAAAAATGAATATCACAGACAACAAACTGAATCAATCAAAAAAAGTGAACTGGCAATTACACCATACTAATGCCACAAAGTGGAACAGCCACTGTTGCAAAGTGATCTAAAAGTTAGCAGCAGTATTTTATAGATTTAAAAATGCTTAATTTTGAGATTTAAATTTTACACCTTGTTGAATTTTCTGGGATTTTTGTACTGCATTTGTATTAAAAGTACTTATGGAAAGTGAGACATTTTAAGACAATTTTGGTTATAAATATTACATTAGATAGAATTGATCCCAGTATATAATTTTTAATGTAGTTATTATTCCATCTTGGATTTCTCTCAGCCACACTATTTCCTGTATTGGGCATTACCAATGGCTTTGTCCCATTCTCTCTGTGATGCTGTACAAAATTGGCCATTGTTGACTCTTATTCACTTCCACCCACCCTGGTAAGGTAAAGAAACCACTGTGTAAAATACGGGGCATATGTAAAATTCATATCTTGCTATATCTCAGAAAATAATACATCAAACCTACTGGGAGGCTATCAACAATTTTAATAAACATACAAAATTTGAGATCAACAATGGTTAACATTTCTGTTTCATGATCTTTGATAAGATTATGGCATTTGGGAGATTTACCTATTTTTGCTGATCATGGGCTGTCTTTTGTTCTAGAAATGTTAAGGGAAATATTCTCTCGGCTTCATATTACAATTTTTTCTACATATGCAGCTGCGAGACAGAAGATAAATAATTAGATATTTATGGTCTTCTGCCAGTAATGTTCAATTTTGTCATCTATACATTTTACTATGATCAATACTAGAAAGTCTGGTACATGGTCATACTTCCCCATTGATTTTTATGAATCACAAATTTAAGGGTGAAATTTATGCGCCAGTGTGAACAACCTTGCTACCTCTATGAAGTTGTAGGCATAAATTTTACACCACTTTGAAGTATACACAATTTTCTGTTACAGCTGTGGATTAAAGGATGAAACTACAAAACTACATTTTCAAGTTAAGCAAATTTTAGTTGTAATCATTAACTGGTAATTTGGTTGTAAGTTGATTCATTTTGTGAGCTGCGAACAGATTTACAAATGTGTAAGTTCACTCTAAACTGTGAACTTTGATTTTTTTTTCCACAGTTTTGGTACCAGTGCCACCCTATTAATCCACTGGCAAGAAATGCATGCCTGCAGCCAGAATGTCAATGTTATTCAGATCTGAGAAAATGTCATCTTAACTAACTCATCAACATGCAACCATTGAGTTTTAAGGCAAGTGCCTTAATGCTGCTAATTTATGTTTCTTCCTCTAAATTAGCGAATGGGTTAATTTTTTTTAGTGTGACCTTTGAAACAATTCATAGTCATGAGAAAAATCTTATACTGGCTAACCATTTAGCTACAGTATTGCTAAAACATAGCATCAGATAAATCAAAATAAAGGTAATAAGTAACAGAGCACATACATATTTACAGATTTTTCCTGTCACTAGATGAAAAGATTTAAGCATCAATATAATATAGCGTTTGAAGACGTACCATTGTTAAGAGATAATTAGAAATTAAACTGAATAAATATAGTGGGGGAAACTACCTAAACTCAGCTCAGTGCATCACATTAGACATTATCCAGTTCTGTGCCTCCTGATTGCTTCATCACCATGTAAAGCTCTAAAAATGGGGAACATTTTACATGGATTATGTAGAAATTAAGTGTCAATCTTTATAGACACATTCTTTTCTTAGTTTTAGTTGTAATATGTTTCGTTTGTACCAAAAATAAAACTAAAGATGGTCATTATGACATACTTTTATTGTACTAGTGTAAAACTATTAAGTAAGAAATTATGTCCCAAATGACTGCATTGTGANTTTTTTAAAGCAGTGTGTCTGAATACAACTAAGTCTGTTGAAGCATTTATGCCAAACTGATGTTCTCACGTAGTTTAATTGTTCCAACATTTTTGATAACTAAAATCTTAATGAGGACTTAAAACAGGAATATTCTCTGATGTGATGCAGGTTTGGTTTGGAACGGAGCTGTAGCTAAAGAAGTAAGATTGTGGTTTTGTAGTATTTAAATATTAAAATAGGTAATAATTTGGTAGCACTGTAAAGAAAAATACTGTACAATATTTGACCAGTAGAATATATTGTTAAGATGTAGCAAAATCTAAGCCTTGGAGATTATAGAGATAACAAGCGGTTCAAATACAATTGTAATGTCCTAATGTCTTGTTTATGTAAACCGTAATGTAAATAAACAGTTTCTATTATTGTTTGAAAGTTTCTATGTATAATTGAAGGGTTTGCTTTGCAAACAGTTGTCCTTTGACTTCCTGCACTACATATCTAATTGTCTTAACTTTCAGGCATCTAGATTATCATCACAATTTTTTGCTATCAAAAATCTTTTCAAGCAGCAATTGGAAATTATATTGATAATTAGTTGTTAAAGACACACCATCCCAATTGATTTGAAGTAACAGATGCACAATTTCAGAAAGCTGGCAGCTTCATTCATTGCTTTTGAGTGTGTTAGATACAACCTATTCCATTGCCACTTATTTGTAACTGCTGGGTCTGTTGGGACATAGATATAACTATGGTCATTCGATCTGATAGCATGTGTCAACCATATGGATTTCAGTTCTTCAACAGGAGGTATTTGATGCCTGGAAACTGATCCTCCCAGCTACTTAAAAATACCCAGGGCCAACATACATATGACTTCCTAAACCAGTCTATTTATGTGCCTTGTTTGAGCACAAGGCTTTTGGGAGACCAGGGATATGATTTGGAAAAACACTCCTCTTAACAGTAAAGCTACAGTATGTTTACACAGAAATTTGTTTTTTTGAAGCACTGATTCATAAAGTCAACTGAACAATAGAATAAGGATATTGAAAGTCAAATCCTATAGCCATAGAGCCAAACTGCCTAATTCCAAAGAAATAATATACCACTCCCAAGTGACTTAGTTAGTAGCACTCTTGCCTCTCGAGTCCGAAAGTAGTAGTTTCAAAATGTCCCACCACCACCAGCAAATCAGGAATTTTGAGCTCATAGTTTGGGTTGACAATTGGGTCCAATGTTGAGGAGCATAGCATTGTCATTACCGTCCAAAGTCTTGACTTCACGTGGATATTAAACATTCCATGACACTATTTGATGGTCACTACACTTGACTGTAAAATCCTGTGAAACCCTTTTTGAGGTTTGATAAGGCACTGTATAAAATGAAAGGATTATTATTAAGTCAGATAGGGCCTTGTAAGAGATGTTTTGTACATCAACTATGGCTGGTGGGAAAGGGTTGATAAACCCCTCTTGCTTCTGGTCCCATAATCCCCCTCTAACATCAATCCTGAAACCTTAACAATTTTTGGATTGATCCAACAACATCTCTCACACCGGCTCCACTTTGTCTCCACACTCCAGCCCCCACACTGTCTCGTGGTATTCAGGGCTCTATCCTCGGTCTACTTTTCAACCTGTACATGCTCCCTCTTGGTGATATAATTTGCAGACATGGGGTCAGCTTCCACAAGTACGCGGATGACACCCAACTCGATCTCTGCCTCTACCCTTGACTCCAGGACAACTGATGTCCTGACAGACTGTCTTGTCAAACATCATGTCCTGGATGAGAGCCAACTTTCTACAGTTGAATGTCAACAAGACCGAAGCCCTCTTCATTGGCTCCCGTCAGCGCCTCTGCACCTCAGGCACCGGCAGCAATAGCATCCACAGATACACACCACCTCACCAAGCCAGTCAGGAACCTAGGCATCTTCTTCGACCCTCAACTGTCCATTCTTCCCCATGTCCATGCCATTACCCACTCTGCCTTCCCCCATCTCCGCAACATTGGCCGACTCTACCACTGCCTCAGGCTACTAAACATGCCTTCATTACATCCAGGCTCGACTATGCCAACTCCCTGCTTGTCGGCCTTCCCAACTCTTCCCTCCACAAGCTGCAGATCATCCAGAACTCTGCAAAGTACCAGACTCCGTGACCCCATCACACCCACCCTTGCCCACCTGCACTGGCTCCCCATCCCTCAGAGGATCGAGTTCAAAATCCTTGTCCTCACTTTCAAGGCCCTCCAAGGCCTTGTCCCCTCCTACCTTTCTGACTTACTAACCGCTTATCAACCTGTCAACTCCCTCTGCTCAGCTGGCTCTGGACTGCTCCATATCACCCAGTCAGTCCGCCCCACTACAACAACAACACCAAGATTCCATTTATAGAGCGCCTTTCACGTCGGGAGGACGACCCAAGGCCCTATTGGCGGTCAGACCTTCAGCCTCTGCCCCCACCCTCTAGAACTCCATCCCACATTCCGTTCGCCTCCTTCAAGGCACGCTTTAAGACCCCCCTCTTTGACCATGCCTTTGGGCACCCTCTCTGCCCTCCACCCTCCCTGATCCCAACCCACGCCCACCCCCGGCTCAGGTCCTAATCCTCTTGGGATATCCTCCTGAAAGCCGCTTTACAAATGTAACTTTGTATTGTATCATCTGACATTAATTGCAGAGATACAGTATATGAATGATCTTGATTTTATTGCTCCACTTAGCATCTGAAGTAGGTACCTCAATTTTACATCTGATGTAGATAGAGGTTTGCTGACAAAAAAGCCTCAACAAAAAGCAAGTGGGTCATGGCCCAAGAAATGTCACCAATAAAAGGTAGGGTGCTGATCAAATACCACCCTGCAACATTATGAAGGATTATTTTATGGCTACATTGTCAGTGCTTGGACACTGAATAGCTTTTGTTGAGTTGCTACATTTCAGCCCATAACACAAGGTCTGCATTAGTGCCAACCTTATTTTGAGAAAGGCACCAATGAAACATAGCCTTAGCATGCAACTTAAGGGTTATACAGTACAGTATTGGCTGTATTGTCTGAAAACCATACCTACTTTTCATGGCATTGTGCTGATTCTTTATCAATTCAATTGCATTCAGGAACAAGGAAGGGTACTATTTTGATTGAATTTTTAATCCCTTGGGTTTTGATGCAGCCCAGATTAGTGAAAGCCTCCTTCCTTCCTCTTGTTAGTTCTGAGGGCAAATGTGAAGTGAGGTTAGAAGGCTCTTTGAAGCTGAATACACAAAGCCAAACGAGACGAGCAGCAGGTGTGTGAGTCTATTTTAACAGGAAAAAGAAAAATGAGCAATAATTCCAAGATGCAACTGTTGCACTAAAAAGTATTCTTTAAAAAAAACAATTTTGTTGTAATTATTCAGAAGTTGGATCAAACACAAATGTATATTGTTTCTTCATGGTTTTCCTTAGTTATAATAGTACAAAATTGTTGCAGCATTTTCCTCTGAATTTTTTAAAAATGAATTTCTGAGCTTCAAATATCTCAGCTTTAGTATTGATGTTTCTACAATTTTGGACCAATATCATTTTGAAGAAACATAAGACATGACATTCCTCTAGTCAAAGTCACATTTAGCAGCAAAAGGAATTTCGCCATTGCTCCCTTCTTATCTTTCACGTAACTTTTATGTTTAATAACAAAGGAATTCCTTCTGCACAACATTTATTAAGTTGCTATTATGATTTCTTTTTGCAATGAATTTTATCGGTTTATGTGGCAGGTTTTGTTCCTGAAAAATAATCTTGTTTTTTTTTGAAGACAGGAACTGTACTACATTCTGTAAACAAATGGCTTCAGCTTAATCTAAACCTCTGAGAATGTTCCATTCCTTTGAGATGCCAGAAACAGTTTCCTCTCAGGAATTTTACTTCCTTTCTGGAAATGATTTTGGTCTACAACCATTTTGGAGTTTCTGCCTCAGCCGAAGTTCCTATCTGCTGTTTTGCACGGCAATCTGAGCAATTTCAGAGCTCTCCTGGTTGCAGGTAATTCTGTCCAAGTTTTATTCTTGCCTTTTGTTTATGTGTTAATTCTGCAGTGTAAGTCTGGGGGTGGACAGAAAACCACTGTTGTCCACTATTATATTGTTAGGGGCTTTAGTGCAAACTGACGTGGCATGAAAGTCTCATGTGAAGCTGGATGTGAACAGCCTTTAAGTCCATGTGTGCTGAGTTTATGCTGGAAGTAAAAAACGCAAACCATTCACATATGGCTTTAGAACTACATATAGAGGAATGGTACTTCAGTTCCTGTAAGTTCAGGGGCCCGGTTTGACTTATAACTGACTTCAGGATTTATGGAGGCCTGAAGGCACAACAAAAATCATAAGTGCCTTTTGTTGAAATCAGAGTAACAGAACTCACGATTAGTTCCTGCATCTGACTTGCAGATTCTGCCATGGGTTGTGGGTTACGAAAGCTAGAAGAACCTGATGATAGCAGTCCTGGCAAAATATTTTCAACTCTGAAGAGATCACAAGTAGAAACAAAGACGAATATTTCATATGAATACCTTTTATTGGATTTTACTTTGGAGAGCGGTAAGTTCATGCAAAGTTATTTTGTTTGTGTGAAAGTTATTTGGTCTTCTAATAACAAAAAAAAGGCCTGTGAATAAAACTTCTATTAATTTGTTTGAAATATCTTGTGTGTTTGTTTATAAGTCTATTAACGGAATTAGGCTTGAAAAAGTATAGAGTCATAATGTCTGTTTACAGTTAGATTTGTGGATTCTGGAGAAAGATATAAAAATCAAAATCACATTTATTCAAAGAAAACGTTTTAAGGAACATGCCTAAAGTTAGCCACATATTTAATTTTCATGAAGTAAGACTCCATGCATATTATTAATTGAATGCATATGTTTGTAATGAGCGCGCCATTTTCCTTCTATGTTTATAATGCAACAACAGACCTCTCCACAGGGTGAAGAATTCTTCAACTCAGCACTCTGGCTTAAACAGGGTGGTTTGCTGTTTCTTAGCCATGTAGCCAAAAATGCAAACAAACAGCCCCAGATGGCAGCCTCTTCGAAACAGAGGCTACAGTGTTCATTTGAGGCTTGCTTCCTGATAGCAATCTTACAAAAAGTTAGTTTACTCACAATTTTTCTTGGGAACTTGAAGTACATTTTACCCTCCAATAACTCCAAACCATTTATTTAGAATTATTAGATCATTGTTCCACCAGTGCTTTTGTCAATATAATAGTCTCAATGTTTGCCGCATTTAATTTAAGCTTTATGACTGATTTGGATAGAATTACTTTTCCCTGTATTATCATTTGTTGGCTGTTGAGGCACAGTACAAATTATTGGTGTTTACAGAAGAATACCTTTTTTTATCTGCTTGTCAGCATTTCATTCAGGGTGATTGAATTCTCCCTGGAAGATGTCACAATTTCTACTTGGAAAATAACAAACGTTTTGCAATAAAAGCTGAAGAAATTTGTTTCCAAAACAAATTCTATCCTCTGCTACAAGTTTATGCTATTGCTTATTTTTGTCATTGACTGTTCATCTTGTATGCTGACAGTGTTGCTTTAAATCTGGAAAGTTAGGGGAAAGCAGGAGGTAAGTGGAGAGCATAGACATGTTAACAGCAGACATGACACTGTAAACAAGCATTGTTTTAGGGATATACTTAGGTTAATTTCAAAGAATGGCTTTAAATAAATTGTTATTCAATGGTCAAAGTTTCCATTTATGCTAAACCTAGCTATTTTGCTAATAGTCAAGATCCCACAAGTGTTTCTAAATTACAAAATGATCATCTATTTGGTCAAAGCTACTGTGCACAAATGTACCATCAGACGTTGAAAAAATCTCAAAACATTTCCAAATCCAAAATTAACCTTTATTTTCATTCATAGATTTTTAAAATAAAAATTATTCTACTCCCACTTTCTAGAACTCCTTCTGCTTTGCCCCTCCCTCCCCATCTTTAAAATCCATCTTAAGCCCTTTCTGTTAGACACCTTCCTCCCCCCCGCCTTCAGCTCTCTTCATCCTCAACTCGGGTTCACAGTCAATTCTGTGAAGCTCTTTGAGACGTAAATGTAAATTTATAATTTTTGTATATTTGAAATAATATAACGCATAGGCAGAACCAATGTCTGTGGCAGTGATTATGACCAACTAGTGACTATTCTTGGGGGAAGTAAGCTGAGTCTCCTTGGAGTTGAACTGGCACCAATGTGACATGTTTGGCAACAGATTGTCAGAATCGAACCAATGCCCTGAAGCAGTTTCAGTAATCCAGTTCTTGAACCAGACAGGTCCGCAGTACTCCAGGGCACTGCTGATGGTTGCCTGGTTCATCAGCAGGATTTGGAAAGGTAAACCGGTCACTGGGGACAGGGACTCTCCAGCAACAACAACAAATTACATTTGTATAGCGCCTTTCACATCAGGAGGACATCCCAAAACACTGAGCAGTCCAGGGATGAGTTGGTGGTTGGGATCAGGAGGGCGGAGAGAGTAGGGGTAGGAGGGTGACCAAAGGCATGGTCGAAGAGGAGGGTCTTGAAGGAGGCAAGGGATGGGGTGAGGTAGAGGGACTGTGGGATGGAGTTCTAGAGCCAAAAGCACTGATGGTAGCGTGGTCCTAGCTGGACAAACAGCGGGAAAGCTTGCCAGGCAGTGCTTTCAATGGCAAGCTGTGCAGTTTTAGCTGGTTAGACTCCCAAACCATACGCTGGGTTAGAAGCCCAACCCACACTCTGGAGTCCCCAAGCCCTCTCTCTTGCTAATCTGAGCCTATTACTTTCTGGAATTAGGTAAACGATCCCTCCATGGAGAGAGTGCGCATTCCATTCCAATAAATATCTGGAATTTCCATGCATAGGCATTGAACTCTGATGGGAGAATAATTTTGAGCATGGTAATGCCTTTCCGAATGTGTGTGGCCAAAACATTGTTAGACTGCACACTTGCTGCAGCAGATTGCCCCCCACAGCTCCCATGTGTAACTTTGAAATAGACACCCTGAGACCTGTAACTTAGTGGTTAGAGCACTCGCAATGAGCAGATTCAGGTTCATTTCCCGGGCAGGGCAAAACGTTGGGCAAGTTTCCTTACTCCACACGCCTCTGTTTACCTAGCAGTAAGTAGGAACCCGATACGCCAAAAAATAATTTGGCCACTCAATCCATGATTGTTTATGGAACACTGCTGTACGCAATTGGCTGCCGCGTTTCGCCCACAAATACACAGTCAATCCACTTTACAATATATTCTGTGAAGCGCTTTGAGACATCTCAAAGACATAAGGCGCTATATCAAATGCTATTATTATTATTATCTGCCCAGCCAGTGGTTTTATGCTGTTTCTAGTGTCTCTCTCTGGGTTTTAGGCTTTCCCCTGATTGTATAGTGGATCCTGTATTCAGACAACAATTCTAAATCAGTTTAGAAAGCTTCAAAGGGCATCAATAAAAGCATCCACACAGTCCCAGGCATTGCAGAGTTTACACTCCAATCTGAAAGACAAGTCATGCACAATGATCCAGTGCAGGAGGAATGGTTCTTGCAGTACTGCATTTTCTAGGTCTTCATTCCCTGTTTCAAGATGCCCTCAAATGTTTTTCCTATAACAGATGTCATACTCACAGACCTGTATTCCCAGGGTTATATTTTTTCCCCTTTTTTTGTAAATTGGTATTACAAATACATCGCTTAATGGATTTACTTAATGCTTAAACTTTAATCTAATTCTTGTCATATCGGTTTTAACTAAAGTTCATACTGTTTAGTAATAATGTCTACCCTATCAAAACCTTTCATAACTTTAAAGACTTCTATCAGGTCACCCCTTACCTTCATGTTTTCAAGAGAAAAGTGTCCAAGCTTGTTCAGCCTTTTCTGATAGGTATAACCTCTCCTTTGCACCCTCTCCAGTGCCTCTACATCCCTTTTATAATGTGGGGACCAGAACTGCACACAGTATTCTAAGTGTGGTCTAACCAAGGTTCTAAAGAAGTTTACCATAACTTCCCAGCTTTTCATTTCTATCCCTCTAGAAATGAACCCCAATGCCTGGTTTGCTTTTTAAAGGCCTTATTAACCTGCGTTGCTCCTTTTAGTGAATTGTGTATGTGTACCCCTGGAACCCTTTGCTCCTCTACTCTATTTAGGTTTTTATTTTCCAGAATGTATGTGACTTCTTTATTCCTTCTCCCAAAATGTACCACCTCACACTTTTCTACATTGAAATGCATTTGCCATTTATTATTATAACCATGATCATAATATCTATCTACTTATAGTAATAATGTAATTCTAAATTATCACTCCTCCATACTGTGCTCTGTTTATTACACACACTCAATTTTTATGTTGGTTTCACATATTTCACATTGTATATTTATTTACTGTTTTAAAAGATGAGTTGATTAGGAAATGTATGTTCATTGTTAGTGAGTTGTTGCTTTTCTACCTTATTCATAAAATTCTAGGCTCACCGAACCCAGATGTCATCAAGATTTCCTCTTTCCTGGATCTTAATTCTAAACTGGAAGAGTATTACAGGAATGGATATATTGTTGCTACCATCCATCCTACAATTATTTCTGTGGGCCGAAGGAAACAGTCGCCTCTAAGTTACATCTATAGAGTAATATTAACTAAACAGAAATCAGGGTAGGTTAATATTGTTAATAATGTTAAGATTAACAATATTGTTTCAAAGTTTTTTTCGAGTAATAAAATCTTTTCAGAAACATAAGTGACATTTCCTGGTGAGTCAAATTACAGCACTAAGCTATAATGTCATAGGTTTGATTCCATGTCTATAGGGTGAGGTATTACAAATGACCTTAGCCCTAAAGAGACTAGAGAGGAAACAATGTGGAGTCCTATATTGTATTGGTTAGAGCACTCACCTCGTAAGTGAGAGGACCCAGGTTCAATTTCCTTACTCCACACGCCTTTGTTTACCTAGTAGTAAGTAGGAACCCGGTTGTTAGTCAATTGGCGGATCGCTTTCCACGGCTAATAATCTCTTCCAAAAAAAAATTAATAATTTGGTCACTCAATCCACAACAGTTTGGGGGACATTGCTGTGCACAATTGGCTGCCTCGTTTCGCCCACAAAATATACAGTCAATTCACTTTACAATATATTCAGTGAGCTGCTTTGAGACGTCTCAATGACTTGATAAGGCACTATATCAAATGCAAGGAATATTATAATAAAAATCAGCCAGGGTCCCCTCTCCTACTCACTGTCCAGTGGCCCCCGCTGGAATCTGTGCATTTGGATGTCAGAGGATTGGAATTGGCTCTGATGCCCTCGGTAGTTGAATAGCTTGCTGACACTTGTTCTCCAGTCTCACACATGAAGAATGGCCATTTGGGTGAGCTACCAGAGCACTGCCATAGATTCATCGCCTTCAGGAGAGCATGAGGAAAGAAAATTGGCAACAAAAAAATGTAAGCAAGAGACTGATGTATTAAGAAATAAAATTAGATACATTTTTATAATAATTTAAAATCTCGTTTACTTATGTGGTAGAGTGACCTTTCCTGGAATGAAATGAATTCAGACTGAGACTTTTTATGGTCAAAGCAATTCTAGAATAAAGTAACATTTGAGGTTTTAGCTACAAATGATCTTGGATATGTGTTCACAGAAAGTAATATTTATTTAAAACGGATAAATGAAAAGCATACATTTTTCTCATAACATTACATTTATTTTACTTCAATACAGAATAAAGAAGGCACAACGAGGAGATCAAAGACAATACAAGTTAGTTGTTGAAGAATGGTCTGTAAACAATCAAGCACTATCAAATGAGGTTGTGAAAAGTCTATTAGACAAGGTAAAAATGCTTGCCTTTTTATTGAAGCCCATGTGCATTCACAGATGAAATAGACTACACATCTCAGGGTGTCACTTTAATTTGGATAAGAGCTAATCTATATGATTTAAAATTTGGTGGAAGTGTTAAATTAATTTGAATTTCAAGGTGAATGGAATTCTACTAAATGTTCCAAACACAAAAGAGGATTACTCTAATTAATTCCATGTGGTCACTCAGGAAATGTATTTTCTGAGAAACCGGCTGAGGGTTGACCTTCAAGCTGAGGAGGTCTCCATCTGGTTCACAAAAAAAGGCAATTCAAGCGTCCTGTGGTGAAATCACCTCCTCATCACCAATGATGTCTGTTTGCTTGTCTGGAGTCCCCTAGCATAGTGGTTAGCGTTATCAGCTCATAAGCGAGAGGACCCGGGTTTGTTTCCCAGTCAGGGCGAAACCTTATGCGAGTTCCTTACTGCACATGCTTCTATTTATTTATTATTATTATTTACCTAGCAGCAAGTAGGAACCCGGTTGTTAGTCGATTGGCAGATCACTTTATGGGGGTAATAACCCCTCAAAACAAAATTGGTCACTCAATCCACGACTGTTGTAGGGCACTGCTGTCCGCAATTGGCTGCTGCATTTTGCGCACAGAATATACAGTCAATCCACTTTACAATACATGCTGTGAAGCGCTTTATCAAATGCAAGGATTATTATTAACAAGATCACATGATGTATTTTCCTTCTGTAGTGCAGAGACTGATGTGAGTCAGGATAATTGTGACTCTTGCTCATTTGTTTAGTCTGCATGTGCATATGAACAAGCCAATATCTTTATGTTGCTATCCAGAGATTAGGATCATTAAAACAGTTTAAAAAAAGATGTAAAATAATCATAATGACAGAATGATGTAAATGCAGTGTTTTTGTTCTTTGAATTTGTTGAATTTTAGGTGAAAGAATCAGTTAAGGAAGGAAAGAAATTTATTGGATTTCTGAGTCAGCACAGCTTCCTGAAGCCCCTCAATGGCACAAAATTATCAGCAGAAACTGATCGAGAATCGGGGCAGGATTTTAAATTACCTAATCAAGGAAAATACAATCCTGATGAAAACCATATCAAATATTTTGAGGGTACTCTCACCAGACAGCCAGCAGAAGGTCCTGTAGAAGAACATCATTGCCATAAACCCACCGGTACTCTAGAAAATGGGCCCTCACCAGAGGAAGATGTGAGTGAAAAAGAAAAGGAAATGGGGGAAAAAAGTTGTTCTGTTAAACGGAAAGAAGGTTGGTGATATTATGTTTTCGATTTAGCCTTTGTAAATTTCTGTTAAGCAGTCAAAATTAACATTTTTCAGGTTACCTTGTTCATGCATGCCAATCCATCTTCGATATATACCAATTTGTACTTGGCTTAATATCTTCTCTCCGTTGAATAAAATGCCTTTCACAGCGTATTGCCCATAAAATAGCAAACAATTGGACAAAAAGTATTGACGATATCCATAACTCCATATGTCGAATTCTTATTCTTATTAAAAGTGGAAATCAGACTATATTAGATTTGGAGGATAACAATAACAGCCAGGTAATTTTAATGTTGTTATAGATCTATTATTTTAAAATCTCAATCTAATTCATTTATATATGGTTACTGGATAAACTACCATACTAAAGTTGGGTAGGGAATCTCATCCATTTGTAGAACTAATTAAAGTTATCTTCAACAAATCTAGGGGGGGCAACCTTGAAATTCATAGTTTTTTTAAAAATGTTAACAAAAGGAGAATTGAAGAAATTACCAAACAACTTGGTTTGCTATTTTTTCAGTCTTCTGACACTATTATTTTTATTTCAGAAATCAAATTATTTGCAGTTTTTAATGTTTCTGATGAAGACTGCAGTCGACGATCCTATCATGGAAGCGATATATCTCTTAGGGTCACAAGGAAAGGCCAAACTATCTGCAGCCTGGAGGCAGATTGGTTGGAAATTACAGCATCTTATCATAAGAGTGGAATGTCATTGATTGATTCCTTTATAACTTGGGAAACAAAAGGTAATTATTTCATACAACAACAACTTGCATTTATATAGCGCCCTTCATGTGGGATAGCGTCCCAGAGTGCCTGACAGCGGTGGGGGTCTGACAACGAGCCGGGGGAGAGGGAGTGGGGAGGCGACTGTTAGCACAATCGAAAATGAAGGTCTTTAGGCGGGATTTCAAAGTGAAGAGGGAGGGGGCAAGGCTGAGGCATTGAGGGAGAGAGTTCCAGAGTTTTGGGGAATAGTGGCTGAAGGCACGGCCACTGATGGTGAAGCGGAGGAGACGAGGGACAAACAGGAGGCCGGAGCCAACCGAGCGGAGACAGTGGGTAGTGGATTGGAGGGTAAGCAGATTCGAAAGGTAGGGAGGTGCGAGGGCATGAATGGATTTGAAAACGAGCGAGAGGATATTGAAATCAATCCGTTCGGTAATTGGGAGCCAGTGGAGCCAGGCAAGGACTGGTGTGATGGGGTTACGGAGTTTTGTTCGGGTGAGTATCCGGGCGGTGGAGTTTTTAATTAATTGAATTTTGTGTATGGTGGAGCTGGGGAGACCAGCAAGGAGGGCATTGGAATAGTCCAGCCGGGAAGTGATGAAGGTTTGGTTGAGGGTTTCGGCTGCATTGGTTGTTACGTAGGGACAGAGTTGGGCAATGTTAAGTACTATAGTAGAAAATCTGTTTCATTGGCAAGTACTTTGAAGATTTGTGCTGTTATTTTTAAAAACAAATTGTCATGTTGGGAACAGGGAAGTATTTACTTAAAATATTTATAATGGATAACTATTGCTGAGACGTTCTTAAGTATTACAAAAGGAGAGAAACACTTTGAAAATGAAGTAACGGAACAATAACTTTAAAATTTCCGTCCCAATCAGAGTGTTGCTTGGAGCTAGAGTTGGGAGGAAAAATAGAATGTGCCAGTCTATTTTGTGTTGCAGCAATGCTTGATGTTTTGGTCTCAGCATTCACAGGAGAAGCAAAACAAAATATTTTTTAACATAACAATGTACCTTTTGGAAGGGGTCATAAAAAGTTAGGAATTTATATGGAGTAAATTTCAGTTGACATTACACAAATTGCGCATTTCCCTAAAGACATGATTTCAGCCCAGTTATGTCTATCTCCATTGTATTTTTATATATGGATTACTATAAATCAGCCACCTTCAATTTTAGGAGATTATTTATCCAAGTCTGTGGAAGGATTGTTTATGTATGAAGAAGGTGATTCTGGGTCAAATAAGTTACCAAATGATGCAATAGTGGTTGAACAGTGGACTGTCATTGAGGTAAGGTGACCTGTTTTTAGCATTTACAGTTTAATAATTTACCTTTTTAATCAAACTTGCTTCTAAAACTACATAAAACATTCAAACATGAAATTATGCTTGTCTTTACTAGTTGTATTAACTGCATCAATTATTATTATTAATTTACTTCCTTTCCATGTTAATTTGTCTCATTGATTATTCCTTAGATGTGGTTCTTTTGCCCAAAGTTAATTTTATCTGTATTGAATTCTCCACTTTGTATAATTGTATGCAAATGCATGTATGCATATACGCACACTTTGAACAGAAAGTAGTAAACTATTCACCTACCATTGATAAGAAGATAAGTAATGCAGTTGGGAAAATCAAGACGAATACTTATCCTTTTAAAAATGTTTAGACCAAATCCCACTCAACCTACAGGATCTTTGCTCCAACACAATTTCCTTCCGATGTGTTGGAATGGCATTCCTACGGATCGGTGTTTGTTTTCCTGCCATCGGCTAGGGAGGGATTTAAATGATTTGTTCATCTGTGAATTCATCATTTTTGCAATTTTATTTCATCCTGTAGGATTGTGAAGTAAAGTCTGATTATGGTCCTTTGCTGCATACACTGGCTGAATTTGGATGGCTGATTACCTGTGTGCTCGCCACACCTATCATTCGTCATGACAGGTAAAACTAGTTGACGGACAAATTGCTGCTCCATAATCATCATTCTTTACTATTCTATTTATCATTCGTGAGGATTTTTTCTACTCATTAAACTAAAGGATGTAAACATTAAACATTACATAATGGAGAACTTTTCACTTTGTCATAGTTATTGCACAAAAGCACCATTGGTTAGGAACCGTTCGATATCCTGAGCTAAGTGAGTGCAGCCTCCACCTTATTTTTTGCGATGGAAAGAGTACAGATTAGTTTTACGAGGTGATACCAGAGGTGGTAGGTTTCTGCTATAAGAATAGGCTGGTTAGGCCTTTTTTCGTTAAGAGATGTTTAAGGAGAGACCTAATAGAAGTGTTTAAATTTCTAAAATGGTTCGGTAAGGTTATCATAAATAGGCTGTTTCCAATAGTTTAGTCTGTAACCAGGGGACACAAATATAATATAGCCACTAGAGAGATCTAAAAGAGAATTCAGGAGGAACTACTTCACGTAGAGGGTAGGGAGATTGTGGAACTTGTTGCCTGAAGCAGTGGTTGAATTAGATAGCTTAGATGCATTCAAGAGGAAGCTAGACTTTCACATGAGAGAGAGAGAAATAGAAGGATATGGGAGGGAGCAAGGATTGGGTGAAGACTTATGTGGGGTATAAATAGTGTCATGGCCTATTTGATTTGGGCCAATTGTCCCATTTCTGTGCTGTATATCCTTTGTCCTTTGTCTCCTTGACGTGCATACAGAGTCCACGTGGACTCAGGAACCATAGAGTGAAACCGAAAATGAATGGATAGATAAATAAGAGCTCTCCCAAACAAAGAATATATTTGAGACTTAATTGCTGTATATTTATCCAATATTGGTAGATTGATTAAAGTAATCGTATACCCATTGCCACATACAGTATTTGTAATATCTATTTATTTACAGTGAAGGAAATTTAGCAACAAAACAAGTAATATTCTTACAGAGGCCCGCAGCTCTTGATTTGAAGGTGGAAACAAACGAGGTAGGTTAATATAAAGTTAATTTCAGAAAATTAAGTTGTGTAAACATTAAAACATATCATCTATTAATGCTTGGCACATTCGTACATGGGAACTTACAGGTCCATCTGACTGGTTCCATAGTTTAAAAACAAATATACAACAGTAATAAGAAAATCTACACTTATATACAGTGAAATTCTTGTCACCCCAAAGGAAATAGCTCAAATAACTACTTTATCTCAAAAATACAAAGTGCTAGAACAGGAGGGATATTGAGTGAGTGACTAGTTATGTGGGGTTACTACTTATCCCAGAGGCTAGTTATCAGAGTTTCACTGTATTTCTCTTATCCCATCATTGAATCCTTTGCCTTCCTATTTTTACTGCATGTGAGAATTGAAATGTGGACAAAATTAACAGCTCTTTAGTGCAGTAACTGCCTTCCCACTTCTCCCTGGTAAAGGCAATTACTGATATCTTCAGTGAAATTTGGCCTTTACATTAGCCGCATAAAGGTAATGTGTTTTTGAAAACAATTTGTAAAATAGGCAGGTTTTATTTCCATTTCTTCCAATTAATTACATAATTTCAACCCTCAATCGGTTGAACTTTAAACCACGGAAACTTTTAATATCCGAAGATTAAAAATCATTAACATGGTCCTGAAGTTGAGGATTTACTTTTAAAGAATTAGATTTTGTGACTTGGATAAGTTATTTATGAGAAATGATTTGGTTCATTTTACATCAAAAGACATTTTTGCAAGTTTGTTTTCATTTGTGCCACCCTAATTTTGAATATTTATTTCACAGAAAAAAAATAGTCGGTCAGCAAAAAGTGATGAGAAGGGCAGACACGTAGGTGTAGACACAAGTAAAAATAAACCTTTGGAAGCAAATTCTACTGAAGATTCCTGTTCTGTTTCTAAGGAAAGCCTCTGGGCTAAAGAGCCATCGCAACACTATGGAGACTTTTCAGGACTGGAAAGTGCTCTCCGAGACCTGGATGATGCACAGTTGGATCAAGAGGATGAAGCAAATCAGGTAACTTGCATATGACACTGCACATTTCCGTTTCACAAGGAAGAGAATGGCATGAAGGAAGACAATCATATTTGCTGGGATGTGCTTTTGATTGTTAATTGCTGACGTCGTCATGATTCATACGTGATTTTTTTATTTTCAAAAGGACTATTTTGTTCAAAACGCGTATCTTATTTTTTATGATCTTAAGTTCGAAACTGACATATAACAATTGGTTTGAAGAGTCCGTGCACACACACCTGTTTTTTTTAAAAACAAATCATAACAGGTAGTTGCAACTTGCTCTTAAAAAGGATTGTAAGTCGTCTTGAACCGATTCCTATCGTTATCAGAAAAAAACAATCCCATGTAGAGATTGTAGGGAGACTGAGGTCAATTGTACTATCTTTTGATTAGTTAACGGCATTGGCTGGGGATAAAACACAAGCTAAATATTCAGTGTAGGGTCTTTACCAGCTTCTTTTTATCACTTATTTTATTTCTAACATTACCACCCAATTAAACTAAAACCAGTAACATTGCATCAAATGCCACAGACTGAGATATGTTCCGAGGCAGTTTCCTATCAAAGCTGAAATAATGAGGCTCTTGTGGTTAATTGCATCATCTCAACCCTCAATCGGTTGCCGCTTCATCGCATACTCCAGATTCTGTTCTATGTAAACAATTAGACAATGAAGTCAACACTCCCAGTGGATCAGTGGGAAAATTCGCCAATGGAATGCGTCATCGAAGAGGCCAGGAAGACTCCAGGTTCAATCTGAGATACGCGATCCTAGCTGAGGACTGCAGGCAGACTCAGTGTTCTGCTCAGAGAATGACCAAGATCCCCTCCTCCTCATTGATATTCTGCAACTCCTACAAAATGTTCCAATGTAGATAGGATTGTTAGCTGATTATTTGTCAGTAAAGGACTGACAGATAACTCCATAACGGGTTAATGTTTAAACCTGCCTAGCCTGAAGTTGTTACGAAACTAAAAAACTGTCTAAACTTTTCATCTTGCATATTTTTGATTTTTCAAATAATTTGACAAGAGAACCATTTGCATATTTTAGCTGTAATTTTGATTAAAGCAGAAATGCAATCACTCAAGCGCTTAGAATTTTTTTTAAAAAATGCCTTGACAGAACTTTGGTTTCCATTTTACAGTATTAGGGTTTTTATACAAAGTTTTCAAATCCAAATGTGTGTCTTAACAATACTGCTCATAAATACTGGCTGCTAATTCTGTTTCCTAAGAATATATTTTTATAACTTTCCTAAATGTAAAATGCTAGCACATGTAATGCACCAAACTATATGTTCTTTATTTTGTACGTTTCACACAGAAATGTGTATTTGACCTAAAATGCTGTTATTCTTTTGTGCTTTATCCATTTTGATCAAACTAACTAAAACATAATTGTTTTATTATTAGTAACCCATGTGGGAAGATAGTCATTTTGGGATCTACAGGTAGATTTCATAATTGAACACCAGAATGCTTTCATTTCATTGTCAGATGTGTACTTGGTGTACGTGTATTTCTCTTTTCCTCCATGAACCCCTCCAGTCTGGTTTCTGTCCTGCCCACAGTCCCAAGACTGTCCTGGTGACATTTTCTCTCTGTAACCAGGGCCCTCTCAGCCTCCTCATTCTTCTGAACGTTCTCCTGAAGTGAAAGGAGCTATATACGTGTAAATTTATACTGTATTGTATTTCTTTGCTTTTCTCCTTCATACACATATTAGTAACAATTCACAACATGAGAACAAAGAATGATATTAATACAATGTTTCTTCATCTCCACCAAAATAGTTACATATAGTTGAGACTGATGCTGGGTTAACTATACATCAACACATTCAAAATTTAAAATCACATGCTACGCAAATTGATGTTCAATTGGAATTTTGGACTTTGTCACTTACACACTCTTAATGTTTAAAAGGGGAAAGAGTGATCTGTTATTTGCAATGACATTAAAGGATCACCACAACTGATCTATAGTTAGTTAAGTATCTGTATATAAGTGGACTCCGCATTAGAAATTCAGTTAAAAGTCCATTTAAGATGGACAATGCCTGTTACAAGTTCTTATTTTTGTGTGTAAAGGCTACAGTTTTTATGTTCATGTCTATTTACTGTTGTTTGAATATATCAGTGCAGACAATTTCTTAAAGAATTAAAATGTATATTATACAAACGTGCTGTAAAGTTTGAAGACTCCTTTACAAGCATCGCCATAAAAACACTAATGTCCAGTGCAGTATTGGTTAAGTATGTTATCTCATGAATGTGTGTGGGAAAATGTTAATTATATCACCTTGTTGAATTCTGTTTTTAATTCTTGGAAATGTAGTTATATGGAATTTATTGATACTTAGCACTTTGTTAGCATGGGAGACTATCATGGGGTGAAGTTAGAAGCTAAAGCTGAAACATTTTGGATCTTGTATTGCTTGGTTAGTGTTATTCAAAGGAACAACTTACTCATCAAGTGACATGCAATATAAATTATGGATAGTTGTGAGTTAGTCGAAGTTTAAAATCATATCATAAACTGCAAAATCAAGCCTTTTGTGCTTAAATTAGTCCCATGTTTAGCAATGTATACCATTGTATCAGTAAATTAAAATGATTATGCTACATTGCATTGAAGGATGCATGGTCATTGCAATTGCATCATTACAGAATAATGGTTGGAATAATTGACAGGAAGGTTCATAAGAAATCCATTTTGCAATTAGGACACAAAGTTATGATGTCATTGAGACCACATCATGTATTAATTGTAAATAATATTTTTTTTATCACTGTATTCGTTATCATTGTCATTTTATTTACTTATATTGTTTGCAATGTTAAAATATTCAAACTTGTAAGAAGCTGCCAAATATGCCAAATAAATGCTCTGAAAATGTAATTATCAGGCATTAAATCTAAACCATATTTATGTAATACTTATTTGCTTAAGAACAATATATGAAGGAAATTAATAGGAGTGATAAATAAAACACCGGCAAATACATCACAAATAGGTTCTGTTCAATACATATTTCACAGTTTTTAAGCATAAATCAGAAACATGAAACCATAGCAATAATACATATTATGGTTTTGCTAACTTGTGTCTGTTTGATAAAATATTTTTAAATTATCATGTATTCCAATATATTTTTCTAAGGTGTTAGCATTGAGGCCATTCTGCTTTCTTAAAGCCGTTATCTTACCACTCCATGACACTGTCACTGAAGCTCCAATACATTACAGCCAACAAATAGAATTCTTAACTAACCCAATTTAAAACTGAAACATCATTCTTATTTTAGCCGAAAAAGCTAATAAAAATATATTAGTTGAGACTTAATTACTGGACAATCAATACAACATCTGCTTAAATAATCTGTTTTCTAACGTATCCGGCTGCAGGCAGACTCTTATTGTATTTGTGGAACAGTGCAGTAAAAGTTTATCTTTCTAGTTTATACATTATCAGGCATTAACTAAATTTCACACAACTGCTTCTGCTACCCGAAATTCTGCCATGCTTCTATTCAAGATAATGAAGAATTCAAGTTGATGGATCCTCTTTTATAAGTTCTTCTCCACTGCGCACTGTACAAGATAAAGAAATATACTGTTGGAAATTATATTTATTAGATGTCTTAAAATAATAACTAATGCTACAAATATAATTGACGTGAAACTGTTTGCACCAGCTCACGGTGCAGTTAGCAACTAGACTACCAGAGAGTCAGAGGAACACAGCCAACCAGAGAAAAACTGGGACACAGAGAGACCAAGTTAGCCCATGAAGATAATTTATCAATTTAAAAATTCAAAAAAAATTCAATGTTTCCCCAGAAACTATTAGTAATTGTGCAGTTATGTTTATCTCTCAATTCCTGTTCAAGCACGTTTTATATTTAGAGATTTTAGCAAACTTGTGCAGCATTGCCAATAAACTCACTCAAGGTTTCAAAACCAGTGTTATCTGCTGACCAAGGACAAAGAGAAAACATCTCTCTTATCTGTACCGTGTTATCCGTCAGTGTGTTGCTGCAATCCATGTACTTCCATGCATTATCAAATAAAGGAACAGCCAGAAAGAACGACTCTGCTGAGCTTGTCAACGGGGAATCCAGTACAAAGGAGCATGATCTTAACATTGGAGCTACGTCATTTAGGAGTGAAATTAGGAGGCAATTTTTCATCCATACAGTAGTGGAAATCTGGAACTCTCTCCCCCAAAAGGCTGTGGTTGCTGGATCCATTCACATTTTCAAGATGGAGCTAGATAAATACTTGTTAGGTCAGGGTATTAAGATATATGGGGCAAGGGCAGGTAACTGGACTTGAGGTACAGATCAGCCATGAATTTATAAAATGGCGGAACAGGCTCGAGGGGCTGAATAGCATACTCCTATTCCTATGTTTCTAATAATAAAGTATGGCCAAATAGAACCAGCCTATTCTGCTTAGCTAAAGTATGGAGCTGGGAACACAAGAGAGGAACCCAAATCACTACTATGCTTAACAACTTATTTATTACTGAACCATTTATATAGTATCACATTAACACAACAGGGAATGTTATACTTAAAGAGTACATCACCATGGTGACAATATCAAAGTTCGTAGGGAGCTAACCACGACTCTCTTGGTTTGAGAGTGTCGGCAGAGAGAGTTGAATCTACAGTACTTTAAAAGCATGGTAGTGAGTGTTGAATCGTGTGACCTTTTATACCCGAGTTGGTTCCTTTAACTCATGAAACGTGACGGTGACAATGTAGTTTCCCTAATCCCAACACCTGTGCCGAGCTTCCTAGTTTACATCCCATATTGACTTGTATTTCAACAACTTGTATTTATATAGTGCCCTACTCGCGGGGTAGCATCCCTGAGCACTTCATGGTGGCGCAGTCTGCACACACGCCAAGGGGAGAGCGAGCGGGAAGATAACCGTAAGCACGATCAAAAAAGGACTTTAGGCAGCATTTGAAGGCGGAGAGGGAGGGGGCAAGGTGGAGGGATTGAGGGAGAGAGTTCCAGAGTTTCGGGACTGAAGGCACATCCACAGATGGTGGAGCGGAGGGGTGAGGGACATTTGGGAGGCTGGAGTCAGCCGGAAATAGGAAATATATGTCCCTATTTCAGAACGTTATTTGCATATGAGCACATTTTACTTCTTTATCACATATTACATATCTTAGTCCTGTAGCTCAGTGGTTAGAGCACTCGCTTTGCAAACGAGAGACCGGAGTTCAATCCCAGGCAGAGGGCGAAACCTTGGGCAAGTTTCCTTACTCCACACGCCTAATAATAATCCCTCCAAAAACCAAAAACAATAATAAATTGGTCATTTTCAATCTACGACTGTTTGTGGGACATTGCTGTGCGCATTTGGCTGCCGCGTTCACCCACAAATATACAGCCAATTCACTTTACAGTTTGTTCTGTGAAGCGCTTTGGGACGTCCTCCCGACGTGAAAAGCGCTATATCAAATGCAAGGATCATTATTATTATTATTAGTCAAAATAGCAATGCTCCAAGCTAACAACTGCAGATAATTTGAACAGACCTTGTACCCTTATGTTCTGAACACCAACGGTTCTACTTTGCAGCAACAAGCAGATTATATTTCAACAGTCAGCAAATTATATTTGACAACAGTGAAATTAATCACATAATTGAGTATTCATGATTGAGACGTTAGTAGCAAAGTGTATCATTCCTCAGTAACAAGTTGCCTTACCCTTTGTGTCCTCAAAAATCCACATTCCTCCACTTGTCCTTATGTTAATCTTTATATATTACCTTGGGTAATTTAAAGCTACAACTTGCACAGTAAGATAGAATTTGAAGTTAAGCAACATTATTGTAACTGATTTTCTCCCAACAGTTTCACAAACTAACAAACTTTGTTAATGTACTTGAATAACTTGGGATAAATATTTATTTTCAGATGTTATAAGTCCCTATTTTTTAAATGTTACTGCAATACATTTTACAATTCAAAAATAGAAACAGAATTAATGTAATACCTTGTACATCAAAACAATTCTCAGGCCATTATAATATTAATAACACAGAGTTGTTGTTCAAACTAGACACGTTAGTATTATTCACTATAAGACATTAGCTTCATGAAAATCTTCCAGAGCTTGGAATGACTTGACTGTTCCCATGACTGTTAATTTATATTTTTCAGCTGCTTTATTATGGGAAAAAAAATCTTTACAAACTTAAATATATTTACAAATCATAACTAAGACGACTTAACTATTGTTTCCCATACTTCAAACTTATACTGACAAAAATGTAGAAGAAAGGAAAGAACTTGCATTTTGATAACAATTTGTCATTTGAAAAAGCCTCAAAGATGCAAGGTCCCACAAACAGCCATGAGGTGAATAAGCAATTAATCCGTATCTTTGTTGGCCAGAACACTGGGAATCAATGCGTGGGATTTTTAACATGCACCTGAAGGATTGGTAGACCCAATTAAGGTGTATCATCTCATCCATCCATTTTCCAATGAAATACTAATATTGAACAAATGTACATAGTCGAAGAGGAAGGTCTTCAGACGGGACTTGAAGGAAGCAAGAGGGGGTGTGAGGTGGAGGGATTGCGGGATAGAGTTCCAGATTGTAGGGGCATAGATGTTGAATACCCGACTGGCAATGGTGGGCCGGGAAGTGCGGGGGACCTGAAGCAGGCCGGTGTCTGCCGAGCAGTGGGCATGGACAGGCTGGTGTGGGGTTATGAGGTCAGAGAGGTAGCGGGGAGCAAGACAGTGGAGGGTCTTGAAGGTAAGAACAAGGGTTTTGTACACAATTCTCTGAGGAATGAGGAGCCAATAAAGCTGGACAAGAACGGGGGCGATAGGTTCCTGGAGTCTGGTGCGGGAGAGGACATGAGCAGCAGAGTTCTGAATAATCTGCAGTTTGTGGAGGGAAAAGTTGGGAAGTCCATTGAGCAGGTTGTTGTCGTAGTCAAGCCAGGACATAATGAAAGCATGGGTCAAGGTCTCGGTGGCCTGTGGTGAGAGGCAGTGGTGGTGGAGGGCAATGTTGTGGAGATGGGCAAAGGCGCAAATGTGGGGTTTGAAGGATAGCTGAGGGTCAAAAAGGACACTGAGGTTTAGGATTGGTGAGGTGGACAGTGCAGCCATGAATGGTGACAGTGTCAGCGGCTGAAGTGAGGAGACTCTGCAGGGAGCCAAGCAGGAGGGTCTCTGTCTTGCCAACATTGAGATGGAGGAAGTTTGTTCTCATCCCGACTTGATTTAAGACAGACAATTAGCCAGGACATCAATGGCCCTGGAGTCGAGGGTGGAGGTGGCGAGGTAAGAGTTGGGTGTCATCCGCATACATGTGGGAATTAACCCCATATCTGCGGATGACATCGCTGCGCGGGAGCATGTGTAGATTGAAGAGGGGACCGAGGACAGAGCCCTGAGGGACGCCACACATGACAGTGTGAGGGCTAGAAGGTAGGATTGGAATCAGGCAAGAAAAAAAACACCATTGAGAGGAAACGAGAGGCTGTGGAGAAGAAGTGTGGTCAACCGTATTGTAAGCCGCCAAGAGGTCGAGAAGGACGAGGAGACAGAGAGAGTCCTGGTCTCAAGTGGGCAAAATGTCATTTGTTACTTTGACCAGGGTTGTCTCATAATAAGACAGCATAATAAGGGTGTTTGTTTAATTCAGCAAGACTCACTATTTAATGAAGATCACCATCTCTGTCAATTTGCTTGAGGGCCACACGCTCCAGCAATGTAACACACTGTAGCATGGACAGATAGGATTTGGGTCTGTACTTGAGTTTGAGCTCCTGGTTCCTCAAAATCTCCTGCTTTCAATGATGATGTCACTGTAGCCAGTTGCAAATGCGGACTGGGCACTTTCCCATAGGAAGAAGGATTTATGGAGACATGATGGCTTTGCCTTCCAAAAGCATTAATTCTCTTGCCTATTTTGCTGGAGAGGAAGCAGTGCTTACACAGCCTGCAGGATAGAAAATATATGCCTGGTCTTGTTTTCATCCAGTTTTACACCTTAAATGATGGTATAGGAGCTTTTAGATCAGTCTGTTGTAGTCCGTGCATTGTGCCCAACCCATCAAAAAATATTGAAGTCTGATTTTGTGTGATGGAATTCATAGTAATGTATATTTAACAAGGTTTACCAGGGCAAGTGTTGGGACAAACTTCCTTAATCCACATGCTTCTGTATACCTAGCAGTAAGTAGGAACTTGGTTGTTAAGATGATTGGCAGATCACTTTTCCGGGGATAATAATCCTTAAAAAAAATTTGGTCACTCAATCCATGACTTTTTATGGAAAACTGATGTGCACAATTGGCTGCCATATTTCACCCACAAATATACAGTCAATTCATTTTACAGTAATTATATGATTAGTATGCATGAAATCTACTCTAAAGCTATATTCCTTGCATTTGATACCTCACCTTCCGTCGAGATGTCTCAAAGCACTACAGATATACTGTAAACTGGATTCACTGTATTTTGTGGGTGAAAGGCTACATTTTGTAAGGTTATTATTGTGCTTTCACTTACTATAAATAGGTATAATACAAAATCCCAGTATTTATTCAAGCTCCTGGCTTTTAAAAAATATTTTATAGATATTATTCATAGGTAGGGTCACTGTTTTACCTTGACAATATCAAATATTCCATTTGTGTTTCATGGATCCTAAAATTTATCCTGGTATTTGGGGAAATGACACAAGTTTTACCAATTCTTAAGCAGTTTTAGTTAGTCTAATATTATTGTTGTACTTTTGTTGTTTTGTCTCTCAGACAAAAATCCTTAGAATTTATTGATCCTCTCTGTGAAGCATTAATTTACAAGATTGTTAGCTTAAAAGGAAATAACATGTGACAGGGATGAAATGCCTCTACCATGGAAGCCTGGTTTTAGTACTTATCAAGGCATATGGATGGTCAAGGATGCTGTTAAAAGAACACACTAAACAATTCCTCTTTCAAACATTCAATGAAAGACTGTGTTGAAGTCTTTGGGAGTTTTCTTCATGCCCAATCATGGTGTAGGTGACCTGCTCATTGAAGTCAAATGTTTGACTGGTAGCTCTGCCCAGATCACTCAGTGGTAGAATCACCAATAAGTTGTGTTTCAAGTCAGGCATGTAGTTAGTCATCGTTTTGCTCAGGAGTTCATTTGTATGCAACATAGACATAGAAATTTCCCGATCGAGATTGCAGTTTCCTGGAGGGTTCACATCCTGCTTATCAAATTCAGGAGCTATGACTTGGAAACCCCAGTGCGCATTAAAGTACTTCTAGAATTTAACACACTAAAACTGCAAAGCTTGCCATTGAAAGCACCGTCTGGCAAGATTCCCACTGCTTATCTAACTGAGGACCCATTAGGGCCTTGCAGAGTGGGAAAAATCCCTGCCCCCAGTCTGTCCATCCAAATTGTGCCGACAACCTTCGCTGGTTAACTTAGAATATTGCAGACTCGAGGGGCTCTGGAACTAGATTACGAAGACCAGCAAAGAGGACTGACACAGTTTGCATTTTGATGGGTTTTATTAGAACTTCCATTACCACAAATTAAATTCACTTGGAAACCTTCATTGTACATTATTATGTATGCATTCATACATTTTATAGCCACTTTTGTAACTAAGTAATGTAAAAATAAGAAAAATATTTTCATTGGGACATGGAAACAGGATGTTTATTTTGAGATTGATTTTATTGTACCAAAGCAAAGCTCCAAAAATGGGACAAATTAGTATTTACAGATTTAAACAATATGAAAGACATCTGCACTCTGGAATGGTCAGTCTCATGAACTGATTGCAGCAATCAATGTTTATTCTATATATTTTCCAAGAATATCTCCATCTCTAAACAAGTAGTATTCCTAAACAAGAAAGAGGGAAAAAAAAATTAGCATGAAACCAAAATACATCAGGTTGGTTATTTCAGTCAATGTTTTGGTTTGAAAATGTGAGCTGTACCAACCTTCTCTTCCAAGATGACTTTAGTGCCTCCATATTCTGGCAGTAGAACTTTTTCACCAACTGTTACCATCATTGGCTGGATGTCACCATTCTGGAAAAAATAAGCAAGTCAAGCAAAGGAATATTTTAAATTTAGAAAATAATGTAACTTCCCAAACCCTAACATTGCAATTTTGTGGAACGTTATACAAAACCAACAAAGTATGTTTTCCACATTGAGATTTACTATACCTTCATAACAAAAAAACTCTCCCTCCCCCCATCCGTGCTACTCTTTTTGAATGTACTGACTTATGCTGAGGTACAGTTCCACAGTCACCGACTGCCCACTACTTAAGCAGTACATGTAAACTTTTTGTAGCTTTCCATCTGTAACATGTCTATTCCCCAATAAAAGGAAAAAAGACAGCAAGTTACTTTCAAGAGTTTTTTTCAGGAAAAGGACAGTATTTTGCAAACAAACTCGCTGAATTTTCTTTATATTTGTTTTAATGTTGCAGAAAAACACATATTGTCTTCTTAGGTTAGAAAGCATAAGCAGGATGCACCAGATGGGAATTTGTCAATTTATTAAATTCACAAGCATTAATGTACAATGGTACTTTTGGTGGAGGAGATTTCACTGTGCAATCAAACTGACCTTTGATCTGCCGCCAGGTCCAGTTGCTACAATGGTTGCTTGAACGACTTTTCCTTGGGACTTTTCGGGTAGCATGATTCCACCTTTTGACACCAGTTCTGCTGCATATCTTTCCACCAAAACCCGATCAAAGAGAGGCAGAAACTTCTTGAATGCCTTTCCTGCCTATGGAAATTAGGAAAGATTCATGGCATTCAGCATATGCTGAAAGGCTTCAAACACAGACTCGAGGATCAACTGAACAACCATTTCATTTAACACAGTGGTAAAAATGATCAAATCTGAGTTTTTAAAAACATAATCTTGGCCAATACAAGTAGTATAAGGGGCGGATGGGGTGGGAAGGCCTGTAAAGGCTTAGTGTCACATTTGTGATCACCTTCAACTGGTATCATTCTTAGCAACTGTCCACTTAATTTCCCGAGAGAGAGATCCTTGAAATGTAGGCATTGGACCATTGTTAGAAATAAGTGCAACTTTGGAAACGTTTAAATCGGTTTGCAATACGTACACGTTTCAAAATCCCAACACGGGAACATTACTAGTTACTAGTCTGAAAATCCTCAACACCACCTCGGGCTCGTGTGAAGCCATGTAGATTGTTGCGTGTGTCATTTTGTATATTTAAAAAAAGAAAACGATTCATGAGGGAGGTTAGCATTGCTCTGCATTTTGGGCTGACCTTGCAGACTCGGTGCCTCGGAACAAGGTCATTATCCTAATAACAGCAGCAAATTCCACTGCAACAGAACATCGAGTGATACAACGTAGCACATCTATCGTTCGTTGTGTCCCACTTCCTTCCCCGCAGCGATTGCTCGGTTTCAAAGTGGCATTTTGTCCCCAAAAAAAAAGAGACGCGAAAACGTGGGCGAGAACCACGTTGTCCCATTCATTTCTAACCGGGACCTCAATGACGTGCTGGAATGGCTGCTCCCTCCCCCCTCCCCACACCCACCCCTTCCCCCACCCCACCCCCCAAAAAAAGGACAGGAAAACCTGGGCATAAAGTCAAGTAACCCCCCCCCCACCCCACCCCGTCCTGATTGAACAGCAATTCCTTTTTAAACGTTCCTCAAACCTCCAACACCGACCACCGCATTGGTTGCATTGTGCACCAAATGTGTCTCTCTGGAGTGGGGGGGAAAGAGCTGAGGATAAAAGCACAAAAAACCAGTGCATTGCCGTAACTCACCATTTTCTTCTCTCGGCGACTGTTCGGGGGCTTTTTTTTTGGTTATATATTATATATATATAATATAAAAAAAGAAATGGTTCCTATATAAAACTGCAGGAGAGAGAGAGAGAGAGACGCCTCTGCCCGAGCACAGCCTTTGTTGCAGCGCTGAGTGGAGCGGCCGCGACCACGTGAGCGTCCGGGGCAATGCCGTCGGCCACGTGACCTGCGACGTCACGCTCACGCGGCGTCACGTTTCTCGAACTCTCTTCTCCGTCCCGTCCTCCCCGCGCGCGGGGGGGGTGGGGAGGAGGAGGAGGGGGAACACGTGGCCACGTCTGGGCGGGTTTCGCGTCCAAATCGGGCGTTTTTTGTCGGATTGCGCGCGTGAAAGAAACGGCTTTGGGCGGGTTCTTGTTCTTTTTTAATTTGAACCCGCAAAACGTGTGTAATCCCTCTCCTCTCCTTTGAAGATATTTTCTGAACACATTTCCCACCCTCCAAAGCACTTACCCGAATTAAATCAGCTCACTCCGCTGCCTATAGTAGGAGGCGACGCGTGATTATGATTGGGGCTACTTTTGGGGTTGACTTTGGGCTCTTAATTGTCGGCCCCGCGCGCCTCTCCTCTCGTCACCTCACCTCCCGCTCTCCCTCGCAAACGGTTCGATCAAAGCACCGAACCGACCTCTTGTTTTATTATCATTACTACTACCATTATAATAATAATACGTACAAATATATCATTTCAATCGACCGCCCCGCGAGGTGACCTTTAACCTCGCCTGCGCAGATTCCCTCATGGAAGCTTCTGGAAAAGGAGGCGAAGGCGGGGGGGGGGGTAGGGAACCCCTGAACGAGCATAGCAGCATTTATTTTTTCGCTGGTGGAAAGAGATTAGTGAGAGGGATTGCATCTTTTTTTTTTCTTTTCGAGGGGGCGGGGGCGAGACAGCTGGTGATTTTGCAACGGGAAGCGGGTGGGTTGGGGGAGGGAGGGAAAGTGTTTTGTTTTAGCCGGTAAGCGAGGGGCGGGTGTGAGTTATGCCGGTTGAGGGGCGGGTGTGCAGGGCCCGGCTGCGGACCCACGTGTTGAGGGGGGGCGCACGCGCTCAGGTCGTCACCGGCAGCAGAAGCACCAGCGCAGCCGCAAGACTCCCAGCGCCGTCTCCCGCCTTCCTTCTCCGCCAGCAGTAAAAGTAAGCTCGGCCGCCATTCCTTTTTTTTTGTGTGTGTGTGGGGAAATAATTTAAACCTGGGGAGGAGGGAGGGAGTTGTTAATTTTTTTTCCCCCCTCTCCCTTTTCTTTCGCACGTTTCCCTCGAACTTGTTAGCAGCGCTGCCCTTACTCCTGGGCTACTGTTCCTTGGGGTTTGAGGAGGGGGGGGATTCGTATTTAGTAATAATATTAATAATAATAATAATACTTGCACTAATACAGCGCCCGGTCCACGTCTCTCTCCCGAGACATCTCAGAGCGCTTCTTCATTCGCACTGCAAACTGAACCGACCGCTTCACGGGTTCGTGGGCGAAATTTCGGTGGGTTTTTTTTTTAAAAAAAACAGCAAATGCAAGGATTCAAAATGTTTCCCCCCCCCAACAACAAAAAAGACGCACAAAAAATAACGGGATGAAGGGGGAGGTTTGGGGGTGGGGGGTGAGGGGGTGATGGGGACCGAACATGCGCTGAAAATGAATTCACGCGCCGCGAGTTACAATGGGGGGAAAAGAAGAGAAAAAGGAGGCGATGAATGAACAGCGAGAGTCAGGGCACCGCGCGGGCTCTGTCTGGGTGGGTGGGTGTCTGGGTCTGTACTCGCACTCACACTTGACATTTAGGATTGAAATGGCTTCCCCCCCCCCCCCACCGCGTTGGTGCTGCAAAAAGTCCGGCTTTTGATTGCATTCCCCCTCTCCCTTATTATTTCCATTCCTTCTCCTTTTTCTATTTTGCAAAGGGTGGGGTGTGGGGCTGCACGGCTCGGCTCGGTTTGACCTTGTGCCTTGTGTCCCCTCCTCCACATGTGAGGAGGAGTGAGAGTGAGGCCTTGTTGCAGCAGCGCTCTGTTCTCATCACCCTCCCTGACCCCAGACTATAAACAGTACAAATCAGCACCGATTTGCTTCCACATTTTCGGGTGTGTTTTTTTTTTGTTTCTCCCCACGCAGCAGGAAAAATCCCCACCAAAATGCTCCGTTTACCAAGCGTCCTGCGAAAAGTGAGGCCTGTGTGCAGGGCGCTCGCACCGCATCTCACCAGGAGCTACGCCAAGGAAGTCAAGTTTGGAGCCGAAGCCCGGGCTATGATGCTCAAAGGTGTCGATCTTCTGGCGGACGCTGTAGCTGTTACCATGGGACCAAAGGTGATATGACGGAGTCTGGTCTTGCGAGGTCTTTGCATACACACAACAGGACTTCAATCTGGAAATTAATGCCTGAGTTTTAAGTAAACTCCTTTCGCTCATGATATACATACTTTATAGTATATCCATCCTGCAAAGCACTTTGAAACGCCCCATTGACAAAAATAAGGTGCTTTATCAAATCCAAGAATTATTATTAACTACATAACCTTAAAAAAATCTTAATTTATATACCAAGGTTTCGGAATGCAAGGGATAAAGCATATGTTTAATGTTTTTTCCCTCATCCCTTTTTCCTGTAATTTTGCAACTGCAGTGATAATTAATAATTATAATCTTTGCATTTTAAATAGTGCTTTATTACATCTTTGAGGCCTTCACACTGTAAAGTAGATTGAGTATTTTGTGGGTGAAATGTCTGAATTAGTGAAATTCAGATTTTTTTCTTGCACTGATTTTTTTTTGTTTTCAAACATATAGGGGCGAACCGTCATTATTGAACAGAGTTGGGGAAGCCCTAAAGTGACGAAGGATGGCGTGACAGTCGCAAAAGCGATAGATTTCAAGGACAAATACCAAAATATTGGCGCTAAGCTTGTGCAGGATGTTGCCAATAACACAAATGAAGAGGCTGGTGATGGAACCACCACTGCAACAATTCTTGCCAGGGCCATTGCTAAAGAAGGGTTTGAAAAAATAAGCAAAGGAGCAAATCCAGTGGAGATCAGGCGAGGTTAGCCATCAATTTAATTGTCTTTGAAATGTTTGTTCCTAGTGTTTCCAATATTTTTGAGACGGGGTGCATCTGTATATCGCACCCAACTTTCCAGTGTAAAATTACATTGGTAATAAAATATTGCTCAGTGACTTAGCTGAAAAGTTAAAACTCTTGATAGTGGAGTTTTCATGTGGTTATATTTTTGTTTAGAATAATGGCTGTTATAACAACAAAATTTGTATAGCACCATTCACATTCCAAAGAGCTAGACAATCAGTCTTTTGGACCTGATAACATAACAGTATGTAGTGCTATGAAGCTTTGTGAGATTTATTTTCTGTCAAGAAGTCTAGTCAAGGATTGGAGTCCTTGACTAGACCTTGACTCCAAAATCATTTTTCAGCTCAGCAGTACTCATTTCGTGAGTTAAAAGGTTGTTGGTTCAAGCTCCATGTCTGGACTTTGAGTTCATCGCCTAGGCTGACAGTGTGGTGCTGGAAGAGCACTGCATTGTTGGAAACACCATCTTTTGGATTAGATTTTAAATCAAGGTTCCACACTACGTCCTTAACATATTTGAAGAGAGAAGAGAGTTTCTCCTGGTATCCAGGCTAATATTGTTCTAAATTTTTTTGTAAATAACAGCCATTCACTTTAGGCTACAAATTGGTTTTGCTTATGAATACTATCAAACATAGGTTTGCTTATGAATACTGTCACTACACTTTACAGAAAGCTCTGGGAAAGGCAGTGCAAATGTAAAGATTATTTATTATATTTGCTTTGTTTTGGTTTTTGTCAGTCTAGCAGTTCAACAGTTAACCTGGAGGCACAAGGTGACAATTGCACATGTAAATTCAAGTTTTCCTCTTGTTTCCCTCTTTGCTTTTCCCTATCATCCATCTTCAGTAAAGTTGATTATGGCATGACCAAATGGGCTTTTCACTCTGTTACTTTCAATGTAATCCCTTTTGTCATTTCTTCCCCCCCCCCACCCCATTTCATGTAGGACTTTTAATATGAGGAATCTTCACAGCTTTAATTAGTGCTATCTGTATTAAGCAAGATATAATAATATAATCCTTGCATTTGATATAGCGCTTTTCACGTCTTCTAGATGTCTCAAAACGCTTCACAGAATAGACTGTAAAGTGAATTGACTATATTTCTGGGCGAAACGCGGCAGCCAATTGCGCACAACAGTGTCCCACAAACAGTCGTGGATTGAAATGACCAATTTATTGTTTTTTTTTTGAGGGATTATTATCAGGCGTGCGGAGTATGGAAACTTGCCCAAAGTTTCGCCCTGCTGGGAATCGAACCCAGATGTTTCGGGGAGAAGGTGGGGTGGGAGAGGGAGGGAGGGCGGGGTGAGGGAGATAACACAATGAGATTGCATTTTTACAGTCTATTTATTATGTGTGTCAGTCTTAGGTTCTTCTATTCCCGTGGTGAGGTGTTTAGTGTGTTATGTTTTGCAAATATGGTAAAATTTGCAGGTAATAAGCTAATTCTTATAATTAGAATTACCCATTAATTTGATTGAGCAATATCCAATGATTGGGTATCGGTGATTTTCAGGTGTAGTAAAAAAATTGTGATACCATTACAATGTCTAATAAGTCTTAAAAGAAATGATATTTTGGTTTTTGTTTAGGTAACAGAGTAGATATCATGACTATATAATAAAGGTCACCCTCTTTGCTGCAGTTAAATAACATTTGTTGTTTGGATTATTGGAACTGACAATTTTAGTTACTACCTGGAGCAGCAGTTACCAGAACCAACTTTAATCTTGGATCCTGGTGGTTTGTGTTAACCGAGTGTTCAGTGTTAAGAATGAAAAAACCCACAATGACTACTGTTTGTTTTTGGAAAGTTACGAATATTGCAGTACAACCATTCCTGCCACTAGGCGGCGCTGTGCACAATTCTCTATAGCACCATCCGGTGCTGATAATGGAATACTACAACTTGTGTCACTGCAGCAGCAGGAACAGGGCACTGAAGGAATTCAAATCAGACGAGGACACAGGAAGATTATTGTACAGATCCCCAATTAAATCTGTGTGCCTATCCTTGTCCAAAATTATCCTCTCGTTTAATATGCATCCACAAATTTGTTTACAAAAAATCAGTAGCTGCAAACTTGAGAAACTATAGTGTGAATATATAGAAATGCTGCTTAATATCAAAATCTGGCAATTTCAGGTTTGGGTCCATGTATATTTTAACAGTTCTATATGCCACTAATAATATGTAACTATCTTTCTTAATTCCTTTATAGGTGTAATGCTATCTGTGGATGTTGTTATTGCTGAGCTGAAAAAATTATCTAAACCTGTTACAACACCAGAAGAAATTGCTCAGGTATTTCTTTTCTTGTAATCTTGTTTGTAACTTGAAATTGTTTTGCTATGTCATGATCAATAGATTCATAGAATGTTACGGGCACAGAAGGAGGCCATTCGGCCCATCGAGTGTTTTGTCTTGATTGCTTCAGCAGCTGGAAGTTTAATATTCATCTGGGGACTTTGACACTGCATGAAGGTAGCAGAAATACACTGTTGTGGTGTGATACTGTATTTTGGGGGATTTATGTCATTTGTCTTTTTTAAGATTGATTGTGGGTTCAGAGCAAACTGCTGCCAAAGGAATGAGAATGCAGTAACCCAGATCTGGGTCTATGGCAACGGAAGAGTTACCAACCTGTCTTGAAGTGTGTGTAAACAATAATACAAATTTGTATCATAACCTTAGAACATTGCTGGGAATTTCTTCTTCGCTCTCTCCCCCTCCACCACCGCTACTATTTGGATATATTGATTGGTTTGTTAAACTTTCTGTAAATATCCTCTGTTGTGGAATCCCAATTTATAATCTATAGTTAAATTTGAATGTTTGAATATGTTGCCTTTCTTGACATGCAATACATTTTATGGTCAGTGATAACTTTAGTACAGCGTATTTGTTTCTTTAACCTCAGGTTTTTATACCCGCTAACTGATAATTGTTTTCTTTTCAGGTGGCAACTATCTCAGCCAATGGAGATAAAGACATTGGTAACCTTATCTCTGATGCAATGAAGAAAGTTGGGCGCAATGGTGTCATCACAGTCAAGGTAAGTGCATTTGTTTAGAACTTCTAATAATCTCTAATCAGTACTAAATATTTCTGTACTTGAGGTAATTTATTTGGGCAGAGAATTTGGAATTGCAAAGTGAACTGTAACCTTATTACACGATGGTAGTTTCCTCTCTCGGGGAATCCAAGCAAGCATTTTTTTGAACAATGGTGACACTACACTATAAGAATCAAGGTATTGTGTGTGTTTTGATGGTTTCTTCTTACATTTGATATGAACAGGATGGCAAAACACTCCATGATGAGCTTGAACTCATTGAAGGATTGAAGTTTGATCGTGGTTACATCTCTCCTTACTTCATCAACACAAATAAAGGTACTTATGAGAGCTGTGCCTCTTAGTCTCTAGGCTATTGTATCACAAATATAAATTGGGAACCTCTGGAATAGAAGAAATAAAAAATACTCTGATTAAATGTTTTGCAACAAAAAACAGGAGAATATAATGCAGTGTGTTGAAAACTAGTTCATTTGTTTTTAATTAGAAGACACGTGAATCTAAAATTGGAATCAAATACAAATCCTCTATCCTGAAAGTGGAGTTTGTTCTGGGCTATTTACTGCCTCTTCCTAGTAAATCAGCCTTGTATTGGCCTTGTAAGCAAGGCCTATTTCTGTCCTTGCCTTTTATTTGTATGATTACCAGCTGGGAAGCTGGCTAGTGAAAAGCAGTTGGAGGGTGGGGGGCTTTCTTAATGTGTCTCTCTTCGACATAGCTCAGGGACAGGTAGCTCTAAATCTGCAACATTCATTTGGTTCAGTACTGCATCAGTTTATTTATGTACCAAATCATTGGGAGAACTTGAAACATATATTTAAAATATGGCATGCAAAAATCTTATTACTAAGCAGAGTGTTAAATATTGGAACGTGGTTTCTCCTCTTCCATTCCTTTTACCATTGGTGGCATGCGAGATCAAATATAAGTTGTAGTTAAGACTTGAGCTCAATCTCTGATTATTCCCAGTATTGTAAGTGGATTATTACTGTAAATGGCTAAAATTGGCTGTTTTAACTTGTACTTTTACTTCCAACAGGTCAGAAATGTGAATTCCAAGATGCATACTTACTGCTCAGTGAAAAGAAAATATCAAACGTGCAGTCTATTGTGCCAGCCTTGGAGATCGCCAATGCACATCGGAAACCTCTGGTGATTGTTGCTGAGGATGTTGATGGAGAGGCACTTAGCACTTTGGTTTTGAATAGGTCAGTCCAGTACTCATTCAACAATTATAAGAGAAGCCTTTGGACTGGTGGTTAAAAAGATCTTATTGGGTGATGTTTAATGTTTTAAGGGTTAAAGATTATAAAATCATTGCATGGGGAACTAGGTCCTTTGCACAATGTTGGTTGTGGGTTGCCATCCATGAATACCACTAGTAGGGCACCCAATTAAGTTTTCATACCATTGTATTTTCCCCCAAATAATCACACTTTTTGTTTTTGTCAGTTCATCTGGAGTAAAACTTCATATATTGGCATTATTAGGTGAACAGGCAGAAGAACAAAATTATCAATTCCTTTTAATTTTAGGTTAAAGGTTGGCTTGCAAGTTGTAGCTGTAAAAGCCCCTGGATTTGGTGACAACAGGAAGAACCAGCTGCTGGACATGGCTATTGCCACTGGAGGCACAGTGAGTAGAATGATTCTTCTAAGTAAATAATATAGACTTGTGCAAATGCAGTTGAGTGTTTCAACTCGATTGTGTATTCAGTTAACAATATTTGGGTTAACTTTTACAATTGGAGAGAAACTATTTGTTTGATAACAAAATTTAAAATATTTCTCCGCTTTTGGAGGACTCTAGCACTCTGCAGTAAATTGCCATCAGAGGTGTTATAGTTTCTTTTTAGGATCAATGTTCAAATGCAAGTATTAAATGCTGATTTTAAATAGACTTCATTTAATCATGTGTTGCTTGTATTGGTGTCTGTTTGATGCATCATAGGTTCATCTCATATTATGTCTTTAAAACGCTAGATATCAAAGGTGCAACATGGTGAGAATAAATAGATGAGTTTTATGTTAAATTTATTATAAGGGATTCCATTGTCTGTGTTTTTATTTTTAAATGGTTAGCATTACAAAAGGTACTTGTATTTAAATTGCAGAACCTTACTATTATTGTAACCCACGTCTTAATCATTATCTTATGCTCATGGGATTCAAACAATTAGAATGCTGGTACTGAAAGAAACTGGCACAAAAAAAAGCCGGGAATTCCAGTTCCCTGGACTGAATCTCCCTTCTCTCTCTCTTCCCCCTCCCCTGCTGCTACCATTAGTCTGGCTAGACAGGGTTTTAGTGTATATAAAATGGAATGGGGGTTTTAATGCAGGGATTTCAGTTTTGGTATAACTGAAACTAACCGTTGTGTGTCCTGTTGTAGGTATTCGGAGATGAGGCACTTAATGTGAAATTGGAAGATATCCAGGCCCATGATTTTGGTAAAGTAGGAGAAGTTGTAGTAACCAAGGATGACACCATGTTGTTGAAGGGCAAAGGTGAAAAGAGTGTCATTGAAAAGCGTATTCAGGAAATTGTGGATTTGCTAGAAATCACCAGTAGTGATTATGAAAAGGAAAAGCTGAACGAAAGGCTGGCCAAACTATCGGATGGAGTGGCAGTTTTGAAGGTAAGGAAATTTTAGACCACAAGTTAATATATTGCACAATATTGGGATAAAATGAGTCAGTGTTTTTCTTCCTTATTGTTCTCCAGTATATTGTATAACAGATTAACTACGTAGCTGTTCTTTGGTTCCATGAATATGTTTTGGCCTTACTGAATTAGTAATCTTTTTATATTTTTCCACAAGTCCACCTCTGCCTCGTGGGCCCAATTTGTTAACTGTACCTGAGACTTCTGCTCAAAGTGGTGACAGGACAATGAAGTCTTCATTTTGCGTTGTGTGTTTTATTTTGGATTTAGATCGGTGGCACAAGTGACGTGGAGGTCAATGAGAAAAAAGACAGAGTAACTGACGCGCTGAACGCTACACGTGCCGCTGTGGAGGAAGGTATTGTTCTTGGTGGGGGCTGTGCTCTGCTCCGCTGTATTCCAGCATTGGATGCTCTTAAACCTGTGAATGAAGACCAAAAAGTTGGTAAGGCTTCCAAACTATTTTTCTTTCATCTGTTTAGATTCAGAGAAAGTGGCAGCTCTGATGTATATTGTGGCAGGAGCTAAGGATGTCCCAAGCTGCTGTTCACTTTATTTAGTTGTCATTGCAATACCTTTTATTTTTGGCTGAATCTCAATACATTAACAGAGTTTGTAATGGCAGTATTTTGGATCCAGATTGGTGTGTGTAAAATGGCTCTGGAGTTGATGATTTATCATCATGTATATTTCTATAAATGAGTATGATTTTAAAACTCCAAACCTAAACGATTTTCAGAAGTCATTATACCCACTTATCTCAAACTTGTTTATTGACATTGTATGTCAACAAAAATTTGAAGTCCCAGGCCCTTCCTCATGAGAATATGTTAAACGTGTCTTTTGTATCAATGAAAAATGTGTTGATGTAAGCATGCCAAACGTCCCTAAGTACATTGTGTTCTCAACACTGCTTTTGATGGGCAGGTTGTTTTAACTCTTGCCTCCCTGCACTGTACCTGGCACCAAAATGTCCCACTTGAGCTTTGGGGAGTGTGTGTCTCTCCAGTCCCTCTGGAGTCAAGAGCACAGCACTCAGTGTGTGGCTGGAATACAACTCCTGGCACACATCTTTGTGCATTTATGTCAAAATCTGCTCAGAATCCTGTGATGTTGGCATAAATGGGTAGGATTGTATATAGATCATTCATGATGAAATCTGTTTTTCACCTCTGATCTTGCTTTCTTTGAACAGGAATTGAAATTGTTAAGAAAGCTCTAAAAATTCCTGCCATAACAATTGTCAAAAATGCTGGAGTTGAAGGATCCCTAATTGTGGAGAAAATCTTGCAGAGCCCACCAGATATTGGCTATGATGCAATGGCTGGGGAGTTTGTGAAGATGGTGGAAAAGGGAATTATTGATCCCACAAAGGTACATTCTTAATGGAGTTTTCCCAGATTGTTAAAGTCACCATTTGACAAAATCCTGCCAACTTTTTCTGTAGCTCCACTTTTACTTAAGTCGGTAGTTGTAACGTAAGAAAACCAACTGGATGTTGCATATGGTTAAATGGCTTCCTTTCCATCCAGCTTCACTGCTGGAAAATAAGATTTTACAGATGCAAAATTGCCTTGTTTGCTTTCAAAGTGACAGCCTGGCTCAGTGGAGATTGCACCAACATTTAGTTTAAAGGCTGTGACTGGACTCATGTAAGGACTCTGGATTTACATGATCCTGGTAGACAGTCCCCTCTGTACAAAGCTATTGACACAGCCAGCCTCAGGCAGAGCACTTTGCACAAATAAATATTTTCTTTGATAGTAGCCTCCAAAACTACAATTTTTTGAGAATGAGTATAACGATAATACACATTGAGATTAACCCAGTAAATATGTTAATTTGTAGGTGGTGAGGACCGCATTGATGGATGCAGCTGGAGTTGCCTCCCTCCTATCAACAGCAGAGGCTGTAGTTACAGAACTACCAAAGGATGAGAAGCCACAAGGAATGGGGGGTATGGGTGGTATGGGTGGCCCAGGTATGGGTGACATGTTTTAATTTCCCTGAAATATGCAGATTTTTGTATGAACTGAAATAACTGACGCAATGTATCTGTTAACATTGTCTGAATTGAACAGCTGCTTCCACAATGAAGACTACAAGATGACTATGAAAGGTTTTTTTTTGGAAAACAGCTCTCCATCATTGGGATACTTGTAATTAAGTTAATAGAGCTCAGTTGAACTGTTCCAGGTCTTGAACGAGTGACTTGTTTACTGCCCTCATTGTCAGTGCTGAGAAATTGTAATTTATTTTGTATTCTGAATAAAATCAACATTTGTACATTCCTTAAAATACTGGATGTGTGAAGCACATACTTAAATCATCATTAGTTTATTGTAACAGTAATCCACTACTGTACAGACATAATACTGTTTTTTTAAAAAGATGTGTAGGCAACAAGTTATACAAGGCAGGTTCTCTGTGCAAAACAAGACGGTGATGAGATCCGTACACCCATCCAGTACAGCAAAACAAGATATCATGTAACATTGCCTTAAATAAAAGCAGATGGCTATCATCCCTCTTTGTGATTTTATTTGTGGAGAAAATTTTACACTTTACCTGTTAAACCAAGATGGGAGTTGACATTTTGATGTGTTCTCAATCCACTTATAAAATGGAACCACTGGGGTGTGAAATGAGGACTGTCTTCAAAGGTGGGAACCCAATTGTTCCAATTAATATAGGAGCCATTAGCATTGTCCTGACATCTACCTTTCAGTTCAAGTGTAAATCTTTTGTAGAAAGATGGGGAAAAAACATGAGGCACCATTTAAAAAAATTAATTGATTTGTTGAAACCTTAAGTGCATGATGATTAGAATAATTTCACTAATTGGATTAAAGCAGTCATCTGCAGAATGGCCATTCATGGTTTGGGCAAATATTGTTTCTTTCTAACCAATGCAATGAGATCAGGATCACCTGTACCCTAGTGACATGAAAGTGATAAGATTTCTTTTGTCTCCCTGCGAAAGTCTAGAGTTTAAATTTTAACTGGATATCATCATTTGCTGTATTTGCTTAAAAATTATTAAGCAAACTGGTCTCGTACAACAGTAGACATTTGGGCTCTTTCAGGCTGCAATGATTGTTGCCTCTCAACAAGGACCCAAGGAAAACTCAACATTTGAGCATTAAGATTAGCACATAATTCAGTGTCTTATCACTGTAATTGTACTCAAACTATAAATACTAACATCTAAATATGGATGTGGTTTAAATGTACAAGACAGTACTTGAATTGCAGTCCTTATTTTTATTATCATTAGCTTTTCAATTGACACTGGTCAATTATTTTGCTGCAACAAGCAGGACATAAATCATGGCCAGCAGCAAGATCCATATAGAGCAGGTTCACAGCAGGAGGCAATGGACAATTGCAGAATATTCAGAATCAAAGAACAATCAACTTCCAACCCACAAGTTCAACTTGATACTTTACAGTTATGATCGATGAAGATTTTTCTTTCCTCCCCTTTGTGATGAGCCTCGATTGCACAAGTGCCAGAAGCCCTGTAGTACCTCACTCACATTTTCTCATCTTTGAGCCTAGACAGCAACATATACAGCAACAATTTTAGGCAGATTCCTTTGATACATCTGTCAAAAATTAAGACAAGCAAGGTTGCTAGATAGTGGAGGGGAGAGGAATTTTAACTGAATCTATTCCTGATCCTGACCCCTTAATGGAGGTCACCTTTGTTGGCTTTAATCATCAGCACAGCAAACTGGAGGAAGGAAGAGTTTACACCTATTTACAAACAAACGCTACCAGTTTTAGGGACTAAAAAACAGTCCAAGAAAAGGAATTAACTAAACAATGGATGTTTGGATTCACAATCCACTGCTGTAGAAATATGATCTACAACTATGCCAGTTCTGTTACTGTAAATCCTGAACTGTGTACAGTAGCACCAGAACTAAAAAGTTATATTACCATAAGTCAACAGATTAGTAATGGAGCCTTTAATTTAAAATGCTGTTACTTTGGTTGTAGGTATTGAAGGGTAGGACTAATATGAAAATAGTTCCAAAATCTACAGCAAAGTACATTGTATGAAAAATATCTGCAATCTCAAGACCACACATCACTAGACATCTCAGTATTAGTGTTTGATACTAACATCACATGCTCATTGCTCAAAATTGTCTTTTTCCCCAAACCTTGAACATAAATACAAGCTTGTTTGCTCATTTCTATCCTTGGACAGATTGAACCTCAGTAGCCAGTCCAGATTAACAATGCACCACAATAGGTGAAAATTGCACTTAGTTACACCTTAAATAATTTGCACTTTATGTACATATAGCCTTGCAATTGTATATAACATTTTTTGCCAAAGCTTTTCCTATAACATTTTTACAGCTACATAATACATATTGTAAAACCAAGTGATACATATAGGTAAAGATAATCACTCCCACACATGGAAGTTGAACTGCATCACACCAATAAATAAAACTATACAACATTAAGAAGGGGACCTACAACGGTTCCTTCCTATTTTTAATCTACGTCTGATGCACCTCATGAAGCATAAGTTCTCGTGGGATATTGGTTTCTGGACCGTACAACTTTCCTGCTCTTCTTTCAAACGCTGCCACCATCTGCTTCACAACTTCATCAAAAAACACTGTGGCAAGCTGAGAGTGCAGCAATGAACGGAATTCAAAGGAAATCTGCAGGTTAACAAAAAAAAATTACTTTCTAAACCAAGAATAGTAAAGAAGATAACTTATTAAGAATTACAAAATTGATTTCTAAACAAGAATAATCCACAGCTTGTGGAGGGAAGATTTGGGAATTCCAGCGAGCAGGCAGTTGGCAGAGAAAGATCCATTGGTGAATAAGGAGCAGGTATGGATGATCTGTGTCTTGCAGAAACTGCAGCAGGCAAGATATATGCTATAAACTTCTGTTGATCTGTGCAAGGAAAATACATATCTAACTTAAAATAACCTTACAATTGAGATATGCGATCCTTAGAGTTGCTTGAGCTCATATATCGACAAGGAACACCTTCATAGTTATGCTGGTGATATATATTTATTGGAGGTTTTACAGATCAGTCATAGGTAGTGCTGGTTAGAGGGTCACCTTAAGGTTGTTCGTCAAGTACATCAAGTCCAATTTATCTGCACCCCTGGAATTCCTGCGTGCCTAACTTACGTGGAAGGTAATGGAGAAGTTAGCGTATTTCTAAGGTGTGCCCCTTAAGGTTTAATGCGCCATAATATCTAGAAGAGTCAAATGTATTACTGACACTTGTATCAAACAGAACAGCTCCATAGCTTAGACCACGTCAAGATTGCACTTGATATCAGTACAGGTTTCTTCATTGACCTTATTGTATGCCTTCTGAATCAGCATTCAGAACATTTCAGACATTTGGAAGCTGTGGAACGCTGGGTCCCGAGGTTGTATTTGGAAGATATCCCATTTGGAGAAAAGTCAGATTTGCTTTTCAACTGCAACACGTGACATTTCCAGAATGGGTTTCTATTTCTGGAGTGCTGCAAATGCTATTCTAAAACTAACTCTCTTTCATCAAAGGATACTTATCACAAGGTGCTTCACTGGGTGAGGGAGAAAGCAATCCTGATTGAAATGGAACTTGAATTATCATTCCCCATTTCACAGATTACCTCTCTGTCTGCCTGTACTCATCAATGCTCATTTCTATTGTAGATTGTCTGCTGGTTTGGAAAGAGCCTTTTACTTCCATTGGCCTTATTCTGATTTCTCCAAGGAGCTAATTAATAGCCTATGAGTCATGTCATATGACACACAAGATTAGGTCCAGATTGAATAGTAGGATTCTGCATTCTGATGACAGGTGACTGAAGTTACCTCTGCAACCAGATATTAGTTGAAAAAAAATCCAGAAGACTTGGAAAATCCCTTTATAACAGCTTGAAGATTTCAGGCAAGTCACTTTTTTATGTTCCATGTAATTTTTTTAAAAAGNAAAATACAGGATATTTAGCATTCAACAATAGGGGGAAAGACAGGTTCTCGGGTAGGAACGTTTCTCTCCACCACACAGAGCATTGTATAGGTTGTATTGGAATGATCTACAAAAAAATATTTTTGTGCTAAAACTTTGGATTAATTGTGAAGATCTAAGATGTCTGGCTAGAGATTGTCTTGAAGACATGAAGACTAGTTTGGTTTATTAGAGACAATAGTAATAATAAAACTAGAATAGTAAAATAGTAAAACCAGAGGACATGGCCTCCGATTGAAGGGGAAATCAGAACGCAAACACTATTTCAGTGAGCGAATCGTGCACCTGTGGAACAGGCTCCCTATGAAACCGGTTGAAGCAGGAAGTGTTGATTCTTTCAAACGCAGATTAAATAGTTTCCTTTTAGGAAACATTATGGGATATATAGTACATGGGTATTTCGGGGCATATGTGCATAATATTGCCAGGAAGGAGAACTAGATGGACCTTGGTCTATTTGCTAACATATTCCTTATGTTCTTACAATCTTCTGATAATAATACAAGTTCCTAAATGTACCTGTACCATTGGAGAACATTATAAATAGCCTTTGGTGGAACATATTATTTATACTATTTGAATAAAAAAATGTGCAGAATAAATCACTTAAAATGCATTAATTCCTTCCAGGTTTCTGATTTTTCTTTGTCCAGACACATGCGAAAACCAATCCCATGCTTAAGAGTATCCAAACCAAGTTGAGATTTCCATGCATCCCACCTACACATGGAAATCCCAGAGATAGGCTGTTGGAATGGAATGTGTACTCTCTCCCTGGAGGGATTGTAGAACAAACTGGGTTCGTACTGCAGACAAATCAAAACAAACTTTTAATCTCGTGTATAGTTCAAGAGTTTGTCAAAAAAATAATAATCTTCGCATTTGATAGAGCCTTATCACGTCTTTGAGACGTCTCAAAGCGCTTCAATGTTACAGTGAAGTGAGTTGATTGTATATTTTGTGGGCAAAATGAAAGCATGTGATGAAATCCAAGTGTATAAGAAAGTGAACTGTACCAAAAGCTATGAGCACAGCTAAAATTGAGGCTGAATAGCTGGAAAAAAGTCATACAACATCTGGATGGTTATAATTTAATGCAGCCTCCAGAAAGGGTAAGAGCTACTGAACTTCATGCTGGCTGCTGCCAATTAAGAAAAAGAATTAACATGAATAATGCTTTGAGATGTCTCAACAATGTGATAAGGCGCAATATCAAATAAAATGCCACATCAAATGCAAGGATTATTATTACTATTATTTATTAGATAATGAAGCAAAGGGTGGGGGGAAAAAAACCTTTTTTTTTGAGTATTATGCACTGAAAATGCTGAGCTGAAAAGTAGGAACTATTCACTAATCGTGAAGCTGAAGCAACTGAGAGCTATTCCCACTGGCACCATAACAATCTGGGACTGTTTTTGACAAAACAATAAAAACTAATGTGCTGCAATTAACACATCATGGGAGTGGACTGGGATTATTTCTGCAAGAATAAAAACTGCCTGTCCTTTTTTTGCTGACAACTAGCTTTGCTAATGCATGTGGAGTACAAACAAATTAGATAGAATGACCACTTTGGCATTGAGCACATCCAGACCAGCTGTTCTAAATATCAATGGGACGAGGTTAGAGTTGATCTATCTGTATTAATCAGTTTCACATAGACAAGTTTCACAAGCCTTACCGAAAAGTCAACAGTGCAAGTTCTTGGGTATCCAGGAACTCCTGGGCTGAAACGCCAATTTGTCTCCAAGTGATTAAAAAGTCTCCCATCTGTGCAGGAGGCCTAAAAGGAATATTTTCATGAAGAGTGTTAACTTGGGGGGGGGAGGAAAGAAGCAACATTATTCAAAAGGTTTGTTTTACTAATGAGTACTTTTCTCATTTTAAAAAAAATATATGTATTTTATCCAATCCTCCAATTGGATAAAACTGGTTAACATGAATAAAATATTGTAATAAAAAATTACACATGTATATTATACAACAAATACTGCATTCTTTAACAGGGATTATCAGTATGTTTCAGTAAAATGATTAATTCCTCATGTGATTAAACTATACATTTAATATAAAAGCTCTTGCAAGATGTATATTACATTTGAATTGCATTTAAAAATCATAAGCTAGTCTTATTTCAGTGAAGTGTAATTATTGAAAGCTTACCTTTACTAAATGCGGCCGTACCAGAGTAACAACTGAGGTGTATTTTTCAACAATCGGTGGAAATCCTATTTCAAGTTGAGCTTTAGCATACCCTGAGCGTTTAGAGATAACGTCGGATTTTTTGCACCACGGCACAAAATGTTTGTAGTCAGCAACACCAGACACTACGGTATACATTTCCAGCATGGAATACCTAGAACGAAGAAATTAAATTCAATTTTACTATCAGCAAAACTAACACTGAAATTCTTAGATCAAACAGACAACATTAAAACTACAAACCCAATGACTCGTCTCTCTGAATATTCCTTCTTCTTATTTATGAATGGCCCTGCAAGGTTGAATAAGGTTCTTTGCTGGGTGAGGCAATTTCTTAGTATCTTGAGTGTGGGGGTTCTGTTCATTAGAATACCACAGGAAGGCAGATGCCTACAGTAACAGAGACAGAAAGTATTACAGATAGTTATAAATATACAGATTTTAATACAAGACCATATTGTACTTGTTGTGTTGCATGCAGAATAATAATTATGCTTAATTTGGGGAGAGCGCATAAAACATATATAGCACAAGTGCTCTTTTGGGTATCAATTACACCAGATGAAACCTCATTAATCAGGCTGACATATACATTACTCTGTGATTCCATTTTGAACCTTCAATTGACAATGACTCCACCACCAGTATTTTATAACATTATAAAGCAAGATCTTGTATACTTACTGGTGTTGCCAGTCAACTTGTTACCCAGCCTTATAATTGCAAACTTATACATCTTTTAAAAAAATCGCTTACATTTTAAAAAATTACTTTTAAGTATAATCTTTTGAATTACTTAACATTTCAAATATTAATCTACAGACATTTTGTGATGAAAGAGTAAAGTAGACTCCAGCTAATTCATGGCAGATGAATTTCAACGTGGAGAAATGCGAGTAATGCATTTTGGTAGAAAGATTGAGGGGAGGCAATATAGGCTGGTAATACAATCTTAAGGGGGGTGAAAGAACAGGGAGACCTGGGGGTTCAGGTAAATGAATCCTTGCAGGACAGGTAGATAAAGCTGTAAAAAGGGCATATGGGATACAAGGCTTTATAAATAGGGGCATAGAGTACAAGAGTCAGGAGATTATGATTAACCTGTATAAAACACTGGTTAGGCCTCAGTTAGAATACTGCGCCCAGTTCTGGGCACCACACTATAGGAAGGATGTTATTGCATTGGAAAGGGTGCAGAGGAGATTTCCAAGAACGGTACCAGGAATGAGGACCGTTGATTATGAGGAAAGGCTAGAGAGGCTGGGATTATTCTCATTGGAGCAGAGAAGGTTACGAGGAGACCTAATAGAGGTCTTCAAAATCGTGAGGGGATTTGATAGATTAGAAAGGGAAAAACTGTTTCCACTGGTGGATGTGTCGGTGCCTCGAGGTCACAGATTTAAAATAGTCTCTAAAAGAAGCAGAGGGGAGGTGAGAAGAAATATTTTCACACAGCGAGTTGTTCGAATCTGGAACTCATTGCCTGAAAGGGTGATCGAGGGCGATTCGATAACAACTTTTAAAAACGCGGTGGACGGGTATTTGAGGAGGACGGGTCTGCAAGGTTACGGGGAAAGAAAGGGCTGTGGAGTGGGATTGACATTACTTTGTTCTTTTCAAAGAGCCGGCATAGACTCATTGGGCCGAATGGCCTCTTTTTGTGCTGTACGATTCTGTGATTAATTCTAACGTTGTCATTCCCTTGTCAACAAAGTCTTTTACTGCATCACACTTCTGTGATGGAAGTAAAACTAAAATCTGACAAACCCTTAAATCTACAGACGTACGCTCTAAATCACAAGACACAAACTGCATTTAAGCAATCGAGAGGAAAGGAAGTGTTTAACTACAATAACATTAATTCAACTTGTCAATGCCAAATAAAACACTGGTGAAGGTTAAAGTAATCATTTTGGCCACTACTGACTGACCAAACGGTACATTGCTCAACATTCTCACAATGGAACACCAGATAAATCTTTCTCTGACGTCAATGGATTTTGATATTGAGACATATAGGTCAAATAAACCAAAGCTAATCTCTACTTCAATAGAAAGCTCACAATTATAGGACATGAAACAATTAAAATATTGTACAGTGCATCTGTCCTTTTCTTACATCTGTTAATGCAGTGTCAATGATATAGAGAATGTCTCTTTAGTGTGAGAGGAGAATTTAAGATTGCGATGCAATTATTTTTTTCTTCTCTTGTTAATGACTGACTAAAGTTTATCAATAGGAGCAAATTATTTGTCTCTGTGCAGAATCCTCCAGGGATTTCCAAAATCAGTGTACATTGAATATTTAAATAAGATGGTGTGCAATGGGTGGAAAAAAACAGATTTGATATCCAGGGACCTCTGCTGGAAAGTGCAAATGAGTGTCATCTTAGAACAGCGTTTTAAACCTGATGCAATCAAAAAGAAACTCAGTGTTGAGGATGATTCGTGTGGAGAGGGCAGAAATTTGGGTAATGGGAAATAATGCTGCTGATTTGTATTGCTAGCACAAATAGATAGGACTGACACCATGGAGGTATAGCAAATGTGGATGTGGAATTATGTCCACATTTTTCCAATTGATAAATTCCATCCTCAGATTTAGGATTATACTTTATTTAGCTTCATTCATTTTGTTATACAAATATAATTTTATTGTTGCTTTGAGTAGTTTGCTTTTCAACAGTATTAGGGTGTTGAATGTGGTTGAGTGAGGCAATTAAATGTACAGGTCACACCACATTACTCCTGCATTTAAAACTAGTATTACTAATCTGGCAGCACCACCATTAAAATCATTACCATAGTTTAATACGAAAACCAAGTAAAATTTACAAAGATTGACATGAAAGATCATACTGCACAGAAAGAAGGCCACTCGGCCTAACAAATCTTTACCAGTATTCATACTCCATATGAGTCTCCACTCATGCAGATGCAAGAACATAATTTTTTTTAATGTATGATTGCTTTAAAAAGTGCAGATTACTCTCTTAAAAAAGGGTTAATACACTTCACAGCAATTGCATAAAATATTTGATATAGATGTTATATGATGCTATAAATATGCAAGTTATTTATTTCTTATGTTAGATTTAGTAAATTCTTAATATAATTGCAAATATTGATAAATTACTATACTACATAACCAACCAGATACACTGTATCTTTAATGAATTTATAATCTCTATGCAGTGGCCTCCACTAATGACCAGAAATAGGACATTCCAACATATAGCAATAAATTCCCAATCATCAAATTCTATTCAGTTTTATTCATCACATGAGATGTTCACAGCTTCTCAACAGTTACATGGATTTGATTTTGGTCATAATTACCATTCTGAAGAGCTTAATCATGCAATGCAAAACCATGCAACCTCCAGTAAAATTACTGTAATTTATAACAATAGAGAACACAATTTAACAAGAATAAAGTATAAAAGATTGCAAAACAGAAACAGAAGTCACTGGGAACACTCAGCAGGTCAGGCAGCATCTATGGAGAAAGGAAAGTGAGTTAATGTTTCGGGTCCACGACCCTTCGTCAGAAGGTGGACCCGAAACTTTGACTCACTTTCTTTTCTCCATAGATGCTGCCTGACCTGTTGAGTGTTCCCAGCGACTTCTGTTTTTGTTTTCAGATTTCCAGCATCTGCAGTATTTTATGTTTTGTTTTTATAAAAGATTGCATCTTATCTTACATAAGGGAAAGTCTGATGACAAAATCAGCTGTTAATCCATTGAAGCAAGACGTGGTATTTCAAAAACTAGCAACAACAATCAAGCTAGGGTAAAGACAGTTTTTAATTAAAATTGGTTATAACTTAGCCTACATGTTAACTTCACTTTTAATATGATGCAGGAAGCCACTTCAGGCAAGAATAAGCCATAGTCAATCTCGCCAACTGAACAATCAAATAACGTTGTATCCAGATGAAAGCCACCAAATGTCTCATAAGTGGAAGTAAACAGGAAATCATCTAGTAAACTGAACTGGAGCTTTGAACTGTGTTTTTTTTCTATGTTATTCCAAGGACAGTCTTCACAAAATATTAAACTTCCCTAAGAAACTCAGTTTCAGGAAGATTACAGGCTTGTACTTTTCACCACTTACCTCTAGCTTTCATCCCTGGATGCAAGTCCTGTCTGTCACTGCAAGAACCTCTGAATAGTGCTATGAATGTGTGAACCGTAAATTAATGAATTGTTAAAATATGTACCTTGGCAGAAGAAACCCAAATCATTAACACAGTGCTTCTAGAATCACCTACTTTTCAAACTTTTAAAAACAATTGCTATGTGCCACTGTACAACACAAATCTTGGGCCGTTTTTGATGATGAAGAAATAAATATTCCCGATGATCTTTTCACTCTCACTTGTCACTAATTCTATTTTAATTTAATTGGTTATTACTTGTTCAGCAAGTTAAGTTCACTTTTAGCATAATGTAAGAAATGTATTAGTCCATCTCGCCTACTCAATCAACTTCTCTAAAGAATCCTTCCAAGCATCAGTTGCCTAACAAACCAAAATCCTTTTAATGTTCAACAACTTGTCCAGTTACGTCTTGGTTAAAAAGTGCCTTTTAGTGCATACCGAAACCAGATAGTCAGCAAACCACATTCCAAAACGTTTCACTCCAACTACAGTGTCTCAAAATCCAAGGCATTTTCCCTGCTGGCAGTATTTTCTAATAGCAATACTTGCATTTGATACAGTGCCTTATCGTACTGTTGAGACGTCTCAAAATGCTTCACAGGGTATACTGAAAGTGGACCGACTGTGTATTTTGTGGGCAAAACACGGCAACGAGTCCTACACAGCAACATCCCACAAGCTGTTATGGAGCGAGTGGACCAATATTATTTGGGGGAATGTTGGTCGGGACACCAGGATGGAGAACTTCCCGTCTCTTTTCGAACAGCGCAAGGGATCTTTAGCATCCACCTGAATAGGCAGGTGGGACCGCGGTTTCACATCTCACCCGAAGGAGACAGCGCCTCCGACCACCCAACACAGCACACCCCGGCGCTGCATCGGAGTGTCATCCTAAGACTATGCGATTCCAAGTCCCTTTCTTTTTTTTTGCCGTGAGAACCTGCAACCTTCCGGCTCCGCGGCGAGGGCGGTGCCAACCTGTGCCAGGCTGGCAGACCCTTCACACCGTCAAAACATAACAAGACAAACACGAGGACTTGCCTTCTCACTTGGCAATAAAACAGCAGAACTACTACTGCTGCTGCTGAGGATGATGATGATGATGAAGGACCCAATGCTCAGCCACAGGTTGCAGTCGGGGGGACGGTGAGTTGGTTTGAAAGGTGCGCGCGCAGACAGACCGAGGAGGAACCTGGTCTCAGCTCGGGAGGGGGGGGAGGGAGGCCGACCGGCCCGGCGGGAGGGCGGGAGGGCACAACCCACCCGGCCCGACCCGACCCGCCGCCAACTCTCTCCCTCTCTCCAACTCCCCTCGGCCTTTGTCCCGGGGCAGCAGCACTGCAAACAGCCGAACCCGAGCTCCGGGTGGACCCCGGCGGCTCCTTTTAAGTTTACAAGGTCGAGTGGAAATGGAGGAGGAGTTCCGTGCGAAGCCGGAGAGAGAGAGAGAGAGAGAGAGGGGGGGAGGGAGGGAGGGAGAGAGCCGCCGGGGGGGGGTGGGGGAGGGGACCGACTACTGACGGCCTTACCTGACGGTGTGTTGGCTGCTTCTCTCGCGGCAGATGTAGGCCGGGAAATCGAGCACCTGGGAAATGGCTCTTCTCAGAGGCCTCGCGGTTCTCGCCATTTCGCCCTTTTCGCCGAGGCCGATCCGCCCTGACGTCAAAAGCGACGATCGCACAAACTTCACTGCGGCTTCTTCCCTCCACCCCCCGCCCCCCCCCCGCGCTCCTCAGTCTGCGCGCTCAACCTAACCTGCTGGCTCTTCCGCCACGCTCCCCGCCTTCTGATTGGCCGGCGCCGTCCACGTGACGGCAGTGAGGGTGGGGAGGGAGAGGAGGTCCTCCTTCCAGCACCGTTACCCCAGGCAACCGCAGCACGTCAGTCTCCCCTTGACGTCACACTGTTCCCTCGCCCAGGTTATGTAAAGGTTGGTGTCACGAGTTGCGGCGGCGGCGGTGCCAGCGGCGGGGGGGAGGGAGGGCAGCTCCAGCCAGCACTGACTTATATGGGAACAACTCCTACAGAGAGAGAGAGAGAGACGGTCAGACAGAAAGAGAAAGAGAGAAAGAAACCCACACGGAGTGGTTTAAATTTGTCCCACGAATTAAGGGGATTAAATAATTCACAAGTGTCACTGAGGCCTTCTGACCCGCCCAACCGTCAGTCACGAGCCCGCGCTCTCTCTCTCTCTCACACACACACCCCATCCTCCCTCACCCCTTTTTGCACACACGGCGCAACATTTTTTTCCCACCCCCCCAGACTTATTCCCTTTTTTATATACTCGCAAACAATTTATAAAAATCATTGAGTTGGAATGCAAATGTCACTCAGGTCAGTTCTAACCGCCATCCCCCCCCCCCCCCCACACAAAAAAAGAGAATTTTTTTTTTTTGACACGTGTATTGCAAATCTCATTTCCCATTATTGCATTTGATTGACCTGACAAGTTTTAACTCACAAGTTTGATAATGGTTTAAAAAAATAATGCCCCTGCAACAACTTGCGTTTACGTAGCGCCCTTCACGTGGAGTGGCGTCCTGGAGCGCTCGACAGTGGTGGAGTCTGACCCCGAGCCGGGGCGGGGCGGGGGGGGGAGAGAGAGCAGGGGGGGGGTGGAGGTGAGCGTAAGCACGGTCAAAAAAGAAGGGATTCGAAAGTGGGGTGGGAGGGAGTTCTGGAGCTTCGGGGAGTAGTGGCTGAAAGCACGGCCGCCGATGGCGGAGCGGAGGGGGTGAGGGACGAACAGGAGGCTGGAGCCAGCCGAGCGGAAGCAGCGGATGGGGTGGGGTAAGCAAATCAGATAGGTAGGGAAGTGCGAGGGCATGAAGGGATTTGAAAACTAGTGAGAGGATCTTGATGTCGATCCGTTTGGTAATTGGGAACCAGTGCAGCCTGCAAGGACTGGTGTGATGAGGGCCTGCAATTTTGTGCAGGTTAGTATCTGCCTTGGATAATGGATAATAATTATAAAAATAGTAATAATCCTTGAATTGTTGCTGCACAGGTGAACCTTCCACGTTTCAGATTCAGATCTAGCTGTTGAGATAGATATTAAAGATTCCATAATACTATTTGAATAATACTCACCAACCAGCGCCTCTCCTCGACTGGCACCAGCCTCCTGCTTGTCCCTTGAAACCCTCTGTTCCACCATTGGAGGTCACGCTTTCAGCCATTATGCCTGGAAACTGGAACACTTTCCCTCAATCCCTCCACCTTGCCCTCTCTCCTTTTTGAAGTCCCGCCCGAAAACTTTCCTTTTTGACCGTGCATACGCTCACCTCCCCCACCACCCGACTCGGAGTCAAGCAATCCGAGACGCTGTCCATGGTGACGGGCACTATATAAATGCAAGATGTTGTTGTTGTACATCAAGTGTTTTATATAACCATTTGAATTCTATTACTGAACAATATTTGGATTAAACTTTTTTAAAGATGGAGTTTATGAGTTTTTTAATAATCAAAGGAATAGTGAAGATTAAGCCTGTACTGGATAATTGACCAAGAAATATCATTCCTATCTATGTTGTCTGGCCTCAACTTGGTTTGATTGGTAGCGCTCTCACCTCTGGTTTGGAAGGTTGAGCCCGCAGCTATGACTGACATTCAGGTGTATAACTGAGATTCCTTTGCATTTCAAGCAGTGAACACTGCACCTCAGGCTCTGGCAGTATCAACCTTCATGGTTGCACACTTCAACTCACCAAGCCAGTCAATAACCTAGGTGTCTTGTTCAACCCTCAACTGTCTTTTTTTCCCACATCCAAGCCATGACCCGCTCTGCCTTCCCTCACCTCCGTAACATTGCCCGACTCTGCCACTACCGCAACCCTCAGGCCGCTGAAACTCTTGTTCATGCCTTAATCACCTCCAGGCTCGACTATGCAAACATTCTGCTTGTCGGCCTTCCCAACTCCTCCCTCCACAAGCTGCAGATAATCCAGAACTCTGCAGCCCATGTCCTCTCCCGCACCAAACTCTGTGACCCCCATCTCCGCCATTCTCGCCCGACTCCATTGGCTCCCCACCTTCAGAGGATCCAGTTCAAAATCCTGGTCCTCACCGATAAAGCCCTCAATGGTCTCGCCCCACCCTATCTCTGTAACCTCCTAACCCCCTACCAACCCGCCCGTTCCCTCCGCTCAGCCAGCTCCGGCCTGCTCCACGTCCCCCACCATTAATAATAATAATAATCCTTGCATATAGCACTTTTCACGTCGGGAGGACGTCCCAAAGCGCTTCACAGAACACACTGTAAAGTGAATTGACTATATTTGTGGGCGACCACGGCAGCCAATTGCGCACAGCAATGTCCCACAAACAGTCGTAGATTGAAAATGACCAATTTATTATTGTTTTTGGTTTTGGAGGGATTATTATTAGACGTGTGGAGTAAGGAAACTTGCCCAAGGTTTCGTCCTCTGGCTGGAATTGAACTCCGGTCTCTCACTTGCAAAGCGAGTGCTCTAACCACTGAGCTACAGGACTCCCATTGGTGGGAGAGCCTTCAGCCACTCTGCCCCCAACCTCTGGAACTCCATCCCCCAATCACTCCGCCTTGACCCTTCCTTAGCCTCCTTCAAGTCCCGCCTCAAAACCCTCCTTTTCGACCATGCCATTTGGTCAGCCCCCCCCTTCCCCTACCCCCCTTTCTCCCCCCTGGCCCCAGCTCGGGTCTGAAATGCTGTACACTGTTCAGTGCCTTGGGACGTCCGAAAGACTGGCCACACACGATGAGTGAAGCGTGGGGCGAAAACTGCAGGCAACTCAAACCAACTTGCAGGCGCAATTGGCTGCCGCGTTTCGCCCGCAAAACACGCAGTCAATTCACTTCACGGTATACCCCGGGAAGCATTGTGAGATGTCTCGAAGACGTGAAAAGGCGCTCTATACTTATTATTATATTATTATTGCTATTCGCTGTTTTTGAAAATATGCACTAACACCCCCCCCCCCCATCACAAGGAGGACCACAGGCACTGGAGCAGACTGACGCATGCGCGTGTTGAGCGCTCTTTTTAAAAAAACAGGCAGCGGAAATACGTCATCACCTCGTTTCCGTTCTTGATCTTTGGACAAAATGGCGAAGATCGCGAAGACCCACGAAGGTAACGGAGGAGAAAAAATGGCTTTTGTGTGTGTTTTTTTTGAATATAAAAACAAATGTGCGCGCGGGTCTGCAGAACCCAAACTCCCAGCGTGTCCGCTTCGCTGTCGCGAAGCTGCGCGGGGGTGGGGAGGCGGAACCGAGGGAGTCCCGCGCTCGCCGCCGCCACCGCGGCGAGACGGGAAATGGCGTCCGAGTCAGTGAGTGAGAGAGAGAGAGGGTGTACAGCGCCCCGGGCCGCGAGGCGTCCCCCCTCCCACCAGCCTCCTCGCTCTCAACCCCCTCCTCCTCCTCCCACTGCTGTCTCCCGGAGAACCTCGTACGGAAGAGATTTCCCCCACACCCCGAGCGCGACTTATGGCCGAGTTTGTTCCCCGTTGGGTGATGCGCAGTTGGTTTTGTGGCCTTGTCAACAGCAAAAGCCACTGGACGCCTCTCACCACCGTCGAGCTGCTGTTGGCAGATTTACTTCCTCTCGCTCTCTCTCCCTCTTTTTCTGCACCGTTGCAGCAATTCATCTGTGACATTATATTGTAATCTTTCCGTTTGATATGGAGCCCTTATCGCGTCAACGTGCCTCAAAGTGCTTCAGAATTTTTTTTCTTTCAAAAGTGTAGTCATTTACCAAGGTGGACGATTTCCTTAAACAGTATCACCACCACTCATACCTGGTTACAAAAACGTAATATTGGCGTTTGCATGTTTTATCAATTAAATTTCTGCACGGGTTTGTAAAAAAATATTATGTGTTTTGCCCGGAAAATTTTACAATTCAATTTTGTTTCCTATTGCTAATTTCTTTATAAACAATTCCAAGCCATAATTACAATAAACTCAGCAAATTGTCTTTGGGAATGCCTTTATTGATCTTGGAAAATGACTTACATTTGATAATAAGCATCGTTTCTGAAAGTTGAACTGCTGGATTACTTTCATCGTGTTACAAATGTACACTTTACAAATATATTTTAATTTTGGCGCTTTGGTCAAAGATATACACACTGAGTGCTTGGAATCATGATTTGAAATTCTCCAAGGTTGATATGATTGAAGATTATTGAAAAAAATATACTATTCTTACCCCCTTAAGTTTGGTGTCTCGTAGTCTGAAGTACAGCAAGTTCCCTGCTTGCATTTGTCACCAACGTGCTGCTGCCTGGATGATGTCAGATGTTATGTCTGCAATCCACTGCTCTCTTGAAGGATACTGTAGTGTTTGTACAGTGCAAACAATTTTTATCACGGATGATAATTTTTATTAAAGAACATCTTCAAAAATGATGATTATAATTCAAGTAGACGAGCAAAATGTGGCAATTCACAGTTAATTGAAGAATCATTTATAGAATCATTATTTCACAAATATCACAAACGTGTCTGCACGGATTATTTAAGGCAAAAACATTATCAGATGACCTCTGAAGCTTAATGATTTATAAAATCATTGCAAAAAATCTATAACTCAGGTTTGAAACCCCATATAAAATCATCTAGTGATTCGTAGAAAGTCAATATTGGCTCCTTGTTACATTATCGTCACTGCTCTTGCGATCATTATTTTCATTGTTAATTGAAGTTTGAGGAAAAACCTAGCTTTAACAAATGCTTTCTTTACATTTGTTTCATGTACATGGAATAGCAGAACACAGAGCAGAAACAGGCTATTCGGCTCAACTAGTCTGTCTTGGTGTTGATACTCCCATGAACCTCCACCTCACCCCTAATCCCTTCTCTAATATTACCCTTTCCCCTCTAATTTTTAATTTCCAAACATTATCTTTGGACCGAATAGATTGCTTTTCAAAGAGTCATCACAGATACAATGAGCCAGCCTCCTTCTGTGCCATGCCCTGCTTGAATGCTAAGTTTGCTTATACACTATTACTGAGAAAATCTGTATATGTTGATCAAGCTCTTCTAGAAAAATAGCCAGAGCTGTCCACTTAGTTGTAGGTATTTATGAAAAGTCTGTATTTATGTATGATTGTTTTCTTTCCTTCACAAGATATTGAGGCACAAATTCGAGAAATTCAGAACAAGAAAGCGGCACTTGTTGTCGAGGGTGATTCAGATGGAGTTGGTCTTGATTCAACTGGTTACTATGATCAGGAGATCTATGGCGGAAGTGACAGCAGATTTGCAGGATATATGACATCCATCCCTGCAAATGAGCAGGAAGAGGTAAATATCATTTCAAGCAACTATATGATCATTATTGTTAAATAATATCTTTTGTTTCTACAGATACAGTATTTGTGAAATCTTTCCTGTGCAAAATTAGATACAGGTAGAGAAGAAGTGTTAACTTAATTGTTATCCTGAACCTTTGGCATGAAAATAATTCTGGTGATGTAATACAATAATTTATTGCATCACAGAATCAAAAAAGATCATACACATGTGGATTCTTAGCTGGGTTGCATTGGCGGTAATGTACGGAGTGTGGTTAGCTTGCACAACAGCCGTGTTGATATAATGCTAGACTACAGTCACCTGACCAGAACTTGTCAATGTACAACATCTCTAGTAGCTTGTTAGTGTTGTGAACAAATATTTTAAATTTGCTATTAACCACTACATTTTATTTGTAGCTTATCTTCATCAAATCTACTGTAATTTAATATTTGGGATCTTATTGATGAACTTTCCTGATGTTTAGACAGCTCTTGGATGGAATTAGGATGCTGAAGGAATGATAGCCAATTGTGCTTAACATCTAATTTGAAAAAAGATGCTCATACAAACAAATTCTGTCATACAGAAGCTTTGCCTTAAGAGGTTGAACTAGTGAAAATAGTTTCAAAACCAGAAAGGGAGTGTTTTATAAATAATAATCCTTGTATTTCATTTAAGTGCATTCTATATAATTCATAGAATCGGGAGAGAATGCAATTATATGGAGTATACAATTACCCCAAATTCTACTGACATTAGTTCATAACTATATAACAAACAAACAGTATATATTTATTATTTCAGGACTACGTAAAGCATAAAGCAATATAAATCAACAGAACATACTTTATTACTTCAGGACTACTAAAGTACACTGAACCACTCCGACTAGCTGGAAATTCTGGCGAAATGCAATTACAATGCTGGTACCAGCATTTACTAGCTTCTTTTTAGTGCCAACAAATACCAGAATCAGCATTGTAATTGTTTGAATCCTGCAAACGGAGGATAGTGAATAAGCTATCTTCTGCTTGCAGGATTCGAACTGAGTCCAAGTTGATATCCCTGCCCACTGAAGACTAGCAAGCATGGTGAGGCAGGGGTACGAGGTAGGAGAGTGAACCGGCAGGAAGCTATGCGTAAGTTGTGGATTTTTTTTAAAAAAAATCACTGTCCCAGTCTGGCTGGATCCAAATTCTAGTTACCCGGAGTCCATCCGGTAAGCCACAGGTTTACTGTAATTATCCAATGTGCAGTTAAGTGGATCTAGATGTCTTAAAACAATGCAGTGAGTTTGCTAAAAGTGTAGTGACTATATTTCGTAGGTGAACTTAAATTGTGATCATTTCCTTTTACTTTCCTAGGATGATGATGACTATTCTTCCCCGAGTTTGCTTGGGCAGAAGAAGCCTGGATACCATGCACCAGTAGCGCTGCTGAATGATATACCACAGTCAAATGAACAGGTATGGTTCTGTTTTTGTTGGACATTAGCTTACTGGATGTTTATTGTTTCTTACGAAAATGCTTCTCCTAATTTATCAGCAAAGTTAATAGATACTCCTATCAGAACCCTAAAATGTCTGACCTTTCTAAACTGTAAAGATACATTCAGCAGGGTTCAATATAAGTGTTATTAAGCCTAGACTTTCCAAATCCTTAGAACTGTTAATATAAATCTATCGTTCTTTAACAATGTGGTTTGGGGTAAAACTGGATCAGAACATTTTGTGAAAACTATTTTTATAGCTTTAAAGGACGGTTAAAATAGAGAAGGTACAGTTTCAAAAAAGATTAACGGAATAATTTTGCAAAGCAATTTTTAAATGTAGTTATTTGATTTAATCCGACTCCATCGTCCTCCTCGACCACTCCGGGGCTTTCGACACTGTGGATCATTCAATCCTCCTCCACCGCCTCTCCTCCCACCTCAACCTCCAAGGTTCTGATCTTGACTGGTTCAGGTCCTATCTTTCACACCGCCTCCACTTCGCCTTAGCTAACAGCTTCTCCTCCAGCCCCCGCACCATCTTGTGCGGCGTTCCTCGGGGTTCTGTCCTCGGTCCCTCCTCTTCACCCTCTACATGCCCCCCCTTGGTGACATCATCCGCAGACCTGGAGTAAATTTCCACATGTATGCGGATGACACCCAAGTCTATTTCTCTGCCTCCACCCTCAACTCCAGGACCACTGGCCTACTGACCGATTGCCTGTCTGACATCAAGTCCTGAACGAGGGACAACTTTCTCCAGCTGAACTTCAACAAGACCGAGGTCCTCCTGATTGGCTCGCTCCAGCGCCTCCGCACCTCAGGCACTGGCAGCATCAGCCTCCACGGCTGCACACTCAACACTAAGCCATTCAGGAACCTGGGTGTCTTGTTTGACCCTGAGCTGAACTTTCTATCCCACCTCCGCGCCATGACTCGCACTGTCTACCACCACCTCTGCAACATTGCCGGACTCACCACTCAGGCTGCCGAACCCCTCACCCGCGCATTCGTCACATCAAGGCTTGATTATGGAAATTCCCTCCTCATCGGCCTTCCCAACTTTTTCCTTTGCAAGTTGCAGATCATCCAAAACTCTGCAGCTCGTATACTCTCGCGCACCAGGCTCTGTGACCCCATCACTCCCCACCCTTGCCCGACTCCATTGGCTCCCCACCCCTCAGAGGATCGAATTCAAGATCCTCGTTCTCACTTTCAAGGCCCTCCATGGCCCTGCCCTCTCTGACCTGCTGACTCCCTACCATCCTGCCCGATCTCTCCGTTCATCGGGCTCCGGCCTGCTCCGTGTCTCCCGCCCTATCATCAGTAGCCGAGCTTTCAGCCTCTCTGCCCCCACACTCTGGAACTCTATCCCACGGTCCCTTCGCCTCACTTCCTCCCTTGCATTCTTCAAGGCCGGTCTCAAGACACTCCTCTTTGATCGTGCCTTCGGTCGCCCGCCCACCTCTCTGCCTTCCCTCACCTCTACCCCACCCCTCCCCAATACTCGGGTCCTGACCCCTGACTGTCCAGCGCCTTGGGACATCCTCCCGACGTGAAAGGCGCTCTATAAATATAATTTTGTTGTTAATAGTCCGTCGCTCCCGACGTGGAAGGCACTATACAAATGTAATTTTGTTATTGTTTGATTACAGTATGATCCATTTGCGGAACACCGTCCGCAACGAATTGCGGAACGAGAAGATGAGTACAAAGCACGTAGGAGGCAGATGATTATTTCTCCTGAGCGTCATGATCCCTTTGCAGATGGTAATTTTTTCAAATCATGTTTTCCTCTCTTATGGGGTGACATATAAAAAGACCTTGAGCTTGTTTACGGTGTTCATTTCACAGCTTGCACTGGTTAATTTTAAAAAAACTTGTTAAAATGAAATTTGCAGGAGACTTCATATGTTGCATATTAGTTGTTATAAATATGCAACTTTTGTAGTCAGTTTCATCTGTCTTAACTATGCAGCAAGCTGTTGAAACTATTTTATTTTTATAGTACAGTTAAAAGGTTATATGTTTAAAAATGGGAATGAATGTGCTCCATTGCCTTCTACGTCAAATTGGTAAGGAGGAAAAAGTATCTTTTAAATGAGACCTTTGGCTGTATAACAAAATTGCTAATCCTATTTATGCATAGACAGACTGAAAGGGTTACTCACCAGGGATTAGTGATTGCCAAGCAGCTTTTGGCAGGGGGGAAAGCTCTACGTTTATAATAAAAAAAAACTAAAAATTGATCAATCATGTGGAAGGCTTTGATGTACATACATAATTAATTGCAATACATTGTAAAAAATATATTTTGGCCATTCCAAATCGAATACGGAGGTTTTCTAGACTACCAAATTAAGCTTCTTTTCATGCACACACACACACATACACACAGAGCAGTTTCTGAGAGTAATTTTAATAAACTGAATGCGATTCATTTATCAGATGACTAATACAATGAATGTTTTAAAATAGTTTCTACCAATATTCTATTTAGCATGTTCTGTTCTTCATGTAATAATTTCCAATCTACTACATTTAGTATGATTGTAGTAGTTTTGAGAAGCCCGACATCTCATTTTTAATTGCTAATTTAAATCTTAAATCATATTGAAGATTACCATAAATGTTAAATTGGTCTACTGTTGTGAAATAATTTCGGAGCATAGCTGTGAAAAACAAACTGGGTAATTTATTTGTAGGTTAGTACTTTTTAACTAAAATTTATGAATTGTGGACTGCACAAAAAAAATTGCACAAGGCATCTCAAAACATGCCACAAGAAGATAATTATTTTAAATAGACCAGAAACATTTAAGAAACATTTTTCATTACTCAAATGCAGTATTTCAGTTTTTATGAATGGGTAACACATTTACCCTGCAATAGTATTTCTATTTAAATATTTTCAGAATTAAAGATCATTAAAGATAATACAAACTACTGAGTTTACAAAGCTTAAGGTCTCCCCTTCCAGTCGTTTACTCAAACCTATCATTACTGCTTCGCTCCACCATTCACATGGGCAGGTTGTTTGACTTTATTTAAAAGGACATTATCTATTGCACAATATCAGTGGCAAAAAATAAGCAATACCACTTCGTGTGAAAGTGTGCCATTCTGTTATTTCTAAGCATTTTCTTTAAGAAAGTGATACTGTCATCCACACTCTGCAGTGAAGACTTTAATGTTCATTGCAAATTTATGTTGGAGCTTGAAATCCTCTGAATTAATTTGGAATGGCCTTTTAGAAACTGTTTTGAGAATAGTCAGTTAGATGCTAGTGATTTGGACAATACTGGGAGGCTCAGTGGGCCAGATGGAAGTTTTTTTTCAGGTAAGTGAGTTTACTTTTAGCGACGAGCTAGGAAGTTGTACTATATATCTAGTTTTTCAGTTTAATTAGTATTGCAGGTTTATTTGAGAGGTATCAAATCTGCAGTATATATGTTTTGTCAGATAGATTCTGACATATTCTGAAACTGTAATTGCTCTAAAAATGTCTGCCGGAATTCCACGGGCCCATACTAACTGTCCTTAATTTCTTTCCTACAGCAGTACTGCTATGCCAGTCCTGTCTGCATTCTTAAGGGTGCAGTGCAACAGATCGTGTGTAGGTTATGCTGAAAAAGTAAACCAAAAGGAAGTCCAGTGAAAGTGGCAGTATCATACTGCCAGTGTAGCATGTTTTTAGACAAACCCAAATAGCATAATCCCAAATAAAAGTATCCTGTTGAAGTAACTTTTTATGCTTAAATAGTTGCATTTACGATTATTTTTTAATATGGTTAATATTAAGCAGGTAAAATTTATTTTCTCCTACATTTGTTAGTACACATATCAAGTGAGAATTTAAAAACTAACACAAGGTGTGTGATGTTTTGAATTTTAAAACCTTTTCCAAAGTGTTACTAATGGTAAAGAGATAATTTTCTAGGCTTCTGTTCTGCTGCTTGAAGTCAGAACTGCTGATGGACACGCAGGCCGCCAGTGTACGTATTCCGGAACATCAACGAAGGACCAACAATAATGGACAGTGTTAATGTGTTTTGATGTCTTGCATATGATTTGCTTCTAAGTGCACTTAGGCATTTATTATTAGACCGTTGTAATTATTCCTGTTTGTATTCAAGCAGGTTAAATTGGCCATCAGGTTGCTTCTCTGTAAGTTGCTGTGATTTAAATGAATATGAAGATTGAAAAGTCAGAAATTTTAATTTAAAAAAATGCCAAAAAAACCCTGTAGAATATTAATGCAAAACGATCTAAGATCATAACTAGAAACACAAAACTGATTTTCTTTTGGGTCCGCACTAAATTTTTTTCTGTCTGTTTTCACTATTATTCTCTCTCAGGTGGAAAGACACCAGATCCTAAGGTCCATGCCAGAAGTTACATCGATGTTATGCGTGAACAACATTTAACTAAGGAAGAGGTAATCACAGAATTCTTTTTCTTGTTGGAAATATTAACTTTGTATTTGGACAATGTTAACAACCAATTTCTGTTTATAAATGTGATTGATCACTGAATTTGTTCATTTCAGAGGGAAATAAGGCAGCAACTGGCAGAGAAAGCTAAGGCTGGAGAACTTAAAGCAGTCAATGGATCAGCTCAACAACCTCTTAAACGCAAGCGACGTTGGGATCAGACTGCAGATCAAACTCCTAGTACAACACCCAAAAAGTTGTCCAGCTGGGACCAAGCAGAGGTGAGTGGGAAAAGGTTGCTTATTGAAGAAAAACCCTAGATTTTTCCTCTCCTGATTTTCTCTCTCTTCTGAAGGAATTGGTGTTCTGGGATGATGGTTCATGATTCTTTATATCTAAATACACATTTTTATTTATATTTAAATACACGGTCACTGCACTTTACAGTAAATCCTGAGAAGCGCTTTGAGACGTCTCGACGACGTGATAAGGCACTATATCAAATGCAAGGATTATTATTATCATTATTATTATCATTTATTTAGGCAATCATTCTTAATGGATGAGTTCTTGTTTGTCCATTTGACCACAAAATCCAGCACTACATAACCTGCCAGCATATGTACTTGCTGCTTCAGCAATGGTCAATGATAGTAATTAATGCAAGACGTATCATAGACGTCAGGAGCCCCATCTGAATTTATGTACTCTTGTTTTCACCCCCCCAAAAAAATCACAAATATTGAAGCCAATAATGTTGCCTGCATTGCCACCCCAGCTGAAATGAGATAACTCGGCATATAAAGTTCAAACCTGACTTCCTCCTGATCTGCATGGTTCAGTGATGCGATGCTGTATAATTACTGATTGAGCATCAGGGGTGGTAGAAGAGGCTCTTTTAAACACTGCTTCATGGTTTAATTATCTTGAGCTATTCAACTCGATGACAGAGTTATTTCTAACTTAGTTTTTTTCTTCCTTCCACCCTCAAATTTTCTTTTGACTCCCATCATTCAGCTGGTTCCAGGGGTTAAACGAACAGGTAAGTGTTGCAGGGGTGCTTTCAGTGTCTTTTATTTTCCTAGACATTTGTAAAGACTCTTACCTGATGAGAGAGTTTTTAATTTCCTCTCTTCCCTTGAGATCCATTACTTGGGGTTCCCTGAACTTGGCAAGAAGGCCAATTGGCCGACATTAGCTACAGGATCTGCCAACAAGTAGCATCCTTTCTGATTAGAATGCTGATTGGAAATGGAAGCCATCCACCTCATTCTAGGTTAATTCACACTGAACACCTCTCTTGCCTGATGGGAATTGTTAAAAGCTATTTTCAAATTTTACATAGGATGACATTGCAAATACTCTTCACCGTATCTTCAATAAGATCCTGCAAATTTGTAATAATAGATAATAATTATTGAGTTTGATGTCCGTGCCTTTCATGTCAGGAGCATGTCTCAAAACACTTTACAGGATTTAGTGTAAATTAATGTGACTATTTTGTCACCAAACTCAACAGCAGCCAATTTCCACACAGCAAAGTCTCACAAACAGCCATGTAATGAACAACCAATTTTATTTGGAAAATTTTTGGCAGTGATACTGGGAGAAATTCCCTTCTCTTTCCAAAACGTGCCACCTGAACAGGCAGATCAGACCTTGGTTTAATGTCTCATCCAAAGGACGACGCCTCCCAACATTGCAGCACTGCATTGAAGTGTCAGCCTAAATTATACAACGTCAAAGTTCTGTTGAAGACTCCGAAGAAAGATTGTTATCAACGAAGTTAGGCTGACATTATAAATAAAAGAATAATTGAATTCCAGCAATGAAAAGGATTGATTACTAAACTAAATCTAATATTAAGTGGAAGACGTGCGTTTCATTTATTCTTCTCATCTCAAGTGGAGCAAAGGAGCAGCCATTTGAGTCAGATATTCTACCCAGCAGTTTGCCAGAGAACTGATTAAATGTTTTGTTTTTCTCTCTTCCCCTTCTTTCCTATCTCTCCACTCACCTCCCTCCACTCACCTCATTCCAGCCTTTACTTGGATTTAATTTGCAACCATGATTCCGCAAATTCAATATTGTGTACCTTCTGTGTTGGTAATCCAAAGACATTAAAGTGTAATGTGTTTGCTATCCAGTAAGGATTCATTTCATAGCAGTTAGGGGGAAATAGAAGAGTAGAGAAAGTACTTTTTCTTCAAACTACACATAAAGTTAACATTTTTACATCAAAATTGAGTTTTAACCTGTATTCTGAAAGCTTTTAATAATGCTCTAATGTTTGTGCATATGTCGTTCCTGTGACTTAATTCCATGAAGGAGCCAGAGGAGCTTTCTTGAGTTTAATAATGGTTTTGGGGGGGGGGGGGACTTTCAACTTGGCGAACAGTTGATCTCACAGAAGTTCGGCAGCATCAACTGGACAATATCCATCTAAAGTGAGACATCTATAGAGCAACTCTCAGCTGGTCCAAAGATTCCACCTGCCAAATGATCTGCTCTGACTGTTCCCTGTAATACCAGTCCCAGGAGTTTTCACACAAAGAACTGAGTCCTAGTAATTTTTACTCTGTAGCTTTCCAGATTCCTCTTCACTTGTGATAAATATTAATTTAAAGTTTTAATTTTGCTTTGGCAGACTCCGGGACATACCCCAGGGCACACACCCGGACATACCCCAGGGCACACACCCGGACATACGCCAGGTCACACCCCTGGTAACACTCCCTCTCAAAGTCGCTGGGATGAAACACCTGGCCGTTCAAAGGGTAGTGAGACTCCGGGTGCAACACCAAGCTCAAGGATGTGGGAAGCCACTCCCAGTCACACCCCAGCAGGAGCTGCCACACCAGGCCGTGATACACCTGGGCATGCAACACCTGGCCACGGAGGTGCAACATCTAGTGTGCGTAAAAACAGATGGGATGAAACACCAAAGACTGACAGAGGTAAGCTTAAAGTTCAGCTATGAAAATTCATATTTGCCACCATTGCGGTGCACACACAGTAAATATAATCCAAGAAAATATGGAGGGGGAAATTCTATTTATTGCATTTTTTGCAATAAATAGTCCTGGGAATCCAAGTAAGATTAAACGTTTGTTATAACTGGCAGCAAACAGCATCAAAATTTGATATGCTCTTGATTTCTTTCCCCGACACCTTTCAAAGAACCAATTGTATAAAAATGTAATCTGTTTTTCTCTGCAACTCCTGTGGTTCTAGGGTTTCTGAACACAGTTGTGTATTAATTGCAACATGCTTCAAAGGTCACACAATTGGCAATATTGTGCTATTGAGTAAGATATACTGTCATCAGTAATAGATTGTGTTTCAAGCACCATAAAAACCTTGCACAGATTCAAACCAAAATGATATTTGTCACAAATTAGCTCAGGTCACTTTGTTGTTTCTGCTAAACTTTTCAATAAAAATGGGCATTTTGCTCAAAGTGCAGTTATTCACTGTATGTATGTATCTTTTTAGAAACTCCGGGACATGGCAGTGGCTGGGCTGAGACCCCACGTACAGATCGTGGAGGTGATTCTATCGGGGAAACTCCGACCCCTGGTGCTAGCAAGCGAAAATCTCGTTGGGATGAAACACCAGCAAGCCAGATGGGCGGCAATACTCCATTGCTTACTCCAAGTGGAATTACACCCAAAGGCACACCAGCAATGGCTATGGCAACCCCGACACCTGGTAAGTGGAGTTGATAGGCAGAGGATGCTGAAACTGGACTAGATTTTTTTTAAGGTAATTTGTGTGAAAAATATTTTGATTCAATGCCCTCTTTGTATAAGGCATATGCACCTGTGTCAGTAATTTTATTCAGTAGAAATGTTTGTTTCACCAACTCTAGTCAACTCCTGCTTTGAATTTTGTAGGTCACCTGATGAGTATGACACCTGAACAACTTCAGGCTTGGAGATGGGAGCGTGAAATTGATGAAAGAAATCGCCCACTTACAGATGAGGAATTGGATGCTATGTTCCCTGAGGGTTATAAGGTAATTCATTATACGTTTAATTGGGCAGTGCACTTATTGTATGGTTGGACTTTCCATTTGTCCCAGTATCTTTTCTGGTGATGATATTCAGAGAAACGGCTCCATTTTGAGCCTTGCTTAAACCAACATCCACCCACAACTTAGTATTCTATTGATCCACAGAGAGAGGACCAAAAATCAAGAGATTCAAATGAAAAGATCTAATCTTTAAAAAAATTGCTGAATTTAATTTCCCTCCTTTCTCATTTTGTTGCATTTGGAGTTGTAATATAATTTGTGAATTGGGCATTCATTGGTTGATTTCATCCGCTCACAGGTTCTTCCACCACCAGCTGGTTATGTCCCAATTCGGACACCGGCCCGTAAACTGACAGCAACTCCAACACCAATCGGGGGCTTAACCGGTTTCCACATGCAGTCTGAGGACCGCTCTGCGAAGAGTATGAATGATCAGCCTTCTGGAAACCTTCCATTCCTGAAACCTGATGATATCCAATACTTTGACAAATTGCTGGTAAGTTTACTTGAACATTTTATAGCTATCTGTACTTTTTCTGACCAGTCATTTTTTTTAGTAAAATGGACTGTTTATATAGAGGATAAAAATTGGGAACTATATCGCATGAGGAAAGAAAACATAACTCATAATTAATGTTTACAGGGTTATGTAAATGGAATACATAGACCATAACCCAAAATCTATACCCTTGAGCTGCATTGGCTTACTGCTTGCAAATGTGACAGACAGCTGGGTGAGGTGTTTTAATGTCTAGAAGAAGCTCTCGACGCTTAACTAAAAATTTAGAAGAGCAAAAAGAAAAGGAGAGATTGAAGTAAGTGTAAAAGAGGAACTAAAAAGCATGCAGATTTTTTTTAATAAAAGCCAAGGTGCAAGTAAAAGTGTTCCACATATAAGGGAAAAAAAGAAAGGAAATGTGTCTGGTAGCAACAAGTCATAATGTTTTGTAAAGTCTTATTTCAGATCCCTCCATCATTCAATTTGGACACGGGAGACCATGATTTATGTATTTTTATCCACGTTGGAAGATGAGAAACAAAATGTTCATTTTCTGTATTGTATTCTTTTGATTGATGTTTGTTTGACCAGTTATTTCTAATAAGTTTCAAAGTTTACAGATTGTGATATTTGTACTCACTAGGTTGAAGTTGATGAATCGACCCTGAGTCCAGAAGAACAGAAGGAAAGAAAGATCATGAAGTTGCTTCTGAAAATAAAGAACGGTACTCCACCAATGAGAAAGGCAAGTGTGGTTTTGTAGCAAGTTGTCACGTGGAGTTATGTATGCTTATAACTTGTTGCATATCAAGCTTAAGTGAATATTCATTTTCGTTTTTAAAGTGATTTAGTGGATATTCATGTGAGTTTTTCTTTTTAAGGCTGCGTTGCGTCAAATAACTGACAAAGCTAGAGAATTCGGTGCTGGCCCCCTGTTCAACCAGATTCTACCACTGCTGATGTCCCCAACTCTTGAAGACCAGGAACGTCACTTGTTGGTTAAAGTTATTGACAGAATCCTGTACAAATTAGATGATTTGGTTCGACCTTATGTACACAAGGTATCTTTATGCTTGTTTGATTATGGTTTTGCTGTATCGTTGATGGGCGTTTTAAGATCAATAAATCGTTTTGTATTGCGCACTAAAAAGTCTTACTTTTAACATAACCCATCTTGGAATGGGGAAAACTAATCTCATAAAGTTGTATGTTTGTTTAGAGCAGTTTCCTTTGGTCTAGGGTCTGTTTCCAGGCTGAATGAAATAATTTGTTCAGATTTTAAGGTTGCGTGAATTCTATATTGAAGGCACAATTTTAAAATATTGAGCTCTCAAATTTTTTATTGGTGGGCTGAAGGTGGAAGGCAGGTGTATTAATATTGGTCAGTCTGATATGCATGTCATTTGCCTGCACACAATCGCTTATTAACAATCTCAGGATGTTGCAATGTGTTGCCCCGTTAGAATGATAGGGCATACCTCCTAAAACCAATGTGAGGAGGTTGTCAATGAGATAAGCAGGGGCATGGAAATAAGTGATGTCATGATAGATATCTGTATCAAATTGGATGCATGGTTTTTGGAGAGTAAATGCCGAAATTAATTGGCTGAATGACCTAATGATCTAAGAATTAATAACTGATGGAGCAAGTTCCATGGCTGAATGGCCTCTTCCTGTTCTTATGGATGTAGAGCAGTTACATACCACAGTGATTTGTTTATTAATGAAAATGCATTGCTTTGTTTACAGATTCTTGTCGTTATTGAACCATTGTTGATTGATGAAGATTACTATGCTAGAGTGGAAGGCAGAGAAATCATCTCCAATTTGGCAAAGGTATATATATGCATTTCTACATTTTCTGGTGCATATAGCATGAAATCAAACAATTGTGGTGTTTGTTCTGATTTGTTTTCTGTGTATTTGTAGGCTGCTGGTTTGGCCACGATGATTTCCACCATGCGTCCTGATATTGATAACATGGATGAGTATGTCCGTAACACAACAGCTCGAGCCTTTGCTGTGGTAGCTTCGGCTCTGGGGATTCCATCGCTGTTACCTTTCCTCAAAGCAGTGTGTAAGAGCAAGAAATCATGGCAGGCCAGACATACAGGAATCAAGATTGTGCAACAGATTGCAATCCTCATGGGTTGTGCTATCTTGCCTCATCTTAGAAGCTTGGTTGAAATTATTGAACATGGTACGTAATAACAAAATTGCAATAAAGTGTCCACAGACTTGTAAAATCTACTACTAGTAAGCTTTAAAGTAGGCTGATTTAAAAATGTGCATTAAGTGAGATTTCTCATTTATCATTTTAACAACAACAGTAAAATTACATTTATAGAGCGCCTTTCCGTCGGGAGGACGTCCCAAAGCGCTGAACAGTCAGGTGTTGGGGCCCGAGCATGGAGGAGGGGTGGGGTAGGGGTGAGGGAAGGCAGAGAGGTGGGAGGGAGACCAAAGGCACAGTAGAAGAGAAGGATCTTGAGACCAGCCTTGAAGGGGGCAAGGGAGGAAGTGAGGCGAAGGGAACCGTGGGATGGAGTTCCAAAGTGTGGGGGCAGAGAGGCTGAAAGGCCGGCCACCAATGGTAGGGCGGGTTGGGCGGGTGACATGGAGCAGGCTGGAGCTCGCTAAACGGAGGGAGTGGGCAGGTTGGTAGGGAGTCAGCAGGTCAGAGAGGTAGTAGGGGGAAAGGCCATGGATGGCCTTAAAGGTGAGGACAAGGATCTGGGGGATGGGGAGCCAGTGGAGTCAGGCGAGGGTGGGAGTGATGGGGTCATGTAGCCTGGTGTGTGAAAGTACACGAGCTGCAGAGGTTTGGATGATCTGCAGCTTGTGAAGGGAAGAGTTGGGAAGGCCGATGAAGAGAGAGTTCTCGTAATCAAGCCTTGAGGTGACGAATGCATGGGTGAGGGTTTCAGCAGCCTGAGAGGTTAGGCAGTGGCGGAGTCTCTTATGTTTTTCTGAATATGTTAATTGTTATTCTGGTTATTAGTTATTGAATATTGAAGTTTGTACAAAAACAAATGTGATGTGTATTGATTTTTTTTATACGCCTATTTCCATAGGTCTGGTTGATGAGCAACAGAAAGTTCGAACTATCAGTGCTCTGGCTATTGCTGCTTTGGCTGAGGCTGCAACCCCGTACGGCATTGAATCATTTGACTCTGTTCTGAAACCACTGTGGAAGGGCATTCGCCAACACAGAGGCAAAGTAAGTCTGACTTAATTTCACAAACTGTTTCTGTGCTTGTAAACATTGACAGTGTTAGTTTTGAATACAATATTTCTACTGATTTGTCCTAATTCTGTATTAGATCAGTTAGCCAAAAAATACAATCTTCAAAGTATGTGTGCAGTTCACAAGAGTTATCAACAACTTGGGAGAAAATTGTTTCTGTTTTCTTGCCCTCCTCCTTTTTCTTCTATCCCTCCCCCCACCTCCAATTCTCTGGCCAAGAGAACAGACAGCAACCTATTACAGGCATCCCAGGTTGACCACTTCTTCATTATAAATGAGCTACTTTGATTTTTCCCTTCTCTCCAGGCCTCCCTTCTGTATCCATCCTGATGGTGCAACAAGATTTGGAATTTACCATTCGCCAAATTGAGATTCAAATTTGCAACCCGATCCTCCATGAATTTTACGATATTGCATTTTCATATTTCTAGATGTCTAATACAGATGCTCATCTTTTGTAGGGTTTGGCTGCCTTCTTGAAAGCTATTGGTTACCTGATTCCTCTTATGGATGCTGAATACGCAAACTACTACACTCGTGAAGTGATGTTGATCCTTATCCGAGAGTTCCAGTCTCCTGATGAAGAAATGAAAAAGATTGTGCTGAAGGCAAGTTCAGAAGCATGAAACATTTTGGATATTTATTGGACATACCTTATAATCACTTAAATTGAAAACAAAAAGTTCGATATGATGCTAGCCTTTTGATTGTAGTGCATTCCATTTATTTTTAAGTTATGAAACTAGATTTGAACATTTGTATCAATCTAATTTTTGAAAAATGCATTGACATATCTTTGCTGATATTGTTTTTTTTGTGTAGTTTCTTCAAATTCAACATATGCATCACACTGAGCATATGAAGTATTTTATACAGTCACTTATTAATGTGCTTTGAATTGACTTAAAGGTGATTTGATTACTGGTTTAAAGCCTTTTTACAGCTAAAGCTGAGATCTGTTTAGATATAGAGGTATGTGATGCACATGGAATGATTTTACTATTTATTGTAATGAATGCAGCTATATTTGTGCTTCATTACATTCAGTACTTATTTGGGATTTAGTTTCTGCAGTTTGATATCACAAGGTTGATCTTTAAAATAGGGCTTTTTTTAAACTTGCTTTTTAAAGCATTCTATCGGGATTATTGACTGTAGCACTGTGTATGTTGGAATGTGTGTCATGCTGTAATTATCTATTTTATCACCTTAATTTGAGAAACCTAGTTTACATGTCCATTGTGCACAGTACCCATGAGGATATAAAACTTAACGCATTAAATTTTAAATACAAATATTTTTGGCAAATGTTTCTCTTTAACTCTCCGTTGGTTTAAATAATTGTATAGAACTGTTGTAAAGTCTTACAATCTGTATTTGTAGGTGGTGAAACAGTGTTGTGGCACAGATGGTGTGGAAGCAAACTACATCAAAACCGAAATCCTTCCACCATTCTTCAAACACTTCTGGCAACATCGAATGGCATTGGACAGAAGGAACTACAGACAGGTATGAAAAATTTATTGATACAACTAAAATGATATAAACTGAAAAGCCAGTTTTTGAGCTGTGCCTGTCCACTTGACATAACTTTTAAATTGACCACATTTTGTGCATCACACACTGGAGTTTTGCTGGCTGAGGTAGAATGTGTGGTAGTGTGATTTGTGAACAGTTATGAGAGAAGAAATAAATTTACGCAAGGTTTATTTCATAATATACTGAGTTTGGTAACATCTCAAATTAAACTGCTTCAAAATAGAAGCATAGGTATTGTTGGCACAAAAGGTCCATCGTGCCTCTCTCTTTAGTTCGTTTCCTCTGGCTGTTCCACTTTTAGATTTTATTTAGAAAAGTATTGAAATGCAAGAGTTATTCGAGTGACTGTTTTTCTGCCCTTTACAGTTAGTAGACACCACAGTGGAACTTGCAAACAAAGTTGGAGCAGCTGAGATCATCTCCAGGATAGTTGATGACTTGAAGGATGAAGCTGAGCAGTACAGAAAAATGGTGATGGAAACCATTGAAAAGATCATGGGTAATCTCGGAGCAGCAGATATTGACCACAAGCTGGAAGAACAACTTATTGATGGCATCCTATATGCGTTCCAGGAACAGACTACCGAGGTAGAATAAGCATCACTGAATTTTCAGTGTTACATGGCATTATAAGAACTGAATAATTATTTTGAACGTGCAGTCACCATTTGGTGCTTGTGTTTATGTTTGGGGCTCCAACATTGTCTTTCTTTTCCAGGACTCTGTGATGTTGAATGGTTTCGGTACAGTGGTAAATGCTCTGGGAAAACGAGTAAAACCATACCTGCCCCAGATCTGTGGTACAGTCTTGTGGCGTCTAAACAACAAATCGGCCAAAGTGCGACAGCAAGCCGCAGATCTGATCTCCCGGATTGCAGTCGTCATGAAGACATGTCAAGAGGTACGTGCCTTTTTCATGGTGATAATCTCATGTTTTTGAACATCGTTTCACTACATTGTGGGTCCTGTAGCTCAGTGGTTAGAGCACTCGCCTTGCAAGCGAGACACCTGGGTTCAATTTCCAGGCAGGGCGAAACCTTGGGCAAGTTTCCTTACTCCACACACCTAATAATAATCTCTCCAAAACAAAACAATAATAAATTGGTCATTTTCAATCCACGACTATTTGTGGGACACTGCTGTGCGCAATTGGCTGCCGCGTTTTGCCCACAAATATACGGTCAATTCACTTTACAGCATATTCTGTGCAGCACTTTGAGACATCTAGAAGACGTGAAAAGCACTATATCAAAATGCAAATGCAAGGGTGATTATTATGTGGCCAGTCTTTAGCTGGGTTATGTATATTCAGGTGTATATTGAAATAATTGCCTTTTGTAGGAAAAACTGATGGGCCACTTGGGTGTTGTGCTGTATGAGTATCTTGGAGAAGAGTACCCAGAGGTTCTGGGCAGCATTTTGGGAGCATTGAAAGCTATTGTCAACGTTATAGGTAAGTGTCTTTCTTTGTGCAGTTTTAAATTTCTACCACAGTGGACTTTTCTAAAATAGAATGCAACGCATTTTTGACAATTTTAAAATATTTAATATTTATACTTGACTTTTGATATATAGGTATGCACAAGATGACCCCACCTATAAAGGACCTGCTGCCAAGACTCACTCCAATCCTGAAGAACAGGCATGAGAAGGTTCAGGAGAATTGCATTGATCTAGTTGGACGAATTGCAGACAGGTATGTTAACTAAACAGTTATTTTCTATATTTTTGCTTTATCAAGGAATGCACCATTCACTTCACAAAGGTTAGATAAGTAGCAGAAAAATGTGAGATGTGGTCATTCATGACAGAAAATATTAATGTCAAAAAATGGACAGTCTTTCATGTTAAGTAATACACATAAAATGAAAACTCCTTATGATGTATAACACCTTAATAACTCTGGGAAATGGATTACTGTTTCATAAACCTTTATTATTATTTTGAGAAGTGTAAAATGAAGGAAAACAATGGATTTGAAGCTGTAATTGAAGCACTGATCAGAAATGGCACCGTTGTCTCGCTTCATAGTTTCTAAAGATCAATTGTCTTTTATGCAGAGGTGCAGAATATGTGTCTGCTCGTGAATGGATGAGGATCTGCTTTGAATTACTGGAGCTTTTGAAGGCTCACAAAAAAGCCATCCGAAGAGCAACTGTGAATACGTTTGGCTACATTGCAAAAGCTATTGGGTAAGTGATGGGTGAGGATGTCACAGCATCATGGGGTTCCTAATCGGTTTCCAGTTTCTTTTCGAACAAAGTGTGGTATAGCTACTGTTTGTGTTCATTCATACAGTGGAAAAATTATTCCTCAACATAAAAGCAGAATATAGTTCCAACAGGTAAACTGAATAATGTATTTAAAAAAACGCAAAATACTGCAGATGCTGGAAATCTAAAACAAAAACAGAAGTCACTGGGAACACTTAGCAGGTCAGGCAGCATCTATGGAGAAAGGAAATTGAGACTGACGAAGGGTCGTGGAACTGAAACGTTGACTCACTTTCCTTTCTCCATAGATGCTGCCTGACTGCTGAGTGTTCCCAGCGACTTCTGTTTTTGTTTCAAACTGGATAATATTACTATTGATATTATATCATGTTCCAGTAACTAATACTGTGCAGATTATACCAATATCAATTAAATTCCATCTGATACTTACATTCCGTGTTGAAATATTTGATGAACAGAATGAAACTAGCTACTTTTGATTATAACTTACCATCTGTCTAAATAGTATCTCCAATGTGTGATCTGTCAACTCACTGTTTGATTTTTTTTCTTCCCCCCCCCCCCCCTCCCAGGCCCCATGATGTGTTGGCCACACTACTGAACAATCTGAAAGTTCAGGAACGTCAGAACAGAGTGTGCACCACAGTAGCAATTGCTATTGTGGCAGAAACGTGTTCTCCATTCACAGTGCTGCCTGCTTTGATGAACGAGTACAGGGTTCCAGAACTGAATGTACAGAATGGTGTGCTGAAATCTCTTTCATTCTTATTTGAGTACATTGGAGAAATGGGAAAGGATTATATTTATGCTGTTACACCACTTCTTGAAGATGCTTTAATGGATAGGTGAGTTCAGTTCTAACAAAAATTATGCTGTTGGCATATGTTTTAATGCAAAGGGATCACTCAACACCCACATGCACAAAGCAAACCTTCCAGGTGCATTTGTGATTGTTTTATTTATGCCTCTGGGGAAGAAACGGCACTTGATTTGAAGGACAATTGAATATTATTAATTCTGGTGCAATATGGAAAATCAGCAAGGCCTTTGGGAATCCCTTGTTAATTCTGTGTTTAAAAATGAAATTCCTTTCTATTCAATAAACTTTTAAGCGAAGAGTTTTGCCAAGATCCTCTTCCTTCCATCCAATCAAAAAAGTTACTAATAGAAAGAAGTAATGTGCAAACAAGAAAAATCCCAATGTAGAATAACAAATAATATCTTTGATATTTTGATCCCTCTGTTAAAATCCACATGTCGTGAAAGCCTGAATGAATTAGTGTTGTACGTACTAACCAGATTGTTTTCTTTCCCCTCCTCGCTTGCAGAGACCTGGTTCACAGACAGACAGCTAGTGCGGTTGTTCAGCACATGTCACTGGGAGTATATGGATTTGGCTGTGAAGATGCCCTTAATCACTTGTTAAACTATGTATGGCCCAATGTTTTTGAGACATCACCACATGTTATTCAGGCTGTTATGGGGGCATTGGAGGGCCTAAGGGTTGCATTAGGCCCTTGCAGAATGCTGCAGTATTGTCTGCAGGTAAGTTCATTACTCTTTTTACAACCATGTATGTTTTTGTTGCAATATAATCCTTGCATTTGATATAGCACCTTATCACATTGACCAGACTCATTGAAGCACTATTTGAGAAAGGCCTGTGGGTCTCATCCAAAGTGGTCTAATTAGGGAAGTTCCTTTGCCAGCCTTCTCCTAGCTTCAATTGGACATTCATGTGTGGACAATTGTAGCAATTAACATTTCTCGTGCTTTTTGACACACTATGTTGATATGCCACCACACTGTTGCCTTTTTTAAAAAAAATCAGATCATAAGAGAGGTTCAGATGAAGTTTTTTGGCCCAGTTTGGACGGTCTCCTGCTGGAATACCAACCATGCCATTTTCCTATTACAGTTCCAGGTCGTTTCTTAAATGAGTCAAATGACCAAGCCTCAACCATTATTTTTGGTAATCCATTTCAAGTGTTCATTAGCTTCTATAAAGAAAATAATTGCTTTATTCCCCCTCCCTTTCCAGCTTGGTGTCAAACCAAACCACTGTTAAGCAATCAGGTGCTACTCACATGAAGGTGCTCTGTCAATGCAAGTTGTTGTAATTGTGGCTCAAAAATTACCCTTTAAAGCTGTTCCTCTTGTTCTACTGTTTTGGAATGAAACACTCTGGGACGCTACCTTGCATGAATGGTGCTATATAAATGCAAAATGTTGTTGGAATATTAAAGTACTTTTCTTTACTCCTGATTTCAAGGCTGTGTAATTTCTAAGTTTCAAGGACTTTTTTCAGTCCTGAAACTTCTATTGGTCTCTTAAAAAATAGTCTTTTTCTTCTTTTTTGATAGGGCTTGTTCCACCCAGCCAGAAAAGTGCGTGATGTGTACTGGAAGATCTACAACTCCATTTACATCGGTTCACAGGATGCCTTAATTGCACATTATCCAAGGATCTTCAATGATGAAAAGAATACACATATCCGTTATGAACTTGATTACATCTTATAAAATGGGGTTAACATTCTTTGCGTTGTCTTTGTTGTCTATTTTGCTGCGTTGTATTTGCACTGGTTATTGAACCTTGTGCTGTGCTTCGAATGTGAACTATGAGAGTTTGAATTTAAAATCTGATCATCTTGTTGGAGCAGACTCGACAGTAGAAAGTGGCTAGGGCGAGTAGCACGATTTTACTTTTAATGGGACTTCCAAGTCTGTAAATCTGTCTCATTACTTGTTCTTGATGTTAAGTAACTAATTCTAGTGACCAACAGGACAATGAATACTCGTTCATTTGAATTTGTCTTTATTGAGATTTAGGTTTCATTCCTTGTGTTGAGGGGTTGTTTCTTATTAAAAAAATAAACGCTTATATAAAAAAATCTAAATCCAGTTTATATTTCTCATGTTATTTTTTGAGGGAGGTACATGTTAAAAAAAAAACTGGTTTTCAAACAGGTGTGGCAGTTTAATTTCCCCACAAATCATTACATTATCAAATTTACCTTTTCTACTTTTAAAGAAATATGATTCACTTTGCATGTTTTTTTTACGCTAACATAATGTAAGTAGAATGTTGTACAGAAAGCTCTATTGAGGTTGTTTCTAGTTTGAAAGATCTTCATAATCAACCTGCAAGCCAAATTTCTGTGAGATTCTTCATTTCGTGAGAAAGATCTCAATCAGGGCCTGTAGAACAATCTGGAGCAGAAATCAGCTCTCAGCAGTAAAATTAACTCAAAACTGAGATCAATATCCCAAACTGACTTGGATCAGTTTCTGAAACCTTTTGAGATGTTTAGCTGGCCAAATGTTAAGTGTAGTGTGCTGAGTCATGTGATTACTTTCACAAGACTGTTAATGGCATTTTAATAAAAATGTTGTATAATAGTTTCTGGTCTTTGGAGCTGCGGCATAAAGTGCCATGGGGGAGGGGGAGCGGGGAAGGGGGAGCAGGAGAGAATGGGTAGGTCATAAACCTTCTCAAAAACAAAAACTGAATCGAGCACATGGTTACCAACTATGTATGGTACAGTAAAGTCCATTTAAGATTAAATCTTTTTCAACATCTTCAGACCAAGCTTATAGTGCAGGTGTTTTAAGATTGGCTTTCTTTCCCACTCTCCTTTATTAGAATGCAATAGGCTACATATTAAGTGTTCAATAATTCCTTCAGCTGAATGGAGGTGAGTTCATAAAGTAGTATTTTGCTGGCACTAAGTCTTAAGCTTGTGTTGTCAATATTCTATAGTTTCTACTTCTAAATCCATTGGCTGCATACAACAACAACAACAAAGCAGTGCTGTGAACTTTTCCTTTGGGTCAGGTCTAATGGTCAGCCTTTAGTGTAATCAAATTAGTCTGAGGAGGGCTTGGCTATGTGTTTTCTACCACTTGTGAATCTGACCAGCATAACAAACTTGTTGCTCGTTGAAATACAAAGCAAGGTTCCCTTGTGATATTAAAATCCTATTCCATAGCTGGTGACCATATATCCTCTACTTGTTCAGTTTTGAGAATTAACTGTAGGTAAAATTGATGTTTTAATAAACATGACTGTCTCCGTCAGTGCGTCCTTGTGCTTTTTTTTTAAAATGTAAGGCATCTCATCTTCATTGATGGAAATGTATAAAATATTTTTGAAAAAAAAACTTAACCATTTTATCAACATTTGCCAGGTTTCCAGTCCATTCTCAGAATAAGTGGGGAAAAAGAGGACAACATATAGGTTGGGTGGTTACCAAATTTTGTACAAAAAAAATGAATCTCCTCTATAGCTCATTGTTTTTCTTCTACTGATAAATCTTCCCCCAGCTCGAATAATCTACTGATAACTCACTTCATTTATAAATGAAGAATGGGAGTTGAACAAAATACTACAGAGCTGACTGCACTTGTGAAACTATTACTCCTTGGGTAAGAGTCAAGACTTCAAAAGAAGAGGGCAAAATGTTCAATTATTATAGTAAAACTCCCATTAATTGTATCAGTCAGGACTAACATTTAGTATAACTTACACAAAGTTTTGAGTTCCAGGCAAACTATGTCATGAAATCTGATTCATTCACTAAAATACACTGCTCTTCAGGAATTCAATGCGGTTGGAAAGTGTGCATGCGGTAATGGGCCAATACCACAATTCCCGTGATTCAATATGTCTTGACGAGACCCGGTTAAAACATAACGCACCTCCCACCCTTACGTCCCAAGCCATATAAACACGTAACACACTCCTTACGTCCAATAACAAAAAAAATACATAACACCTACCCCCTTACAGAGTCGAAAGAAAATATAAAATTTCCCGAGCAACATAAAATACATTTGACGCCCCCTTTACATCCCAGGTTAATACAAATACAGCCCCCTTAAGTCCTGAGTCAAAAAAACACATACTGCACTCTCCCTCAGTGTGGCAGCACAGTGCAGAGAGAAAGAATCTCCCTCTTCCTTGTCCCGTCTGCTACTCCCAGGCAGTTGCAGCGCAGGACAGAGACAGTAAAGATCCCCCTCCCTTGTCTCACCCAGTAATGAATGATTCTATTTGCTCAGCTGGGATTTCATTTAAGATTTAACAGACAGGTTCACAGACAGGTCTTTTGCATTATGCATATTGTCTGCTGCATTTGTTTACAAACTGCACAGTCACCACTATTTACAATAATTTCCGTGATGTGCTTTGAGTCATCCTCCCTAATTGAACACCAAACACAGCAATTATTGTTATTTTCTGACTTGGCAAAGTTACCATGCTTTGAAATTTAAGATGTTCTCCCAAGGCGTATTGTTTATATTAATCTTTATTTGTGCTGCAAAGCTGTCCTTGAATCCTGTTTCCCTTAAGACAAAAGGTTTAATGGTGACATAGGAATGGAAATATCTGGCCGGTTTTAAGGTTTTAAAGAAATAATTCTTCATTACTCTCTTCACGCCCTTCTTTCAAAATCATTGCTAAATACTGTATTTTTGTAATTGCATGGGTTGACAGTCTGTCCTCATCTCCTCCCCAGACAGTCTATTCCACATTTTTACCACACCTTCACCAATCTCTGCATTAGAAAACTTTTTTATATATATTTTTAAAAATATGTCTGGACCGGAGACGGTGCACCTAATTTTGATATCCAGATGCTTAGTGGTTCGAGCACTCGCCTTGCAAGCAGGGTGAAACATTAGGAAAGTTTAGTTACTCCACGTACCTCTGTTTACCTGGCAGTAAGTTGCGACTTGGATGTTGGTCGATTGTCGGATCGCTTTCTGGGGGTAATAATCCCTTCAAAATAAATTTGAAAAATTTTATTATAATTTGGACCTTCATTCCACGACTGTTTGTGGAACACTGCTGCGTGAAATTGGATATCGTGTTTCGCCCACGAAATATACAGTCAATTCACTTTATAGTATTTTCTGTGAATCACTTCAAGACGTCTTGAAGACGTGATAAGGCACTATATCAAGTGCAAGGATTATTATTAAATAAGATTAATCATTCATTTCAAGGCTCCCATGGGTCATTGTTATATGACATGTACTATAATTAAAACAATAGTCCCATAGTGTTAGGAAATAAAATCAGCCAAATCTGTAAGGAAATAACGCTAATTCCTCTAACCAGATATCTGACTATTTTATTATTATTCGTTCGTTATTCCCCAATATCCCGATGGGTCAGACCAAAGGCCGGTACAATCAACAGATCTTATAACAGAATAACACCACTATAGATATCTCGAGTTCAAGAGTTCAACACTGTGTTGATTCTTCATGCTTTCAGTCTTCTTGATTACAGCTTTCAATCTTCCATCTGATATCCTCAGTCTTAGTGTTTCCAGCTCTCAGTCTTCCATCTTCGTACCCTTGTCTCTGCAGCCTGAGACGGCCCCATCTCCCGTATCCTTGTCACCACGACCCGGGACGGCTCCATCTCCCGTATCCCTGTCTCCGCGACCCGGGACGGCCCCGTACACAAAGTTATCGGAACTCTTATACCAATGTTCATCCAATCATGGTGCAGACATTAGATTATCTGGTCAAAATCATGCTGGGTTCACGTGAACACCTCATGGGGTGTACGTGCCTCACACACACAAACACACCGTCCTTGAGACAGTCCATTATCTCGTGTACGTGCAGGGAATTTCAGTCCAGCTACCCACAACACACTTAACTTAAAAGTTAACCCGTTTGCAACATCTATTATGATTCCAACATCATACAAAAAGTGTAAATTCTAACAATAGCATTGTGGTTAGAGCACTCGCCTCATAAGGCAGAGGATCCTGGTTTGATAGGCAAGTTTCCTGACTCCACACGCCTGTTTATCTAGCAATAAATAGGAACCCAGTTGTTAGTCAATTGGCAGATCGAATCAGGATCCTCTCACTTACAAGTCGAGTGTGCTAACCACTACGTTATGGGACTATTATAATCCCTCAAAAAAAAATTTACAAATTAAGTCACCATGACTGTTTGTTGGACACTGCTTTGCATAATTGTCTGCAGCGTTTTGTCCACAAGATATACAAGTATAGCACTTTGAGACGTCTCAAGAACGTAATAATATTCTATATCAAATGCAAGGATAATTATTATTTTATTTATTAAGATAGGGGAGAAATTTCACCTGAGTCGAGATTTACTTTTTGCATAGCATTCCAGAATGCCTTGGATTTGGCAATTAAAGATGATTTCTGCAGCTCAATTCAATGAAAAAATTAAAAACACAGAGGAATTTACTTATAACAACACAACAACAACAAGATTCCATTTATAGAGCGCCGTTCACGTCGGGAGGACGTCCCAAGGCGTTGTACAGTTGGGTCAGGACCCGAGCAAGGGGGAAATGGTCAGGGGGAGGGAAGGGAGGGAGCGAGGAGGGGGTAGAGAGGGGAGCTGAAGGCTCGGTCAAAGAGAAAGGTCTTGAGACCGGCCTTGAAGGAGGAAAGGGAGGAGGCGGCGAAGGCACTGGGGGATAGAGTTCCAGAGCCTCGGGGCTGAGAGGCTGAAGGCCCGGCCACCGATGGTAGGGCGGTTGGGGCGGGGGATGTGGAGCAGACCGGAGCCAGAGGAACGGAGGGTACGGGCAGGTAGGTAGGGGGATAGTAGGTCGGAGAGGTAGGAGGGAGCAAGGCCGTGAATGGCCTTGTAGGTGAGGGTGAGGATCTTGAATTCGATCCTCTGGGGGATGGGGAGCCAGTGAAGGCGAGCGAGGGTGGGAGTGATGTGGTCCTGGTGCGGGACAGTACACGAGCTGCAAAGTTCTGAATGACCTGCAACTTGTGGAGAGAGGTGCCGGGAAGGCCGGCGAGGGGAGAGTTCCCATAGTCCAGCCTTGAGGGGATAAAGGCGTGGACCAGAGTTTCAGCACCGTGAGGGGTGAGGTAGTGCCATAGTCTGGCAATGTTCCGGAGGTGATGGAAGGCGGTGCCAGTTGTGGCGCGGATATGGCCACACCCTAATCTTTGCATGCAATGTTGTCAGCACTTACAGTAAGTGTTTAAAAAGACAAAAGGACGAGGGAGGAACGAAGAGAGGGTGTAATTTAGTTTCGGTGCTGATTTTTCTCAATAAATACTTCTGCACTTGCTGATTTGAAACAACTTCAGAACGGCAGAGCAGCAAACTACAGTCAGTACCTCCCTGAAGTTTCGGTAAGTTCAATTCTTAGTCTTTGCCTTTACTTGAGTGATTTTTTAAGCTTTGGTTCATGCTATGAAGGTATGAAGAGAAATGCCACTTGAGGCTAAAGCTATGCTATTGTCGAATTCAAGATCCTCACCCTCACCTACAAGGCCATTCACGGCCTTGCTCCCTCCTACCTCTCCGACCTACTATCCCCCTACCTACCTGCCCGTACCCTCCGTTCCTCTGGCTCTGGTCTGCTCCACATCCCCCGCCCCAACTGCCCTACCATCGGTGGCCGGCCTTCAGCCTCTCAGCCCCGAGGCTCTGGAACTCTATCCCCCAGTGCCTTCGCCGCTTCCTCCCTTTCCTCCTTCAAGGCTGGTCTCAAGACCTTTCTCTTTGACCGTGCCTTCATCTCCCCTCTCAACTCACTACCCCCTCCTCGCTCCCTCCCTTCCCTCCCCTCACCCTGACCATTTCCCCCCTCCTCGCTCCCTCCCTCCCCTCACCCTGACCATTTCCCCCCTGCTCGGGTCCTGACCCAACTGTACAACGCCTTGGGACGTCCTCCCGACGTGAAAGGCACTCTATAAATGGAATCTTCTTGTTGTTGTTGTAGCGTTTGGAACACAGAAAATTGTTGAATTTAGTCTTAAATTTGAAGTCAGTTGGCTTTCCTGCAGCTCTTAAAGAAACTCACAGAATTAAAGCTGTATTTAAGAAATTGAATAGAGTACAAGAAGAAAATAGAGTAAATCTTCACACAGGTGCAATTTCAACCGCAGAGATTCTTAAAGATTTTGTTTAACAAAAAGCAAAATAGAGTCAATAGGGAGAAATAATTTCCATTGGTAAATATTTTGTGTCAGTCAGTAACTGGAGAGCACAATTTAAATAACACACACCTGCCAGTGTGTTCAAAATCATCTTCCTTCAGTATTCCACGGCACTGCTGACCTGGAATAACTTGATTAATTGGCAGGACCTTGAAGGGCAGAACAATTATTGGGGGCAGAGAGTCATCCCACTCAGCTTCTGTTAACCCTGCAATCCAAACACCTAACGGTTAGGGTGGTCCTAGCTGGACAAGCAGTGGGAAAGCTTGCCGGACAGCAATATCAATGGCCAGCTATGCGGTTTTAGCTGATTAGACTCCAGCAGTACCTCAATGCACATTCTGGAATTCCCAAACCTTGGCTCTTGCCAACCGGCACCTAATCCTTTCCGCAATTAGGTAAGCAGGATGCATTCCTCTAGGGAGAGAGTGTGCATTCCATTTCAACAATCTATCTCTGGGATTTCCATGTGTAGGTGGGATGCGTGGAAATCTCAGCTTAGTTTGGATCCTCTTAAGCATAGTAATGGGCTTCTGCATGTGTCAGACACCCGGCTGACCCCAAAAAAAGCTTTCCGGGGGTAATAATACCTCCAAAATAAATACATTGTTTACTCAATCCATAACATTGCTGTATACAATTGCCTGCCACATTTCGCACAGAAAATTCACTTTACAATATATTCTGTGAAGCACTTTGAGATGTGAAAGGCACTCTACCAAATGTAAGGATTATAATTATTATTAATACACGGCAAAACAGAAGCTTCTTTGCTCATATCTGATCTTTGACATAAGTTCCAATAGTCAAGTAAGAAATAACAGTACTCTGTTTTGTTTTTCCTTCAGGTGAGCAACGCCATTTGAGATGTGTGATCAGCGTAAGAAACAATTCATTTTCATTGTCATTTTATATTCCTTTAATTCCTGCAAAAAAAATGTGTTGAGACTCCACACAGAGTAAAGACCTTGGAAAGTGTTGTAGACACCTGCAGGGTTCATTGTCGTGGGTGTGTCACATTGGCCCTACAATGACGAGATGGGAATCTTTAGAAATATCACCTCAAATCTAGGTCGAAGCATGAGTAATGCCGTTACAAGAAATTCATGCCAACAAGATTTCAATCCATGTTCATCGGATCAAAGCGAGCTCCAGAATTTCTTAAGCACAGTCTTTAATTTTCAATCTGTATCTTCGGTTTTATTTGAAGAACTAAAGAAAATTGGTCAAATTTTGCAACCTGCATGTCCTGATATAAAGTATATCTAATAATTAGAAAATAGGAGTATATCTAACCCCTGGGGAAACTGAATTTAAGGCAATAACAAGGCTATTTTGGGACTCTGATGGTCAGTGAAATCTTTTGAGTTTTCCCAGGGCCTCCAGCACAGAGCAGCATCAAGCCACAGTCCTCTGTAGAGGGAGGTGTGCAACAGTAACATTGTATGACGACTGCAGCAATGCTTTTAGCAGGTGGAAGCATTTCATAGAATAATAGAATAGAATTTTACAGTACAGAAGAGGTCCATTTGGTCCATCTGGCAATGTGCTATCCATTTAGTCCCATCTCCCTGCTCTGAGCAAGGTATGGCCCTCCAGGATGAGAATGTGCTCTCCATTCTAGGCAAATGGAAATTTCCAGTTTGGTTTGGAGACTCTTAAGCACGATACTGGGTTTCCATGTATGTCAGACACTCCGTTGAAAATCCCCTGCCCTTTCCACGTTCCCTACCATCACCCCCAATGACTCAGAGAAGGTCTCACTCTGAAAACTGGTTTCTTCTTTGCTTGGGTTTGTTGATGTCCCCCATGTGAATGGGAATAGGTGCACTTGGTGTGTGTGGCCTTATGTTCAGCCCATCAGCTTGTTGGAGAAGGTTGTGATACAAATTTGTACAATTGTAACCAGAGTCTGCTGTATATTTACAGTAGTTATTTTCCTTACAGAGCAGCAGGTGTACAAAGGCCCTCAGCCATCAAAATATTGCCAACCGAAAGATTGTAAGGACCATGGGCATGAAGACCATGGGAAAGGTGCCATGAGCATGGAGACCATGGGCATGGAGGCCATGGGCATGGAGGCCATGGGCATGGAGGCCAAGGGCAAGGATGCCATGAGCATGAAGACCATGGGCATGGAGGCCAAGGGCAAGGATGCCATGGGCATGGAGACCATGGGCATGGAGGCCATGGGCATGGAGGCCATGGGCAAGGATGCCATGAGCATGAAGACCATGACCAAGGATGCCATGAGCATGGAGGCCATGGGCATGGAGGACGTGGAGGACGTGGACATTAGGTGAGTGAAACTACCCATCAATTCATATTTTGATCTGACACCAATTTCCCTCAATGCGTTGTGTTAGCTCAATGCAATTTGTAGGACATTCGGCTCTGTGTTGCACGTAGTGTGGAGAGCGGTGGGTCCGTTCCCTGCCTGGTGCTCTTGCCCCTATCCCTGTAAATGGGAACAGCACAAGGGGCTCAGCTCTGGATTGTGCAGGAGAATCATTCCTACTCCAATGCTGTTGTCGGGAGGTTTGTTGATATGATATTTCCCTCTTCCAAAACTATCCCATTCATACAAACTCTGCAGCTGAGTCCTCTCCTGAATTCGGCCACATACACACACATACATTATCCACACTGTTGTGGTGTTTTTTTTTAAATGAGCACAAAGCTTAATGGAGGCCTTTTACACTTTGATTTCTCAAATGCTTGTGGTAGATTCCATCTTTGATTAGCAAGGAAACAATGGTAGATTTGGAGGTTAATGTACACTACCCCGTCTGTCTGATGGAGAAGCACTCTCTTTTTTGTCAGGTGTCCACAGGCAGGATTGCGACATCTCCTTGACTGCTGTGAATGTTCAGCGGGGCCACTTCTTGATGGTCTGCGGGTCACCTCCGTGTCCCTGGGCCATGGGTTGGCCACCACTGGTCTAGGCTGACGCTGCAATGTGAGAAATGCTGTCCATTGGCCGAAAAATTAAATCGCAGTCTAACAATCCCCCAGATAAAACTGGTCATTGACTTCCTTGCTGTTTGTGGGACTTTTGCAGAGCGCAAATTAGCTGCCGTGTTTGCCTAAAAAAATACATGGTCACTACATTCCAGAGTAAAATCTTGTGAAGCACTTTGAGACATTTCAATGACATGATACAGTGCTATATCAAATGCAAGGATTATTATTTTACAGATTGCAGCAGGATTCGGGGCAAAATTCCCTTCGGGCCCACATCACAACGGGAAACAGCAAGGGGCTTCTCATCTGGGCAGTGAAAATATTGATGAACGCAAGCTTGAGATGTCTTTTGCACAAGACAGATAGGGGTGCAATTGGTGCAATGACTGGGATTTCTGCAGTTTATTATATCTTTCATGACTAAATTAAATTGGTAGCTTTTGCAGAATTCTGTATTGAAATTATTATTCTGCTGTAATTGCTTTTATTTGCTTAAAAATAAACCACACCGGACGTTGCCTTGAGATTATAGCAGTGAGTATTGCACAGCATTATATGTTTCAAAGGCTATAAAGGTTTAACACAATGACTTCTGCTGTGTGTTGATGTCATTAAATCAGATTGCAAATATCTCTACATCTGTTGTCCTATTTCTTTTGAAACAATAATTAAATAAGCTTTTGGTGGTCAAAATCAAAGGAGTTTCGCCTGGGGTATTGGGTTGACCAGTTCCAAAACAACAGAAACACATGTCCCTTTCGGTTACAAGGAAAGCCCCTGAATTAATTGACTTCCTATTATAATAATAATAATAATAATAATCCTTGCATTTGATTTAGCGCCTTATCACGTCTTTGAGACTTCTCAAAATATAATGTAAAGTGAATTGACTGTATATTTTGTGGGTGAAACTATAGCTAGCAGTCCTCAACTAGCTGTGAATTTTCCTACATTGTTACCTTTCCTTTCATTCCTGTCCAATCACTTTCCTCACCACCACCATCCCCATATCTGGCTCAGTTGGTATCACTCTCACCTGTAGGTCAGAAGATTTTGTGGGTTCAAATCCCATGTCTCTGAACCATCCTTTGAATGAGACCATTAGTTTGTTGGGTATATTTTAATGCTCATTAGAATGAGCGGTTATATAGAAAAATGTCATAGTGGCACCAACACTCATCCTCCAAATCTTGGAACTATTGTGTGTCAGCCTGGCTCAATTGGTTGCACTCTCGCTTCTGAGCCAGAGATTGTGAGATCAAGTCCCACGTTGGGACTCTGAACGCACAGTTAAGGCTGACGTTCCAATGGAGTGCTGGGGATGTTCTGCATTGTTGGAGGTCTGATTCTTCCTGTTCCAATGAGACTTTTCAAAAAAAGAAGGGAATTTTGTCCTGATGTTTGTCCAACAATCCCTCAGATAGAATTGGTCATTCATTTTGTGGCTGTTTGTAGGACGATCCCCAGTGTTAGAGGAATGAGCTACGAGCTACCATTAGACAAGTTAGGGCTCTTCAGTCTTCAAAGGAGACGCATCAGAGGTGACCTTAGAAAAGGTTATATAAGATTCTAAATGGGATTGAAAGTGTAAACCCAGAACAATGTACCATTGATGCACCAGACATTTGAATGTTTCAGAGAGGCATTTGAACCTCTGTGATCTCTTACCCCCTACCAACCTGACCGCTCCCTCCATTCAGCGGGCTCTGGCCTGTTTCACATACCCTGCCTTACCCGCCCCACCATTAACGGGCGGGCCTTCAGCCTCTCTGTCCCCACCCTCTGGAACTCCATCCCACAGTCCCTCCGCCTCATTCCCTCCCTTGCTTCCTTCAAGACCCGCTCCAAGACCCTCCTTGTCCACCGGCGTGCCTTCTGTCACCCTCCTACCCCTACCCTCCCTGCACGCCACCCTTCCTGATCCCAGCCATCAACTTGGGTGTGGATCCCTCACTGTCCAGTGCCTTGGGAAGTCCTCCTGACATGAAAAGCGCTATAAAAATTTAATTTGTTGCTGTTGTTGAATACGAGGACACAGGTCAGAGTTGTAAAGGTTAATTTCACGGCTGATCTCACCAACATATTTCCTTACCCAGATGGTAACGAATGACTGGAACAGGTTGCCAGGAAGGGTGCCTGAGGCCAGGACACTGGATGGTGTGATAGCAGGATGGATATTCTGTAAGGATGAGATCACCTACCAACCCCCTCCCTCCATTGCTCTGGACAGACAGGTCCTGGTGCAGGATTCAGGAATGTGGGGCACCTCAAACTCGGAAGAAAAACATCAACCAGGCAGGAAACCAAGTTTGGAAACTCTATTGATTTTATTTATTTGTTACAGAATGATTCAAGTTTGACTGCAGCAGACAGAATGAAAATACATCCTGACCTGATCCACATTGAATACTTTGTCCGCTGCAGGATCAGAAAGGTATATTACAAAGCTCTTGTGTTTTCCAGCGCGTTAACTTTCAAATAGTGTCAAATTCTCGCCATCTTTCTGCCCACTCAAGGTCAATTGTCTCATTTGAGGCATGGGTTAGACTTATGTGCGGAGGATTTGTGGTGGAAACTAAAGAAATCCAACCAAAGAACAGTGCACAATTACAGCACAAAAGGCCTTTCCTAATGTCACCGATCCCCAACCAGCAAGACTGACCGTTGTGCGTGCAATGGCTCTCTGAAAGAGTTGTCCATTTAGTTCCACTCTCCTGTCTTCTCCTCACCTCCCCATCCCGTTTTACACTTATCTTTGCGGATCAAAGCCAAAATGGATTCAGCCTCAAACATGGCTCCTGGCAAGGTATGATGCCTGAACGAACCTCTGCGTAGTCAAAAAAGAATTCTCCACCCCTCTCCCCAGTCACGGGCAGAAAGCTTCTGCTGTAACACTGGACTGGTGTTGCCAAAGTTTACTGCAGGGGTGGCTGAACCAGAGTTCAGAGGAATTTAGGTACAATGTGGCATCTTCACATAATAACACAGCTCAGTCATCAGATGGCACTGTTGGGCGAATTTTTTTTAAACCACGAAACAGCACCATCTAGTCGCACAAGAAATGTACAGCAAAGGGGGTCATTTGGCCCACTGTGCCCGCAGTGATTCGTCGAAAGAGGCATCTGCACTTTCCCATTCTCCTGCCCTTTTCCTATATCTTAAATGTTCTCCTACACGTACAGTCACTACACTTTACAATAAAATCCTGTGAAGCACTTTGAGATGTTTCAATGAAGCAGTAAGGCACTATATCGAATTCAAGGATTATTATGATTTATTATTACCCTTTATATCTCTCCTCTTCAGAATTTAATTCTGCCTCAAAAACAGGGGAGGGGAAACACCCAAGTAGCCCACCACACCGATTTTAAAAGACAATGTTTATGCCCTCTTTAAAGAGTAGGATTTGATTTGAACTTGTTACCAACAGACATTAACATATAGGCTAACCATGTTATAATGTACCTCACTATAACGCAGGTTTGCTTATAATGCAGTTGGGTTGTGGACCGCAACATTCACTTACTTAAAACCCTAAATGATGCCATCCAAATTCCATCATCGCAAAAAAAAAGCCGACTTCCTGGTCATCAGGTCACTGCTAGCCACTTCCTGTTTGCCTCGAATGTGTATCTTACTCCTGGGCGTTGTGCGTGCACAGGAAATGCTACCTGGCAGAGAGAGTGATGGCAACGGTAACTCACCAAGCAGAAGTCAACCATTATTATAACACGTGCCTCATTATAACGCAAGGAATTGAGACAATGAGCCCAGACAAGTGCATTGCGAAGGGATTGCCCTGTATTCACATGTTAAACATTTGTACACACTGTTTTGCCTGGAGTGATTGACTCCTCGTTCAGTGCACGCGCATCAGTAGGAGTGGAGCTTGGCACTAAAGTGGCTCCCAGTGATTGATGACAGCAGAGAGAGAGAGAGATTCAAAAGTTCAATGCATGCGGAAATGATCGGTGCACACTTAGAAACGATGACATAAAGAAACAGGGTGGCGGAGGGAGGGGAGAAAGGGAAGCGATTGGATTAAAGCACAATCAGCCTGGAAATGGAGAGAGCTGTTGTGGTTTAGCAAGCTGTGATAATATTCAAATTGCTTATAGTTCAACAAAGATGTGAAAAAAAGCTGGCAACGTACAAAACTGAAGAGATAAAAGATGTAAAAATAGATATGTATATATATTTTTTTAAAAAAAGCACCTTTTTTTTGTACCCTTTCCTGGATAATGGAAACTATTAAAGAGATCAGAAATCTGAAATACCACCTGATCTTAGCCTGCGATATCACTGCTTTTGTCTTAAAATGTAAGATTTGTTGAATAATCTTAAATTAGTCTCCGCACAGGAGCCGGAAAAGAAACCAGCTTGTGAATTAAGGACAAACTGGATAATTACCCTGAATTTCTACGAGATTTAAAATAAAAAGACAAATGTAGGCTGAGATTAGGTGGAATTCCGTGGGGGGGACGAGGAGGGGAAGCGGGGGTATTCTTGGCAAGTGCGACTCGCGGTACTTTTAGTCTTAACAGATCCACTTGAGGAACCTTTCGAAGAAGGTGGAGTGTAGAATGTGGGAATAATCCTCGGCTCGATAAATCGCTGCCATCTCCCCCAGGGTGATCTGGAGCAGGATATCCATGTCCATCTCCGTGTTCTTGCCCACCGCGATGACCGTGGGCACCACATTGTGCTTCCTCATGGCGCTCACCGCCTCTACCAGGCTCTTCTGGCCGCTGGTACCGTCGGTGATGAAGACGAAGGAGAGCTCTGCATTCTTGCGGGCGCCCTGGATCGCAAACCTGCCTGGCCTCTGCACCACATTGTGGATGGCGTAGATGATGGCCGAGCCCACATTGGAGGCAGAGTCCATGTACTTCATCTGGGTGATGCCATTGGCGATGAGGGTGAGGTTGTAGCTCAGCCCGAAGGCCAGCTCCTGCTCATTGTCGCCGCCGTACTGCAACAAGGCCAGGCGGGCGCTGGAGGGATCATTGTGCCTGTCCGCCAGGATGAGCCTGCTCGACATTTTCTCCAGAAACTCCTGCACCTGCGTGAAACCGCCCTGACCCATCCTCTCCGAGCCGTCCACCAGGAACACCACGTCCACCGGCCGCTGCGTGCACTCTGACACCGCGAGCTCTGAAGACACAGAAAATAAACACAGGCGGAGAGAGAGAGAGAGAGAGAGAGAGTGAGAAAGCCAGACAGCAGGTGTCAGCCTGGCTCAGTCAGCAGCGTTCTCATTCCCTCAGAGTCAGAAGGATGTGAGTCGAAGCCCCACTTTGAGCTCACGGTCTGAGCTGGGGGAGCACTGCATTGTCAGAGGTGGAGTCCTGTAACTCAGTGGTTAGAGCACTCGCCTCGCAAGCGAGAGACCTGGGTTCTATTCTCAGCAAGCAAAATGTTGGGCAAGTTTCCTTACTCCACACGCTTCTGTTTACAGGGGTAATAATTCCTTCAAAATAAATAAATAAATAAATTGGTCACTCAATCCATGACTGTTTGTGGGACACTGATGTGTGAAATTGGTTGCTGAGTTTCGCCCACAAAATATACAATCAATTCACTTTACAGTATATCCTGTGAAGCGCTTTGAGACGTCTCAGATGCAAAGATTATTAGGTGCGGTCCTATGGGTAACACAATAAACCAAGATTGTGTCTATGCCTGGACTTTAAATATCCCACAGCACTACTTGGGACATCCTTCCGACATGAAAGGCTCTATACAAATGTAATTTTGTTGTTGTTGCTTGTGGTAAACCGCTGTGCACAAATTAGCCTCACCTACAAATTACGCAATGTTTTTACTGCTCCACTGCTTATCCAGTTCCCCTTCAATGATTTTATTCACCCAGTCACCTGAGGCAATAAATTCCAAACTCTGTGTAATTTTGAATGGAAAACCTCTAAGATCTGTTCTGATGCTCCTGCCTGTCAGTAACCTTCTGCAGGAGCCTCATCTCCTGTGTGAGCAAGTCCTGTCACCAGTAAAGGCTGTGCTGCAGGACAGACAGAGCTCACAAGGCAATGCCTCTCCATCACAGGAGCTTGTTGAAGTACTCTACCTTTCATTTACAAAAAAGTTGTGTGCTAGCATTTATTCTGGCCTCAGAGAGAAGGACAGAGAGAAAGTGTGCGTGTGTGTGTGAGAGAGAGTGATTGAAAGAGGTGAAGGAGTGTGTGTGAGAGAGAACGAGCGAAAACCAAGAGTGAATGCGTGAGTGAGAAAGTGATGCCCCATAAATATCTTGCCAGATGTTGTGAAGTTCAATCTATGGGGATCACTCCCACCCCGGCTGTCTGAGCTGCCAATGGTGAACCGACCATCATGACTAATGGCGGAGCTCAGCGCGAGTGTATAAAGCACAGCAGGGCAGAGCGGTCCAGAGCAGCTGTGTATGAACCTTGCGAGCCTCTGCAGTTTTTCCTTGGCACGGACTGAGCTCTGCACACTGCAGTCAGCAGGGCACAAGGCAAAGAGACAGCCAGCAGGCCAGACACTGGGGAGGTAGCGAGAAAGGAATGAGCTGGACAACAATTCACGGACAGATCGATCGACTTGTTTTTGGAAAAGTACTGGGATCAGGTTTTGGTTTGTTGAGTAAACGCCGACACCATTTCCAGAGCCAGCTCCGGGCACACGTCCAGCAAAAACCTTAACGCTTCATAAGCATCTGCTCCCAAGCACTAATTCCACGCCATTTAAATAGTCTCAAATTCTGGCCCGTTCATCGTCAACACCTCCAGCCAGCTCACGAGAGGCCCAAACTTCCACTATAGCCTGAGGGATCATTTTGACTTCAAATTTAAGAGTCAGCAGATCAGCCAAAACAATCTTAAAGCCAGTCTTAGTTTGGAAGCCAGTTTTCCACAGGTTTTAAAACGAAGCGGTTTCTAAATTTAGATTGAATTGAAGCATGTCCACATTCCTGGACAACTTCAACTTTAGGACAGTAGTCTCGTGAGCTGAGACTGCGTGGAATTTCTGGCCTCCGTTGGGAGTCTCTGACCCAGTAAGCTGAGTGCTGGAATCCCCTCAGCCCAGCACGAAGTGTTACCGGCGAGTGGGATAGGTTGGTAGATGAGGCTCAGTCTAATGGAGGTCTAAAGTCCTGCTCCGACTGTGGACATCATTCATCTCCACCCCACCTCAAACCCAAATCACACTCCCAAGCTGGATTGACTGCTGATCCCAACTCCTCTCTCTGGTGAATAAAAGCCACAAATAGTCTCTGGATAAGACCTGCTTTATATGGGCTCTTGCCTTGACAGCACATCTCTTCCTGGCTGCTGCTATCGTAGAAAGAAAAAGGTTTGAATGTCACGCAGGAGAAGCATCTGACAGATTTAAACATTGCATTCTCTTGTTTTCTTCTGCAAACAGTTTCAGAACGAGCGCAGCCTCTGGTGACTGGCCTTCACCCTTCTCCAACCTTCAGCAGGAAAGTGTGCAGATACAGACACATCAGGGATGCAGCAGCACAACCCTAATGGGTGTGTTATGGAATTTGGTCATGGGGTAAGGAGAAGGAGCAGACAAGAGCACTCAGTGCAGGTTCACGCTAGTTCCTGCGGATTAATAGTTAAACACGTGAACTCAGTCTCTCTATAAATATTTTGGCGGATTCGAGCATTCCTCAGCAATAAAATCTCTGGGTTAGTCATTTGGCCACTCACTCGCTTCATGCCTGTTTGCGGAGTGTTTTCTTTGTGCAAATTGGCTGCTGGGTTCACTTACAAATACAGTCACAGCATTAAAAAAAATCTGTGAAGTGCTCTGAGACATCTCAATGGCATGGATTATTGTTATTATTAATAATAAAAACTGGATCTCTTCAGGTAGCTTGACCTGCCCCTCCATTTTCCTTACTGCCCACATTGTTCTGATCTTTGCAGCTGAGTGGGAAGAAGTACATCATGTGGATGTGGAACAGATAGGAGGGGAATCTATAACAACAGTCACAAATTCAGGCAGGAGTGGACCATCTGTTTGTTCATCAGACCGCCATCTTCTGAGCTGATATATTTAAGATGATGTCTGTTCTTCAGATGGATGTTAAACTATCCCATCACGCTATTTGGAAACGAGAAGGGAGTTTCCCCTTGTGCTCCAAAACAGAGCTCCATGCATTCCCCTACACATGAAAATTCCCTGAGACATTTATTGGAATGGAATATGCACTCTCTCCCGGGAGGGATGTATCCTGCTTAGCTAATTCTGGACGGGCCAAGGCTTGGGGACCCCAGAGTGTGCGTTGGGATACAGCTCAAGTCTAACCAGCTAAAAAACGCATGTTTGAGACATTTCAATGCAATAAAATTCTACAAAAACGTAAGTTTTTCTTCCTAGATTTTCTTTTTGAAAGTGTCTCTGGAAGAAGTGAAACCGCCTCTCCCGCCATCGCCCAGTATTGGGGTATTACCCCTGACCTGCTCTCCTAACAGCAGGTCAGAGGATTTGGAGGTGGGGGGGAAGTGAGGGAGAGAACACAAAATGAAATGTTTTATTGCAGGGCAGGTGTGGTGCAGATCGGCAAAGCTGCCATCTCTCTACTCAGCCCACATGGAAATGGGGACACCCAATAACAGTGAAATAGCTTCAAGCAATGGCCATGTGGGTGGAGAAGAAGTACAGGGGGGAAAGAGGGCATATCTTAACAACAACTTGCATTTATATAGCACCCCTCATGCAGGGTAGCATCCCAAAGCACTTGGGGACTGTAGGACATCCTACGACTGTAATTACATCTACTCTTAGCTTGTATGACCATTTTATCTTAAAATTTGTATTCCTGTGGAAATGTGAAAGGTTTCTCAAATTCAATCCTAATTAAGCGCTCCAAGACACTACCCTGGTGAAGAACGCTATATAAATGCAAGTTGTTGTTTTCATTTGGCAGCCAGTTTCTTTTTAAGAACTGCAGATAGATATCTTAACGGATCAGGACTGAGATTGAGCATTTCCCCCATTTTCACGGGATTTAAAATTTTAAGATAAAGGCAGCTCCTTATTCCCATTTCACCCTTCCCACCCATCACTATTGAGACACAGCTAATCTCTGGCGGTCAAGTGTAGTGTTTATTATTAAGCAAAATACAATCGGCGTACATGTTCAAACACCGGAAAGGCAAAGAGAAATGTGCGTTACCCAAAGGATTATACAGGCTATTCTGTCCAGTGGAAGTTCGGAGAGGTGCTGAGGTGCATGCAATCCAGCACAGAATTTGCTCCATACATTGCTAAGGTCAGTCTAATATCAGTCATGTGGAAACCAATTGACTTACAAGGTACAAAAGTGGTTATTCCCAGCATGACTGCATCCAAGCCATTGAAAATTCACCATGCGCTAGGCTCTCATCCAGCCGACCCCTTGAGCCAACCATTCAGGACTCAAAGCCACACCGCAGAAGGCTGCTTGAAGTCTATAATGGGCCCATTTTTAAAAAGACGGGTGCATCGACCCGCTTCAATAGCACAGATACACCAGGGTCAATTTGCGCTATTTCTTAACGGGATTTAGGCAATCTGAATCAGGGCTCTTTCTGGTGACCTGGTGTACATCACCTAGCTGGGGGGGAGGAATGGGGGGTGGCAAACAAACTCCAAAAATACAATGAGCTGGAACAACATTCCCGCGTCACTGATGTCTGGATTTTCTAAGAAAATTCCACAAAATATAACCCTGCCGTTAAATATGAGTGAGAAGCTGGTGACTACAAATTAACCGGGCACCTAGCAAGGGGTCAGGTTAACCTCCCAGAGACCGCCCCGCTGACATTCTCTAACAGATCCCCATGGCTTTTGCAGTATCTCCAGTTATATCATTGTAAACCAGCTTAAAAATATCTATGAGCAATTTGGTCCATTTCTCCCGTTCATCTCCAGTGGTGAACTTAGCTTTGTCAGCTACGTAAGCCATGCTTGCCACCAGTTTGGGGAAGATGTCTGTGTCCGGGATAAGTTGCGATTCCTGCTTGTTTCGCAGTGTTGTTAAAAATTGCCAAATTGTGGGATAGGGGTAATAGGTGTGCATCCCAAGTGACGGTAAAGGTAGCAAGTCGGAGTACGCAGCATTAGAATCTATGATATCTGTAAACGATTAAAGAGAAGAGTTTAGCCTCACTAACACTGACTGGTCTCCAAACAGATCTTAACACTGACTCACTCCCTTGTTAGCCCGCAGGGGTTCCTTGTGAAAGACAAATCGCAGGCAGCAGAGATGTCCTGATGCAAAGCTCATCCAGGCACAGTGCATACAACAGGTCTCAGTCGGCTTACTGGTAGCACTTCTGACTCCGAGTCAGAGGTTGTGGGTTCAAGCCCCACATTGGGTTTTGAACTCATATAATTCTGGCTGATGCTCCAATACAATTCTGGGGGGAGCATTGCATTGTCCGAGCTGCCAGCCTTCAGACGAGACGTTGAATCTGTCTGCCTCTTCAGGTGGCCGTTAAAGATGTCGCAACGCTATTCTTAAAGAGAAGGGAGTTTCTCCAAGTGTTCTGGCCAAGAATCCCCCAGATCATTCAGAAGCTCAGTTCCTAAACTCTGCCACTTGTGTCCTCACCCGGACCTGGTTCCGCACACCCATCATCTCAGTTCTTGCAGAACGGATCGATTTCAAGATCCTCACTTTCAAATCTCTTCACGCCCTGGCACCTCCCTACCTCTCCAATCTGTTCACACCCCACTCCTCTACCCTTGTTCAGCTGACACGGGCCTGCTGCACGTTCCTCGACCCCTCTGCTGCACAATTGGCTGCTGTGCTTTCAGCCACTATGTTCCCAATCTGCCTTGCCCCCTCTCTGCCATCTTCAAATCACACCTGAAGGCTTTTCTCTTCAACTGAGCTTTCGGTCACCTACCCCACTCCCTTTTGGCTCGGCATCAAGCCACACTGCTGTTAAGCGCTCCGAGGCACGGAAAGAGCGCTATATAAATGCAAGTTGCTGTTGTTAGGAACATAAGTAGGCCATTCAGCCTCTCGAGCAGGTTTTGTTATTGTATAGGATCATGGCTGATCTATTGCTGTATAAAATGGCTATTTGTGAGACATTACCATGCACCAATTGGCCCCTGCATTTGCCTGCAAAATACACTTTTTGGTAAATCTTGTGAAGCAGTTTGAGACATCTTCGTCATGTGAAAGGCACAGATTCAAATGCAAGGACTAATATTATTATATTCTCCCCTCACTTCAGTACAGTGCGTGGCTCAGCGTACGCAGTCTTTGAGGATTTGGGTCCTTTCTAAAATCGGCCTTAGACGTGTGGAGCATCAACAACAACAACATGTATTTATAAAGCACAGGGTAGTGTCTCAAACAAGTCAGTTTTAATAGTGCAAAGGCCAGGGGAAATTTCCACCCAGGCTAGACTCACAATATTTCTTTTAGTATTTCAGCGTGCAGAAAATTGGCCAACTCCTAAATTCAAACTTTGTGTGGAGATTTGAAAAGAGCCTGCAGAAAGCTAACTTAATTAATGACTGGATTTAAGAATTTTCCAAACTCTGCATGCTTCAAAATGCTGAGAAAACATTGACCCAGGTGGAATTTTTCCCCTTTAGGGCAGTTTCCTCTGTACAGAGCCTAACGCTCCCTTTACTGTCTGCATTTCCTCAACTCAGTAATAGACGTTTGCATAGTGGTAACACTGGTGTAACTCGTACACAGCTCGCATGAGGAACACACGATGAGATCATGTACCCACTGCCATCTTGTGCAACGTTCTAAGTGTATCGTATTGCCCGTTTCTCCCCTTCATGTGCACTAGCAGCTGATACAGCTCCAAGAAAACACAGACCTCAGTCCCCACAGCTTCTACTGCCTCCATTTTACATGGGTAAATTACCCCAGTATTGAATGAATTCTTGCTTGAGGAATACTTGAACATAGAAAAGTTCAGTTTCCCAGTGCCACTGGGGTTTAACTTGTGAGATTTGCAAAAGGATTTGTACCTAACATATCAGGGCAGACTCTTTGAGTCGTCAACTTCATGCAAGCCGGAGCTCAGATGGGCATCGGAGCAAAGCTCTATAGGTTGTGTACACCACATCTGGAGTTCCCTATTTATTAATACGGGATCCTTTTACAACAGCACATCCGCAGCAAAGTAAAGCTATGCTGTCCCACGACAGACTGAGTTCAGCTCACATTCTCTATTAATGGGTAAACAATCCAACCTTGGTGAATTCACAAATGATAGGAGAAACTGGCATTGAAGGATTAAAATATGCACAGCCATTAGAAGCCAGGCATCCCTGTGGTAACTTTTCTGATGTCTCTTGCTCAAGACCCACAAAGCCTCTCGTGATTCAGACTCCTTCATGCATACAGAGGTGCAATCACCTGATTGTGTCTGTTCGGTACACACACACTCTATTCTGGTCTCCCAGCTGCATCATTTGAAAGGCAGCAACACTCTGTGGCTTGCAGGGAACTCCTGGGGTGTTGTCGGTGCTGCCCCACCTGCACATGGCCTTCATCCCCATGGCAATCCAGGAGATTAAAGCCAATGGATTTCCAGGGAAATTGGTCCACCTCAGCTATCTCCAGATGGAGTAGTGGATTTATATCGTCCACTACCATTTCTGTCACACGCTGAGAATATCCATCCATTATATTCTCGTCTCAGTTCGGCCGGGAGTATCAACACATCTGTGATGTTCACTGTAAAGGGTATATCAGCCACATCTCTGTTGGTCCCTAGGTTGTATATTCTTTTATTGAATCCACTTTACTGGTGTTCCAAGGATATATGTGCTTTCACTCCAAGAGATTTATATATCCATCAACTCCAAGTTCTGGTGATTCAAGAAGGTACCTCAGCCCATGTACCTCATTCCCTTTATTCTGTGAGTATATCTGTCCATTTTTCTATCTCTTTTAGATCAAGGAGGTGTCAATCCCCCAGTGGACTAAGAGGGTTTGCCTGTCTATGGTACCTTTCCCTCTTGGCTGAGGGGGAATAAGCAGGAAGAAGGATTCTGATATGAATTGCACATCATCATCATCATCATCCAGAATCTGTATCACAAATGAACGCAACTGCTCACCACTGGTTCCAACCGGCTGTCCAATCTTGCAGGTTTTCCTTAGGATGGGGATTCTCTAAGAGTTGACAGCTCTTCCTGGCTCAGTAGCTTGACTGACCCTCAATTATTTCTCATCATACCATGCTGGTATCTTAAATGTTCCTGAGCTGGAGAAAGGTTCTTGGGTAGACCTTGGAAGCTTAATACATAATGTCCCATGTGCTCCCCTCACGTTCAATGTGTTTCCTAATGTTACAAAGCGATGTAGTCACACAAACCCTGGCTTTCCAATATCATTGTAGCATTGAAGCAACTGAAGACAGCTTGGGAGCAGATTATCTCATATACAAGTGCTATTGATATCACATGAAGAGGGGATTTGGCAATAGAGAGGTGGGGGCTTCCAAAGTAATGTACTCGCCAGCACAGACACAATAGAGAAAGCGCAGAGGAAAGGAACTAAATAGAGAGCTCCAGTGATGGAGTGAGCAGCAGTACAGACACAAGAGGTCTGAGTGGCCTGTCTTTAAGTACGCTTATGATTCTATGGTATAAAACAAGATTTTCAGAGCTTCCTTGTGCTGAATGATGTGCACAAAGCTCAGAGGACGTGTTTACTTGGCCCCTGGATCATCGTAATGAGGGTATAAGCCCCCTTAACCTTGTCTGCCTTCTGTCCCACGCAGTGGATTCTAGTTTGTAGACAACCATTTCTGATGGACTAAAGTTTACAGTCAAGTAACCGGTGGGTAATGGATTATGAAATGGATTATTATGGGTTTCATAACTGGGTAATGGGTTATGAAAAATGTTCTGATGTGGGACTTAAGCTCCAGAGGCCAACACTGTTTGTACACCTCACCCCCCACACCACCACCGAATTCTAGATAGTACCAATTGCTTGCTCAATTGATACTCAATAGAATATCCTTCCTGTTCACTTCTGCTCCAAGCGAAATCCGAATACAGGAGGGAAAAAGTTCCAGAGGAGTCAGAAAATTGGGGAGCTTCATTCCCCATTCCCACTGCCCCACACCAACCCCACCCCCGCCCCCAAGGAAAGGAACAAATGCCCTGTGATTATAGTGTTCAGTCCCCTTTAAGAATTGACACCACAACACCACAGTTGTGACTGACTATGTACAATTTGCTTTCTTCCAAAACAGTCTCAGGGAGCACTGCACTATCGTGAGGCCCTTAGTTGTTCACAGGCAATACCATAGAAAGACATTAACATACAACCCAGCAATTAACCAGACACAGCTGATGCTCTTGTCCTTACTTCGGGAACGGAGCGGTAGAGTAGAGGGCTTAGGAGGGGTGAGAGCTTGTGTGGAGTATAAACAATGCCATGGACTAGTTGGGCCTATTTCTGTGCTGTATCCCTCCATGCAACCGAGCATTATTTCTAATACTCAATGTTTCACAACTAGCAAAACTCTTATGAGCGGCTTTACTTTTAATAACATCCGAGTTTTACAGAGGAAAACCGACTCTTTAAGGGACAAGTATTAAATCGAACTGTGGTGTTCAAAACCTACCTGTTTTACAGGGAAGATCTGGGCAGACAATCTTGGGGTCTGCAAGCAAAGGAGATGAGATATTATACAAAGTACCATTTCTGACAGCAAGAGTTTGGTGTTTAAAATGCGGACTGTGAGCTCACAGGGTTCCAGGGCACAAGGGTTCCCTGAATGATGGAGAAAAGATTACACTCGTTTCTGAGGGACATTTCATTAATTACTTATTTAAAGGTACCTCGAACAATAGTCTATTAGCACAAGTCGCATTGTAGAGCCCGATTTGTATTTTTAAAGTCTTGCTCGTTCCCACCCCCTAATTGATGGCCATTCCAGGTTTTCTGTGCGCTTTGCACATTTTCCTCACTGAGAGCCCTGGCAGAAGTGTCCTCTGACCCAAGAATAAGGATGGCAGGAATAAAACATTGCCAAACATCTTGCTTCATAATGGAACACATGTTTGCCCCCCTGACAACAGAGGGACCTTGCCTGTGACCCCAGGAGTATCTACCGTTATGCCGAGCAATACCGTTTGATTGATTGCCTACCTGGACACAGTAGCTCCTCCATCTTATCAATGAACTCCTCAGCCACCAGGTCCGCAAACAGCCTCATCTTCTGGACCCGGTCGACCTGGTGACAGGTGATGGAACGGAGCGTTTCGTCGTCCTCGGCCCGGGCAAACATGTCTCCGATGCCAATGGCATTGACGACGATTCCACGCCCACACAGGGAGGAGAGCAGTGCGTCGTTGTCCCGCGGGTCATGGCGTCCGTCTGTGATCACCACAGCGAAGACCTTGGCTTTGTCACGTTGGTTAGCCTTGATCAGATTGTCGTAGGCAAACTTCAGGGCGGAGGGCGTCCAGGTGCCGCCTGCGATCCACTCCAGCCGCTTCACCGCTTCCTTGAATGCGGAGAGCGAGTTGATCCTGGAGTCGTTGAGGTGCACGGCTTGGAACGTGCCGTTGTGGCTGTACTGAACCACGCCAACACGAGCTCCTGCAATTTAACATCCACACCCACCCAACACCCCCACAGGGGAAAAGCCAAGGTCAGACAAAGTCACTGGCAAAAGCAAATACCGAAGAGATGTTACACCCAACAGTAGGCAGCACCAGCCCAGAGACGTTGTCAGTAGGCTGTGCATGTGTATGTGTGTGTGTGTGTGTGTGTGTGGTGGCAGGGTGGAGTGGTGGTTATGGGTGGCAGTGGGTGTGAGGGGGGGGGCTATGTGCCACACACAGGGCTGACACACTGCTCAAAGCTTGAAAAGTGAGAGAGACGCACTATGAAGGGCACCAAAGGGATGAATTGGGTGGGGTTGCTGCCCCTCAGGGTTCGACCACCTGCCATTCATTGGTGCCATACATAGGGCAGGAGTGCACCACAATAACTAAGTGTGTCTTTCATAGGCATGTGTGACGTCCCGAGCTGCATGCCCAGTACTGCATTGGCACTTACTTTACCCACCAGATCATCAGAGTAGCTGACACATGGTTTACAAATGTGAAAGACATAACTCCTTCACTAAACAATAGTGAACAAGTGACAAAACCTAGAAAAGTGGATAAATAGCCTTACATTTTAAAGGGCAAGATAAAAGGTGTAAAACTGGGTGGAATATCAAGGCTAAAGTGTGTACTAATAATAAAACTATAGTACAGAAGAGCTCGATGCCTTTAATGAGCTGAATCAGAGGTTTGTCCCATGGTGGGTCTTAGGACTCCTCATAAATAGCGGTGAGTGGGTCTAATTCACTGGCTAATTCACTGACCTGTTGGAGATTTGGGGTCCTTTGCTAAGCTGCCAAGTCGACTGACTGTGTTGATGACAAAGTTCTTCTCCAGAGTGAAGTTGGTCAGTCCGATACTCTCCGAGCTGTCAATCACAAAGACAATGTCCAGGGGCCCACATTTCTTCTCACAATCTGAAATAAATGGGGAGGCGGAAAAGGAATGATTAATATTAATGGCAATAATTAATATCATTCATATAATTAATCATCTTTGGATTTGATATAGCAGTTTGGGTATTCTGGACGGATGAGATCAGATGGTCTGAAGGGCCTCTGCATCTGAACCAATCTTGTGAACCTATGGGTAACTTAGTCTCTAAACAAAGCCTCCCTTCCAACCATGTTTAAAATATTCAAAAACAACTGCAACAATTTACATTCACAAAGCACCTTTCACATGAAAGAAAGACCTTGAAGACCTTTGAGACTATTTAACAGTGAAGTGAATGCTACGGAGACGACACAGCCAACAATCTGAGCCTGCCAGTACCACAAACAACAACAAGCTGAGCATATAATTAACATTGGCTTTGTGGGAACATTTGATGAGGAGGCCAATGTAACAAGGGATTCCGATTTTAAATGGTAAGAAAAATTGGGCAATAATTGGGAATAAATTCCTGCCATCAAACATACTTTTTAAAAATTTCTTCGAACTACAAAATGGTTGACTTCTGAGTCACAAGGCCACCATGAACATCACTTCCTGTGTGCTGCAAATGTGCTGGTCGCTGTGTGTGGAAAGTGATGTTGGCAATGACCTCGCCACCCAGAGGGCGGATATTTTTATAGTCAGGGATTATTATCAATATTATCTGTCAACGTGCCAAAAAGCAGCAACTCTAAATATAAAGCAGGATACCCAGGAGGAAGTTGGGCACTCACCACAGCATCCACAGGTCTCCCTGACGTAATTCATCACATCACAGTCCTAGAAGATGAGTTAAACAAATGTTGGGTCAGGATCATTGGACTGGATGGCCAGGAGAGCACAGAATGTCCACTAAGGCTCAGCTCAACATAAAGGTCAAGAATGGCTCAGTTGTTTGTTTGATCAGCAGGACGTCTGACACATATGAGAAGCCGTAAACATGTTTAATTGATCTGCAAACCAGACTACTGGGAACAACAGAACAGTAAGAATAAATTAACTAATAAATAAATATTTGCCTTTGATACAGGGACTTTCACATCTGGAAGATGCCTCAAAGCGCTTCACAGGATTTACTGCAAAGGGTACTAATTATGCATTATTGTACTGCCAACTGGTGGGAACCATCGCTCAATGGGAAGAGACGTGTCTGAGCTGCGGACAGGAAGATGGTGGCAATGCTTTCATGCATTTCATGCTGAGCTGTGCTGCCCACCAGGAAGCTCGCAGGAAGACGTGAGAGGTCAAATGGCCAACTAATGACTATCCTCCTTGGGGGAACGGTGATGGTGTGGGGGGGGGGGGGGGGGGGGGCGCGGAGGTAAGCAGGATCTCCTTGGAGCTGCACTGGCTCCAAAGTGACAGTTTTAGCAAGGGAACATCAGAATCAAACCAACCCTCTGTGGCGGTTTCCAGTTCCCAAGCCAGGCAGGCTGCAATACTCCAGGGTACTGCTGTTGACAGCACAGCCAGTCTGGCTCATAGACAGGACTTGGAAGGGTAGACTAGTTACTGGGGCAGGGACTTTTCCCACTCAGCTCCCATTAAACCTGCAAACCAAAGCCCTGATGAGTAGGGTAGTCCGAGGTGGACAAGCAGCAAGATATATTATAGCAGGTGAAGAATCCAGCGAATTTCCATATGGCAATGTCCCACAAACAGCCATAAAGTGAGTGACCAATTTTATCTGGGGGATTGTTGGCCAGCATACCAGGAAAAACTCCCTTCCATTTTTAAATAGTCCCATGGGAGCTTTAATGTCCACCTGAGTAGGCAGATGGGACCTCGGTTTAACGTCTCATCTGAAGGACAGCACTTTCTAAATGCAACGCTCCTGCAGGATTGCACTGAAGAGTTAGCCTAGACTGTATGACCTCAAAGCCCTGACGTGGGGCTAGAACCTACAACCTTCTGACTCAGAAGCGAGAGTCCTACCAAGTGACCCAGGCTAACAACTAACATACTGTCGGCCGGAGTACTTACGGTCAGCCCTGGATCGCCCTCAGGCCCATGAGGTCCCTGGAACACAAGCAGAAAGGATATAAGTTGATGCAACCATTCACCGTGCATATTACAGAGGGATATGGCCAGTCTCCTCCAGTGAGGTACAGTCTACAGCAGGTCAGTCTTCCTTTGTGAACTCAGACAGTGAGTGAGTGAACACTGTCAGCACGTGACTAGGGAGAAACAGTCTGGTCCAATCCTGACCTTACACAATATCCACCCCCCCACCCCTATACATATACACACCAGTTCCGTGGGTAACACACCTGAAAGATATTACGCATAAATAGATGCATGAAATGGGTGTTTGGGAGTCTGTAACAAGGCACAGTATAAGATTGTGCCTAGGGGTATCTGAGAGACAATTTAGCAGGAACTCCTTCACATAGAGGGTGGTGAGAGTGTGAAACTCTCTGGCCGAAGCAACAACAACAACAACAAGATTCCATTTATTGAGCGCCTTTCACGTCGCGAGGACGTCCTAAGGCGCTGTACAGTTGGGTCAGGACCCGAGCAAGGGGGAAATGGTCAGGGTGAGGGGAGGGAAGGGAGGGAGGGAGCGAGGAGGGGGTAGAGAGTCGAGAGGGGAGCTGAAGGCACGGTCAAAGAGAAAGGTCTTGAGACCGGCCTTGAAGGAGGAAAGGGAGGAGGCAGCGAAGGCACTGGGGGATAGAGTTCCAGAGCCTCGGGGCTGAGAGGCTGAAGGCCCGGCCACCGATAGTAGGGCGGTTGGGGCGGGGGATGTGGAGCAGACCGGAGCCAGAGGAACGGAGGGTACGGGCGGGTAGGTAGGTAGAAGCAGTGGTTGAAGCAGATAGTACAGATGTATTTAAGAGGAAGTTGTATACAAACTTGAAGGAACGGAGAATAGAAGGGTAACAGGGAATTGGTTGGGCCGATGTGAATCTCCAGACAACCTCGACCCTGGCTTAATTCGTCACTCTCACGAAAGTCATCATGTCATCAATATCATCAATAAACTATTAATGTGGCATCGCTTTACTCGTCACTGCCCTGTCGATAACTCATTGCATTTTTGGACATTTTTGTAAATATTTCAATATAAAATTGATTATTGTGGCAAGGAATCAGAAGGGAAGATCTCGGTGCTCATGTTAGCATCACTGCATTGCAGAGGCTTCTGGTCTATTGGAGGGTTGGGCAGTAGCCGCCCACCCTCTCCTGTGACTGTGTCCGTGCCTTGGGACGTCTTTCCGACGTGAAGGGCGCTGTGCAAGTGTAATTTGTTGTTGTTGTTGGTGCGGGTCCGCTGTGGAGGTGCACATGCTCAGAGTGGGGGGGTTGGGGGGGGGGCAGGGGGTGGGTGTCGTTGGCAATTAGCCGAGGTCATAAGGGAATGAGTGGAGGCAAATCCAAAGTGTTGAAGAGTGACATGGCCTGGGAGGATAAGGTGAGGACCAACGGCTAGCTCAACAACAACAACTTGCATTTATATAGTCTCATCACATCAGACAATTCCTCACTGGATCCTTTTCCCTTGGAGTGACGAGTTATCCCGAGTTCACTGTGTGCATGTTTGGAACATGCTATCTCAGTCTTTCTAAGAGCTGCAGACATTGTATGGTTAATACCAGTGACAAAAAGCAACACATGCTGGTAAGTGGAGCCTTTAAACATTGTATAAGAAAGTGGGTCTCACCACAGGGCCTGGGGCTCCTTCAGACCCTCGAGGTCCTGGCTCACCCAGTGGTCCGGGATCACCCTAACCAGATACACAAAGGAAACAAATTGCATTAATGCCTTTTTTTAGGCCACCCATTCACTCACTCACTTATTGTCTTTCTGACCCTTCCGCTCTTCCCTGTTCCCTTTGCCAGCAGCTCAGCTTCACCCGATAATGAGCAAAGGAATTTCTCTCCCCGCCCATTTTCACAATTCCCTCCCCCCCCCCCACCATGCACACAACTGTCCCCCACTCACCCACTGGGTACACTTGCACACAGTAACCCAGTGTATACTTAGAGGATGGCTCTGCTCAGTAGAATTGCTAAAGTTAACAGTGGAGTCTAATTTGCAGTTTTCTGTGCAGAATTTCTTAATCCGTGACTTGAGCCCAGCTCAGTCCTATATCAAAGCCTGTGTCAGAGGTGTCCTTCAGGGCTCCCCAACTTGAAGTTTTTTCCCCACCATTTCCCTTGTGATGAACCAAATGGATCCAGAGCGATGTCATATATCCTGCAGCAGAACTCAAAATCCCACCTGGGAAACGGGAACACTTACCGGACTGCCCTTCACTCCTTTGGTGCCCTGTTCTCCCTTTGGACCCGCGTCTCCTTTGGGACCCTGAACAAGAAGAGTGGAGATCTTAGATTTCATTCTTTTTTTCTCTTTCTCTCTCACTTCTATTTCCAGCCAGATCAGCCCCAAGGAAACACTGTTTTACTCCCTGCCCCACCACTGGGAGGATATCACACCCACTGCAATCTTTACTGTAATCACAGTAGTTTCTGTGGCAACAACAGAAACTTGCATTTGCAATGTCCTTCACGTACGATGTCAGAGTTTCGCAGTGGTGGGGTCGGATGCTAATGTAGGACGACGGGGAGGAGGCAGGTGACCATAGGTGCGGTCGAAGAGGTAGGTTTTAAGGTGCTGTTTGAAGACAGATAGAAATGGGACGAGGTGGAGGGATAAAGGCATGGACAGACGCTCTGGGTACCCGAGTTGTTTTCACTGATCCAGTGTGTTCCATGTGCACATTACCTGCCCCACTGCATCCAAACAAACCAATCGCACTCACCACGTAACCTAAGCGACCCGGGTCTCCCCTATCGCCCTGAAAAGTGAAGAATTGAGAAGATTTAGCCCAAGAGGTCCCTCCTTCGCACTCGGAATAGTCTTGACATGGTCTAGGAATCCTGGAACAATTCCCACATTCCAGGGAGGAGTCTGCAGAACACGAAAATATGGTGCCACAGGTACATAGAAAAACGTGATGGTTGGGCCAGGGGAAAGGCAGGAGAATGGGATGGGATCAAACGGAAAGTTATTTCAGCATTGAGTCAGCGCAGGCATAATGTCCCGCTTCTGTGTTGTACCTTTCAACACTTCTAGGGTTCAGACTCAATGGACGTTGGGAAACACTCCCAGCACCCAGCTCCTCAGGCAAAGTAAACCCGGAACACTAGGTCTGAATGCATCGAGTCAACAGAACAAGAGGTCACAGGCTTAGAGTTGCAAAGGGCAACTTCAGGACAGATATCAGGCAGTATATCTTCTTCACCCAGAGGTTAATTAATAATTGGAAGGTTCCTAGGAAGAGTAGTTGAGGCCAGGAAACTGGACTCATTCTAAAAAAATCAGGTTGGTGCTGTGATGGGAGGATAGTAGGGTGGGTGTTTGGGAAGGATGAGGTCAGATGGGCCAAAGTACCCTCTTTATCTCTGGTAAAATAGAGAAATGTACCTGCTCTCCACGGGGACCTGGGAAACTAAATCCTTGTCTTCCTTTGTCACCCTAGAGGGAGCAACCAAATAACAGTGGAGTTATCCTCAGCAACAGCACACACATGCACACACATTAAACTCACTTCACAATATGAACTGAGAGGTTAGTCATCACTGTATGAGGGGAGGTCAGTCATCATTGTACAAGCTGAAGGGAGTGTAGACATCACTGCATCAATGTGGTGACATGCACTGGATCACACTGAGGGCCTGAGGTTGCTGCTGCTGCTGCTGTGATGGTGGTCCCGGCAGGGTGTACATTGTTGCGCTAGAATGCTCACCTTTGGGCCCAGCAGTCCTTGCTCGCCTCTGGATCCAATCTCACCACGGTCTCCACGCGATCCCTGACAAAGATCAAAGGCACCATTTTAGACATGCTGTCAAGCCCACTTTATGGGATCTGCGAGAGTGCCTGAGAGGAACAAGCTCTACTGGAGTCCACTGCAGGAGCGATTCGCTGACCAGCACCAAGTTTATTGAACTTAGCCCTGAAATTCCACTTAGTCTTAGTCTGTGAGGCTATTTGCTCCCAAGTAGAATCATATGGAAAATCCTTAACTTGGAAGCTGTTTCCCCCTGTTTCTAATAGGATATTAAGGCTGAATTGAAGAATTTTCAATAATTTTGTACAGTATTAAATAGGTCTCCCGGGCTAAGACTGGGTGGAATTTCAGACCTCTAAGACTAGAGACGGGAAGTTTGACAAAGAAATTCACAATCACCCATTGGGTTCTGGTTGTGACAGTGGTCTGTATAGGACGATAGACAAACATACCAGAAACATAGCAGTTGCATTATTACAGGCAACTTCTCTATCTGGGCATCAGGCCATTGGTAGCTATACCCAAGTGGGAAACTTCCCTATTCTAAGCTACATTTAGTGGACAAGAGTAATCTCTTGTTCGTACAACAGAAAGATGCAACCCTCCTGTCACTGCGATCTGCAACCTCTCCCCTTTTGCATTGCCTTAACCTTCCTCGTTCTATTTCTTCCCCCCCACCTTTCTTCCCTCACCATATAACAAGTCCACTCACACAGTGCTACATACACACCACATGGAAATCGCTGGGATGAGAAATTCCACCTGGGCCTAGCCTGGTTCTATTTATGCATCAATTCAGACCATCCAGAATTTGACAAGTTGCTGAATCCAGTTTAGCTTTGAAGCTTCTCACTGTTCTTAAAAGAATTTACAGAAAAGCAGCTTCAAAATATGACCATATTCAAGAATTTACGGATGCTCTGAAATCCTACATTAATAATAATAATAAAACTAAAAATCCTCACATTTGGTACAGCATCTTATCATATCGTCGCAATATCTCGTTTCAGTTTTTTTTACTGTAAAGCATAATGACTGTGTATTTTGTAGGTGAATGTGGCAGCCAATTTTAAGAGTAAATAAAACCCACTGCCACTGCAATCCAGCTTTGTGGGTAGTTCATTGATACTGAGATAGACTGGATGCTGCGTCTGTTTACTCGCTGGGCTCAAAGACCTTTATAGAATAAAAGAGTTACAACAATATACTTACATTCTTTCCTGGTACACCAACTGTGCCAGGGGCTCCCCTCGGTCCTGGGAGTCCCGCATCTCCCTGCGGACAAAGGGAACAACAGAAAGAGTGAGTGCCGATCTTTTTTTGGGAGTCAGCTGAGTGTCCGACAGTCTGGCTCTCAATGGCAAGCTATGCTTAAGCTAAGCTGCTCATTAGGGCTTTGACTTGCAAGGTTAACAGGAGCCAAATGGGAAGAATCCCTGTTCCCGATAACTGGTCTGCCGATGAGCCAAGTGTCTTGTGGAGAAAAACTCTATTGCAGGTTTAATGGGCTGAGTGGCCTGGTTCTGGGCTGTAACATTCTGTCAGACACAGTCCAGCAATCAATTAACTACCACTGACTTCATGCTTTTGATATCACAAGTGGTGCATTACCTTCTCGCCTCCGATTCCACCTTCGCCTGCGAATCCACGGGGACCTTCAACTCCAGCTTCACCCTAAAGGAACAGGAAGTCAATTTAACCAGTTAAACTTCGAAAAGTCTGAACGTTCAGTTTAATAATAATAATAATCCTAGCATTTCATACTGCACCTTGTCACGTTGTTGCAGCATCTCAAAGTGATTACATGGGATTTACTGTAACATGTAGTAACTGTATTTCATAGGCAAATGCGGAAGCCAATTTGCGCTGAGCAATAACCCACAAACAGCCATAAACTGAATGACAAGTTCTATTTTTGGGAAGATTGTTGGCCAGGACACTGAGAGAAACTGCCTTCTCTTTTGAATAGTACCACAGGATCTTATTAAGCTTTACAGCAAATTGCACTTAAATAGTGCCTTTCACATTGAAGAACATCTCAAAGCACTGACAGAGATGGAAGTGTAAGCCATGGCTGGGTGGAAGATAAATGGGGTAGATGGGAAAATAGAATAAATCTAAACCCAGGCTCAATTTTTGTCCCTGTATCCCTTTTATAACTTGTATTTAAATAACCCAAATACAGGGCAATGTCCTTGGAATTTGTGGCTATTCTTTCGATTGAGATTCCTTAGGACATCTCATTGTGCATTGGAAAGTTTTTACGCATTAACACTTACCTTTTCTCCCACATTTCCTTCCGGTCCGGGGGCACCTTTGACTCCTGTGTCACCTCTACGACCCTAATGTGAAGGTTTTAAGAGATTTTAAAGTGATTGGATTATAATAAATCTTACGTTTGATATAACGTCTTTCATGTCAGGTGGTCATCTCAAAGCGCTACACAGGATATATTATATAGATATACACATACAGACTATGTGAAGTGCAGTGACTATGTATTTTGTAAAGGAACATGGCAGCCAATTTGTGTAGTAAGCTACAGGAATTTGGGGGAAAGGGCAGGTAAATGGAACCGAAAGAATTACTGTTAGAAGAGCCAGCACAGGCAGGAGAGCTGAATGGCCTTCTTCTGTGCTGTAAATTTCTATAGTTTTATGCTTTTAAACAATTATGGAGTGAGTGACCAATTTTATTCAGGGGATTTTCAGTCAGGAAATCAGGAGAAACTCCTGACTCTTTTAGAAATAGTGTTGCAAGATCTTTAACATCCGCCTGAACAGGCAGACAGGACCTCGGTTTAATGTGTCATCTGAAGGAAGTTACCTCCGACAATGCTGTGCTCCCTCAGCACTGCACTTCCCCATCAGTTTGGCAAGGCGTCAATTGAAAAAAAACAATTGAAATGCAAATATTCAGAAATTGAAGGAGGCACTAATTAATGTGTTAGTACCATTTATTGGGCTAAATGGCAATACTTCAGTGATTGGGGAGAAAGAACATGACTAAAAAAGCAATTTCATAGATCATAGAATTTAATTAAATATAATCTCTGATATTCCACCTGGGAATAAAGGGGAAAATACTTATGGGCTACTTATTAAAATATATACAATGTGAACTGGAATTGGCTTGATTTTCCATGTAACCAAAGTGGATGAGAAGCAGTTTGGTTCTTAAGAGATCCTACATAATGTGAATTTGGCCCAATGATCTCCTATGTAATGAGAGTAAACAAGAAGGAGATTGGATCATTCAATAAAAATAAGAATTCTTGCATTTGATATAGTACCTTATCATGTCGTCGAAACATCCCAAAGTGATTCACAGGATCTACTTTAACTTTTACAGTGACTGTGAATTTGCCAGCCGTATTCTATACAGTGGCAATGAGATTCTGATGTTGGTTGGTCTACAATTACTTGTACCTTATGTACTACAATCAGGTAGCTATTCAGAATCACATTTCTTGGGCGGGATTCCAAAATGTTACCCATTGTGGTGGTCTGCACTTAGTAGGGGTAAATTTGTGAAATTTCCTAACAGATCTGATGGGATGACATCCATTCAGTTACAAAATGTTACAAGTTTATCCCTGGAATGGGATTTTAATGTTATAAAACACCTTGGATGGGTGGATAATCTCCTCCCCTCGCTTTACTGTCCCAGAAAGTCTGTTGACAGAGTAGAGACTTACTGGATGAAACATCTGAAGGGAGATAATGTGGATTTATTGTCATGGGCTGCGAGCTGCCTGAAAATGTAGGAAATGCGTTGATTATCTGGGTGGCAGATGTTTATCATGAGCAGACTTGTGACTATACAGAACGGAGGCCTCGTCCGATGTACACTCTGCGCCAAGCTTTAAAAAGTTTAAGCCATTTCATGGCCTGATTGAAACAGATCTCGGTGTGAGTGTGTGCAAGCTAGACTCTCTTCCATGCTGGTTTTTGTGTGCGCATGAGTGGGTTGGTGCTTTTGCTGAACACAAGAATAGGTAAAGAGGGATGTGTGAAATTATAATAATCCTTGCCTTGAGATTGCCTTTGTACCATCTCAAAGAGCTTCACAAGATTTGTAGGCAAAAGTGCAGCAATTTTTTAGGCAAACTCAAAATAATGTCCTACAAACAGCCATGAAGTGAATGGCCAATTTTCACCGGTGGATTGTTGATCAGGACACAGGGTAATCTCCCTTCTCTTTTCAAATAGTGCCACGGAATGTTTAATGTTCACCTCAACAGGCCAACGGGACCTTGGTTTAACTTCTCACCTGAAGTACGGCACTTCCAACAGTGGCAGCACACCCCCAGCACTGCACTGGAACATCAGTCAGGACTATGAGCTCAAAGTCCCATTGTGGGGCTTGAATCCACAACCTTCTGGCTCAAGAGCGAAAGTGCTACCAACTGAGCCAGGCTGACACACAATGTTTGATCTTTTGTAAGAACACGAGTAATCTTGCTCTTGTTCTACATGATGCAATCTGCAGGTCTATGGCTTTATGCTCATGTCTACTTCTGAAATCCTACCGTCTTCAAAGAACAAAAGACTTACCACATCTCCAGCTGGGCCAGGGGATCCTGGAGTGCCCTGTGGAGAAAAGCAAATACAATAAACGCCAGGCACTGGTCAATACGAATCCACTGCTCAAGGGATTATAATGTGCATCTACAAAACAAAAACATTTTACATACTGACACTCAGTTACACTGACAGACAGTCATGTGAAGTGATAATAATAATCTTTTCATTTGGTATAGAGGCATTCACATTGGCAAGTCAGTTCAAGACAATTCACAGGATCTATAAAGTCCGGTGACTAGATATTTGGAGGTGAATGCAGCAGCTAATTTTGTTTCTGCGACAACAGCATGTCCTCAACAACCATGAAGTGAATGACCAATTTTATCTGTTGGCCAGGGGCGCTGGTAATAAAGTTCTCTCTTTACAACCCAACACATCATAGCCTGCATTCTCCAGCATCTTGGCCATTTCCCAAAACGTGTTTATTTTCAGTTATTAAAATTGAGATTGTGCTTCCCTTTGGGAATTAGCAAAGATCAAAAGATCTAGATTGTGGAGAGGAATAGTTCTCATTTTCTGCAAGTGCTTTTGCAGATGATCCTTTCCACAACAACTTGCATTCCTCCAGCATTCTTCACACAGGGTAGCATCTCAGAATGCTAAGATAGATGTTAGGCACCGTAGCACATGTTCCTCCACCAGAGGTGTATAAAATATTGAATAGGATTGAAAAAGTAAACCTAGATCAATAGTTTAGGATGTATCGTGACAATAGAACAAGAGGACACAGGTTTAGAGGTGTAAGGGCAATTTCAGGATAGATATCAAGAAGGATTTTATTTACGCAGAGGATAATCAATGATTGGAACAGGTTGCCAGGAAAGGTGGTAGAAGCCAGGTCACGAGATTCATTTAAGAAGCAACTTGATACAGTGATGCGGAGGATGGTAGGATGGGTGTTCTGAACGGCCTCCTTCATCCAGACCAAACTTGTGATCTTGTGAGTCCAGGCCCTAAGGTTAAACCTCTGCTGTTTTAAGGCCTGACCCACTCTCTACCCTCACCCCCTCAGTCTTAAACTGTAAGACCATTTGAATCTTAAAATTTAAGATTACGCAGAGTTGTGCAAAATTCTTAAATTTCAGTTGTGATTTGGAAGGACAGTCATTGAAAAGAAGCAGTGTCCAGACTGAGGCCAAAACGAAGATATTTTCCCATTTTTTGCGTGATCTTAAAATTTAACTGATAAATTGGTCTTACAGGTTAAGGCTGGGTGGAATTCAAACATACATAGCTCAGAATTCAGAGAGCTCTTCAGTGCTTTTCTTCAGAATGTATATCATTACCTTTCGCCCCTTCTGTCCCATTGGGCCTGAACGTCCTTGGTTTCCCCTAGGTCCCTGAGGAAAGACAAGAGGAACAATCAGACCAATGGGCAGCAATGTGATAAAATTATCTGCACATTCTTCCTTATTTTTGTCAGTCAGCCAAGTGTCTGATAAACACAACAAACCATCACCCTGCTTGAGAGTAGCCAAACTAGACTGATAGTTCCACATACGCACATGGAAATTTTTCCATTTCTCTCTCTGAGGGACACACCCTGCTTAACTAATCTTGGAGAGTATTAGAAGCAAGTTGGCAAGAACCAAAGCTTGAAACCCCAAAATGTGAGTTGGGGTAACTGCTGGAGTTTAACCAGCTAAAACCGTGTAGCTTGCCATTGGGAACACTGTCTGGCAAGCGGTCTGCTGCTTGTCCAGTGAGGACCACCCTACCTGTTAGGGCTTAGGTTTACAGGGTTAACAGGAGCCAAGAGGGACAAATCCCTGCCCTGGTTTAGACTAGATCTGCCAAATCAATACTAAATGTTGTGAGAAATTAGATTTTACTTTACCCAAGCTTTTAATGAATAACATATAGTAGCCCCTGTACAACTGCACTAATGAATATGAAATTGGGACTACACTGTTTGAACGTGGGGGAGGATTGCCCTGTGCTCTGGGGAATTTAAACTCCACCAAATCACACCCAGTTTTTAACTAAGCATCTCTCCTCTTGTCAAACCAGCCATTGAAATAGTGACCAGCTCGCGCCGCTGGTTAATTGTATCAGTTACCTTTCCGCCTTTGTCTCCAGGATTTCCGGGAGGTCCACTTCTCCCTGACCGTCCCTCGTCGCCCTGAAAGAGAACGCAGCAGTGCTCAATACTGCGCCCGCCCTGTAACCTTGACTTACTGCTGCTGTGACCGGACAGGGCACAGGTCTTGCTGTGGTCTCTCTGAACACACTGTTAATGGGGTTCCCGTTTAGCAGACCACTTTACTGCCCAGTCTGTACAGAGTCTCTGTGTACAACACCATGTGAGTGCACGGCCTCCTGTTTAGCATTATTGTTACAAGGATCCACCACAGCATGAAGTTTATCCGAGTAAAGAACAACACAATACGTGCTGGGCAAGAAGAGGGTGTATAATGGCTGGAAGCTCGGGAGCCAGTGGCAGGAGGCCAGACCCATTTGTTATATTTGAGTCCCTGAGACAGAGGTTAGTCAGAGTGGTCAAAGTGTGGCTTTACATACAAAATGTGAGCATACCTTTGTTCCATTGTCACCAGGCAAACCCCTCTCACCAACTCTCCCATGGTATCCAGGCATACCCTACAAGAGACAATTAAAGCAGATATCCATCAGCAACATTGCGCACACATCATAATCCTTACATTTGATACAGCGTCTTTCACATTAGGAGGACTTTTGTGACGTTCTCCTGAGGTCAAAGTGGGAGATTAGTTACACACCGCAAGTGTAGCTTTCGGAGTTGTAATGGTGAGAAAATAATGTATATGTTGTAGGCAAATCCGGCAGCTAATTTGCACATAGCAGTGTCCCACAAATAACCATTTATCCGGGGCACTGTTGGCTGGGACAACAGGAGAAACTCCCTTCTTTTTGAATAGTGCCATGGGATTTTTGACGTCCAACTTAACGGGCAGTCAGGACCTTGGTGTCAACAATGCAACACACCCCCAGCACCGTATTGGAGTGTCAGCTTACACTAAATGAGCTCAAAGTCCCGACGTGGTTCTTGAACCTTCTGACTCAAGAGACGAGAATGCTACCAACTGAGCCAGGCTGACAGGATACAATCTTACATTGACCTTTTCTGTGTCTGACTTCCTGACAATTTTCAGACCCGTGTGACTGAGCGCTCTCCCCTCTCAGTACTCCTGAGCTGCCAATGCAAATGCCAGGAACCCATGGATTTGTTTAGAAACACTTGAGATCCTCGCTGAATCTCTGATAGCTGCCTCAAGATACATCTGCAATTCCTACCTTGTGTGGGACTCAACCCACTCACTCCTGCACTGCCTCACTGACAGTCACTACAACACTTGTTACTTCACATCTTCTTTATTATCAATGTTTCTTCATCCCTTTTGTCAAGGTTTGTTTGGATAGCTCTTTTCAAAGACCCGGCACAGACACGATGGGCCAAATGGCCGCCTTCTGTGCTGTATAATTCTATGATTCTATGATCGTTTGTCTTTTGAGAATAGCTCAGCGTAAAAAGAAACATGCACCTCGATATGGTCAATCAGAGAGTGCGCAACCCTGTCTCTGCCACTGTCATATAGCGTTCGGAGTCAGTGACGATGAGAAAAGAATTACCATATCACCAGAGTCTCCTTTACATCCAGGAGGTCCAACACGTCCCAGTTTTCCCTGAATTCAACAACAACAAAAAGCAGAGTCATTTGGATTTCATTAATAATTCTGATCTCCCCACCAACACATACCAACGTATAGACCCCAGATCCCATTTATGTACACTTGCACACACTTACTTTCACTCTGCAATGCTTTTCCTATCCCCAAAAGTGCTGTGCCATCACAGTTTCAAAATTGAAACTCTTTGCCTGCAGCTTCAGTGAGTAATGATGTCTGGATTTCAGCCTCAACGTAAATTAACTTGTGGATCTTTACGGGAGATGTTGCAAAACATATTGTTTTGCCAATTTTTTCCACCCCCCTTTTCATTTCTCTCCTCTCTCCCGAGCAGCCGACATCTGAGTTGGGGGTGGGAGAAGGCGGGCGGGGGGGGATGTAGGAAGGGGAAAGATGACTGAAAGCGTGGTCAAAGAGGTACATTTTGAGACAGACTTGAATGAGGTGAGGGAGGGGGCGAGTTCGAGGGCTTGAGGACGGTGGGACAGGTTGTGGGGGGGTACATGAAACGGGTCGGTGTTCATTGTATAATCCTAATACTCATGTCATGCTCACCTCTGCCTTAAGGCCTTACCTTTTGTCCATTAATCCCATCCCGGCCTATTAATCCAACAATGCCCTATGGGTTACAAGGAATAACGCGTCAGAGAAATGTAATAGGTGTCGAAGCTTCAAAATGTTCAACTGGAGAGAAAGGAAACATCTTTACCTTCTTCCCTTCAGTTCCCAGTTCACCCTGCAATGGTTCAAAAAAAAGACAAGTTAATGGCAATATCCTCAACAGACGTAACTTCATTGGTTAGAAGGTTCCTGCGAGGTGGGCCACGGGAAGTGTCTGAAACACTGTAATTCTTCAGTGCGCCTCCACGTTGGCCCGAAACAAAAACAGCGACAACAACTTGCATTTTTACAGCAGCCTTCACCCAAGATAGCGTCTAGGAGTGCAGTGTAGGGGTTGGATGCCGAGCTAGAGAGAAGTCAGAGGGGAAGGTGACCATAGAAGTGGTCTTAAAGTGGGAATTAAAAGTAGATAAAGAAGGGAGAGGTGAAGGGATTGAAGCAAAGTGTTTCAGAGGTTACGGGTGTAGTGGCTGAAGGCTTTGCCATCGATGGTGGCATGGAGGGGTCAGGGGATGCCTATGTTAGCTGAACAGAGGGAGACAGATTAGGATATGAGCAGGTGATGGATGTGCGGAGTTTGGTTCAGATGAGGACACGAACGGCAGAGTTTCGGATGAGCTCGTGAATGGTGCATGCTGGTAAGAAGTGTGTTTGAGAAATAAAAACTGTTTAAGGCGGAGATAATAACTTGGATTTCTGACGTCACTTACCTTTTCACCTTTCATACCCCGGAAACCCTGCAACGAGACAGCAAGGAAACAAATATAAATTAACAGAGAGGCACACTGAATTCCAGAGACATAGAAATTGCAGCATTAAGAGGCAACTCGGGCCATTGAGGCTAACCTGGTGCTGGCTTCTCCACTACACCATCTGGTCCTAGATCCATATTCTTCTCTATACCCTTGGCTTACTCAGAAGGCACCAGATATCACTGGTACTACTTTTAGCTTGACTATATACCTCCAGAGTATTTCTCAAGACTAATTTGTCTTGAGAAATACTCTGGACGTACATAGTCAAGTCAACTAATTCTCAAGACCCTTCGGCCCATTTGATCTCATTTCTCCAGAATATTCACCCTACTGACCCACATCACAGCATCGAGTTCCTTTTTTTTACCTCAACCATCATTCCTGGTAACCTGTTCCAGTCGTTAATTACCCTCTAGGTAAATAACATCTTCCTAGTGTCTGATCTGAAATTACCCATAGTAACTCTAAGCCTGTGTCCTCTTGAACTACAGAATTGGTGCATCCTAATGTTATGCATCCGTGTTAGGATTTTTTTTCCCCCCAATCACATTAAAAATGTTATACGTGTCTATAAAGGTCTAATCTGAAACGACCACTTTCATAACTGGAAAAGAACACGCATTGAAGGCTTCTAAACTGATATGGCTGAGTGACAACAACAACAACTTGTGCTTATATATAGTCACATTTACATAGAGCAGTGACAGTTCCCTGAGGAATTGGAACTTACTTTGGGACCAGGGAAGCCAATCGGACCCTCAATGCCTGGATCGCCCTAGACAAAAGCCAAGCAAATAATTAGAAAGGAAGGAATGAGACAACAATACAGAAGATCATTCAAAATCTCAGTTTGAAATTATACTTACTTGCCGCCCAGGAGGTCCGGGGTCGCCAGAGATGCCGGACTGACCCTTTTCGCCCTATAAGAAAAAAATAATATTAATAATCTTTACATTTGATATAGTTCCTTTCACATGAAGAAGACAACAATAACTTATATATAGCGCCCTCCAGGCCGGCGTCCCAGAACGATTAAAAATGATGGAGCCCGATGCCGAGCCAGGCGGAGGGTGACCAGAGGCGCGGTCGAAGAGGTCTTCAGGCACAACCTGAATATGGGGAAAGAGGGGGCAAGGCAAAGGGATTGAGGGAGGGAGTTCCATAGCTTTGGGGTGTAATGACTGAAGGCAAGGCCGCCGATGGTTGAGCGGAGGTTTCGAGGGACAAGGAGGAGGCCAGAGTCAGTAGAGTGGAGGCAGTGGGTAGTGCTGTGAGGAGAGAGGAGGTTGGAGAGATAGGGGCTGCCAAGGCTTGGAGGGATTTAAACACTAGAGTGAGGATCTTGAAGTTGATCTGCTCTGTGACAGGGAGCCAATTGAGTTTGGCAAGACTTGGGGAAATCGGGGTGCTGAGTGTGGGTGAGAATTCGGGCGGCGGAGTTTGGATGAGTTTAGAATTTTGTGAATAGTGGAGGAGGGGAGACCAGTGAGGAGGTCATTTGAGTAATCCAGCCGAGAGGCAACGAAGGCATGGACAAGGGTCTTGGCAGCTTGTAGAGTGAGGTATTATCGGAGACGGGCAATGTGGCGGAGGTGGAGGAAGCGGTTTTGGTCAGGGACCAGATGTGGGGAAGGAAGGATAACTGGGGATGGAATCTGATGCCAAAGTTGTGCACGGGTTCAGAGTTTTAAGGATGGATCGGGTAGGTTGAGGAGGTCTGAACCGCACGACAGAAGATGTCGACAAAATCTATGGCTTCCGTTTTGACGTTTAACTGCAAGAAATTTGTGCTCATCCAGGCCTTGATGTCTATCAGACAAGCTGACAGAACATCAGAGGACTGGGGGTCGCAGCTGGAAGAGAAGTAGTGTTGAGTGTCATCCGCATACGTGTGGAAGTTAATCCTGTGTCTGCAGATGACATCTCTGAGAGGGAGCATATAGACGAGGAAGAGAACGGCTTCAAGGATGGAACCTTGGGGTACCCCGCAGGTGACTGGATGGGGGCGTCTCAAAGCGCTTTTTAAAATCCACTTTAAGGTGTATGTATTTCGTAGGCAAACACCAATTTGTACAGAGACAATGTCTGATAAACAGCCATGAAGTGAATCGCCAGTTTTATCTGGGGTGGGTGGGGAGTTATTGGCCAGGACACCAGGAGAAACTCCTTTCTCTGTTCAAATAGTTCCAAGGGATCTTTAACGTCTGAAGAGGCAAACGGGACCTTGGTTAAACATTGGATCTGAAGGATGGCACCTCTGACAATGCAGCAAACCCCAGCACTGCACTGGAGAGTCAGCCTGGAGCAGAGTGAGTTCAAACTCCTGACATGGGGCTTGAACCCTCAGCCTTCTGACTTCAAGGTGAGAGTGCAATGGCTGAGCCAGGCTGATACCAAAAAAAAGCATAATTGCACATTTTGCTTTCCATTTCTCCGCGTCTAGAGTCAAGTGCTGTAATGTCGCTGTTACTGTCTCCAATACAGCAACGCTGAAATCTCTCTTACCTTGCGCCCTTTGAACCCCTTTGGACCCAGAGTTCCAGGATATTCCAGGCACTTCATTTTGTAGCACTGAAAGTCAGAAAACTGGTGGTTATTGAGGTGATCACTTTACATTGGCAAGCCTCAGAGCATGTCTTTACCTTTAATGCTCACACATTCTCTGAACTAAGCAGTCAGGTCCTCACTGATTTCAACTTTGAAATCCACCTCCAGTTGGTAAGCTCAGTCATGACACTGATGATTTTATCAATCTATAATTCAGGCCTGGCTTATTATTTCAAACTGTACATTTTCCAAATAAAACATAATATTTTCATCAAATCGTAAGTTGTAATATAAAGGTCAGGCTTCCGAGACTGATGGAGTTAAGAGGAGTCTCCTGGGAGCTGAACTGACTTCAAGGTGATAGTTCGGCAACAGGGTGACAGAATTGTGCCACCCTCTGTGGTGGTCTTGGTTAGTTGTCCAGTCCCTGAGCCAGACAGGTCCGCAGTCTTTCAGGGTACTGCTATGACAGCACAGCCAGCCTGGCTCATCGGCAGGACTTGGAGGGACAGCTCAGTTAGTGGGGGCAGGGATTCTTTCCACTCACCTCTGTAAACCCCGCAAGCCAAAGCCCTAATGTCTTAGCTGGACAAGCAGCAGGAAAGCTTGCCAGGCAGTGCTTTCAATGGCAAGCTATGTGTATTTTAGCTGGTTGGACTCCAGCAGTAATCCACCACACACTCTAGGGACGTGAGTGTTGGCTTTTGACAATCTGTGCCGAATACTCCCTGAAATTAAGTAAGCAGGATGCATCTCTCCAGAAGAGAGTTCACATTCCATTCCAGACACGGGAAAATTTCCGTTTGCAGGTGGTGTACATAAAGCATAGTGATAGGTTTCTGCATGTGTCAGACACTCTGATGACTGAAAAAAATTATAATAATAATAATTGCATTCGATGTAGCATCTTTCACATCTGGAGGATGTCTGAAAGCACTTCACAGGATTTTAATGTAAGGTGTAGTGGCGAACATCCTGTCCGTTAAACAATTAGTTTCAATTAAATTTAGATTTTTAATTGGAAAGTCAAATTTTTATTTTATAGTCAATGCCAGCGTATTTTCTCACGAGCAATTGTTAGTACAGTATTTACAAATAATAATAATCCTTGCATTTGATATAGCGTTTTTCACGTCAGGAGGACGTCCCAAAGCGCTTCACAGAACACACTGTAAAGTGAATTGACTGTATATTTGTGGGCGAACGCGGCAGCCAATTGCGCACAGCAATGTCCCACAAACAGTTGTAGATTGAAAATGACCAATTTATTATTGTTTTTGGTTTTTGGAGGGATTATTATTAGGCGTGTGGAGTAAGGAAACTTGCCCAAGGTTTCGTCCTGCCTGGAATTGAACTCAGGTCTCTCACTTGCAAAGCGAGTGCTCTAACCACTGAGCTACAGGACTCCACGAATGACAAGTACAAGTATAAAAAAAACAAAAGTTCATTCCCCACTTTGAGCGAATAACGAACAATAGGGATAGAGAATCTCGTTATGAAAACAGCTCAGAGTTCAACATGCGGAGGAATGAAGAGCAGTAAGCAGGTGTAAAACACTTACATTATTGAAGGCTTTGGTTTGCTGAAACAAGAAACCAGATAAAAGTTATTCATTACGAGTGCTGCTGAACAAGATCACAGAGATCACACTTACAGATTGGCTTTGAACAGCCCAGTACTGAGGCAGGGCTCTAGACCAGCAATGCCCAACCTAGGGCTGGCTACAGCAGCCCCCGAACATTTGCACGAGTCTACGGAAGTCAGTCTGTGTTCGATCGGTCCTGTGTTTTTAGTTTTTCCTTGATTGAATATTTCTTGATTTGTGCCATAAATCGAGAAATATTTAATCAAAAATATTTATTTTGTTGATCGACCAAAAAGGTTGGCCACCAGTTCTCTAGACATTACTACAGTGTTGTTGCTATATGCAACCTATGGTTAGAACTTTCACCGGGGTCTGGATTTATCTATTAACACAGCATTTCAGAGTGTGCAGATTTTGACAATGTCTTAAATTGATTCCGTTTTAACTTTGAAGCCTGTTTTCGGTCGCTCTTAAAATAAACTTTTAAAACAGAAAACCAGCTTCAACATTTAAGATTTTATTTAACTATGTGACAAATTCTGAAAGACCTGAAATACCATTTTAGTAAAGGGGATCCAGACCCAGATGGAATTTCTCTCCACACATAATTATTTTTCACACAATTGAACAGTAAAATTACCTCCAAATATAATACCTGCAAATAATATTAATAGTCCTTGCATTTGATATAATTAAAATATGTAATTCAAAGTCAGTAATAACATAATAGTAATAATTCTCACATTGATAAAGTATCTTATCACATTGTTGAAACATATCGAAGCACTTCACAGTATGTATTGTAAAGTAGTGTAACAGTGTGCATTTGTGGGCAAACTCCTGCAAAATAAAATGTGACGTGCAAGTTATCTGGAGGTTTGCGGAGACAGTAATACAGTAACAATACGATGGTGGGGGAGGTCATTGGTCCATTGAGTCTGATCAATACCCTTTCAATGTCTCATCAGACTACTTCAATGCACCCATCTCTAAGCCTCACCTGTTGGAAGTATTTAAATATTCCCACCAGAATATAAAACAAACTACCTTCCCATTGCCGCATCGAGCTGTTTCTTGAACCAACCTGGCCTCTACTACTAAATTCACAAGATGTTTACCACATCAATAAACTGCCTTGGTGAGAAACTCCACTAGGGTCTATATTTACTGTACTTTAGATGAACACTAGGGATGGAGAATCCCATTAGAAAGACAGCTCCAAAGTCAACATAAATAAAATGTAAAATACTGCAGATGCTGGATATCTGAAACAAAAACAGAGATCGCTGGGAACACTCAGCAGGTCAGGCAGCATCTATGGAGAAGGGAAAGTGGGTCAAGGTTTCGGGTCCACAACCCTTCCTCAAAACCGAGTTGACCCACTTTATTTTCACCATATATGCTGCCTGACCTGCTGAGTGTTCCCAGCGATCTCTGTTTTTGTTCCAAATTCAACATATTGTTTTTATAATGGGATTCCCCATGACTCGTGTTCTATTGGAATAAATCTAAACCCTGATGGAAATTTTCACCAAGGCGGTTTATTGATGTGGTAAACACGTTGTGAAATTAGAATCATAGAATCATAGAATATTACAGCACAGAAGGAAGCCATTTGGCCCATCGTGCCCATGCTGGTGCTTTGGAAGAGCTACCCAATCAGTCCCACTAACCCGCTCTTTCCCCGTAACCCAGATTTAATGATAAGAGGCCAGGATGCCCACACGGGCTGGGTGGAAGTCGTTTAGAGAAGAGGTAGAGTGATGGTCTTTGGCGAGATGATCAATGAGTCAAGCACAGATACTTCCCTTCCCTTCCTAACACTCAGTAGAGCTGATTGATAACAGGACAGCTCTTCACAGAAAAAAAAAACATAGGCCTAATGTACCAACTCGTCTGTGAGACCCAATTTGCCTGATAACATTAAAAGCACGCATGATTGTGGAAATATGTTTAACCTGTCTTCATCTGGAAGCCGTTTTTCCACAGCTCTTGAGAAGAAATGGCTTCCAAATTGAAGAGTTCTCCCCAGAGCCGTCTCGTGGGCCAAAACTAGGCCCATGAGACTGTTCTGGGGAGAATTTTTCAATTTAAACGTAGGACCTCTAATGAAATGTGGAGATGGTTTGTATGACGGGAGTTGGAAGGAAAACACAGGCAAGGAGCACTCACCATGACTTTAATGATTCGATCTATGGTCTGTTCGGGCTTCGACGGATCTGCCAGGGATGATGCCTTGTAATCATTTCGGTAGAGCTCGTGGGGTAAGTTAGCGATGGTCTTCAAACCTTGTTCGTACTTGTTGTCGTCCGTGGAGATGGAAAACACATGGATGCCGGCGTCCCTGGCCCGTTCTGCCATGAGCTGCATCCCTCCGCAGGGGCTCCCGGTCACATGGCCGTCCGTGATGACCACGGCAAAGTTCATGCGTGTATCCTGCCCCATGTGCTGCAACACGTTTGCAGTCATGTTCCCGAGGGCGCAATCCGTGAAGGTCCCGCGGCCGATGTACCTGATTTGCGTGAGTTTGTTGAGAAATTCCCTTTTGTTGGAGGTGATAGGGCTGAACTCGATCACTTGGTCAGAGAAGTGTAGGCCCCCGAACTGCCAGAGTAACTGGACCCGGTCCTTGAAGACTGCATCCTGCAACTTCTCCACAATGTTCTTGGTGAAGGTTTTCTCGAGATCAACCAGGCTGCCTTGGATTCCGAACTGCAGAGCCACACTCTCAGAGGTGTCGATGACAAAGTACACATTCACCAAGCAATCAGGCTTCGCTGGAACACAACCCAGATTGGAAAGGATAGGATTACTGTTCAGCATCGATGTGGTGCAATAATAATAATATTTGCCTTTAATTTAGCACCTTATCATGTAATGAAGACATCTTAAAGCACTTGACAGGATATACTGTAAAGTGAAGCGACTGAGTAGTTTGTGGGTGAAACACAGCACCTCATGTGCACTCTCACCTCTGAGTCAGAAGATTGTGGGTTCGAGCCCCACATTGGGACTTGAACTCACATCGTCTAAGCTGACACTCCAATGCAGTGCTGGAGTTGAAGGTGCCGTCCTTCGGATGAGACATTAAACTGCCTGTTCAGGTAGATGGAAGTTAAAAATCCCAAGGCACTATTCGAAAAAAGAAGGCAATTTCTCCCAGTGTCCTGGCCAACAATCCCCCAAATAAAATTGGTCATTCGTTTCATGGCTATTTGTGGGAGATTGTTTTGTGGGCTGCTGCATTGTCCTACAAAATATACAGTCACTACACTTTACAGTATATCCTGTAAGGCACTTCGAGATGTCCTCTTGACGTGAAAAACTTTATATCAAATGCAAGGATTATTATTATTGTTTCAAATACACAGAGTTATACAGATCCCAGAAACATTTTCCAAAAGGTTCTTGTTGCCCTACCTAAACATCCCCCTGAATTTGGGGGGGCCTGGGGCCCCGTGGTTCCAAGTCTTGGCTTCTCACAGAGCCCCCGAGGTTCCAAGCTATCAGGAGCAATGGCAACGCTTTCAGAAACATTTTCTACCTCAGGTCGGCAGCACCACCTGCTGGGAAGGGCAGAAACAGCAATATTAGATTTGTCAGAAGGCTGGAAATCGCGAGTTCACAAGATCGTAAGGGAGGTTCAGATGAAGACGATATTGCCAAATCTCCTATCAGGATCTTGTGCAGCAATGTGAGTTATTTTCATATTTTCCTCATCACCATCATTTAGATCTCTTCCCAGCCCAGGCTCTGATTCCAGGATTCTGTGACAAGCTTCTCTGAATGTGCCCACCCCTTCCCCCACCTCCTCCATCCTGACTCTCGAGCACTAACAGAAAGCACCCCTTGCCCTCCGTACTGTACCCAATCCCTCCTGCTCAATGAAAAAATAACTTGCTTTTATAGAGCACCTTCACATGTGGTTTGGGATGTAGTAGCTGGAAGCATGGCTTCCGATGATGGAGCGGAGGGGGCGAGGGACATGCAGACGCCTGAGCTAGTTGGGCAAGGTGGAGGGGGAGGGGGGCTAGAATAGTGGGGTGTAAGCAGGTGGAGAGGTAGTCAGGTGCCAGAGCATGAAGTAATTTGGAAGTGAGGGTAAGGATCTCGAAATCGATCCATTCTGCAACAGGGAGCCAGCAGAGCCTGGAGTGATGGAGGTGTGGAATTTGGTACAGGTTAGGTTACAGGTGGCTATGCACACTTGGAATTGTGTCCCAGAACTCAACTCAACACACACATGGCCAACTCCTGTTTAACTGATCCAGTTCCATTTCCAAACCATTCAGGATCCACCCGCCTACTGGGGAAATCCAGAGCAGTGCAAATAGGGTCAAAGGATGTGTGGTGGTGGTGGGGGCGGGGAGGGGGGGGGGAAGAGGCTGCCCAATATTGCAGAAGTTCCTTAACAACATTCTGTAAGCAATTAAACCTTGGCATGCCTCCCGAAGGTTGGTGTGAAGACAAGGTGTGATACATACATCCCGTTACTGGATGAAAGTTCACTTTCCCCCACCACCATCATGGATTTCTTAATTAAGAAATGGTTAAGAAATATTGCAAAATTGAAGTGAGTTTCTAGAGCAGAAGGGATTGGGTTATACAGTTGCAAGGTGGGGATGGGATCATGCAAGTCAGGCACAGGGCTAAAGATAGTCCCTCATAACCACTCGTTTGCCTACAAACACTCACTGTAAATTCCTGTGAAATGCCTTAACGGCATGATATCAATTGAAAAGATTGCCATCAGAGGTATCCTCTCTGTACCTGTATCAGATCTGGTTTGTTTTATTTTCAAGCAGAAAATAAAATGAATCTTTTTATGTGGCTGCATATAGCTATGGAGCTGGGTTGGGACAGGAAGAGGTGGGCACGGAGCAGAGACTCTGCTCTGTTTGCATTGTTAAACAGAGTCTCAATAACCTCTGCCTCGCTCTCTCCTTGCCCGTCTTCATATTGCATCTGAAGACTTTCCTCTTCGATTGTGTCTACGGTCACCTCCCCGTTTCCCCGGTTAGGCATCAAACTATGTGATTGTTAAGTGCTCCTTTTTTCTATGCAAGCTGCTATTGTTGTTACAGGAAACCATTATTAATTAATTTCAATTACATGCCACATGCACTTAATAAATAAGGTTGATTTACACTGGACATTTATTTGGTCACACAAGCTTTCATTAAATGTCTTCTCAGCCATTGGGTTCTGATTGAAAGGAATAAGCAACCTCAAATATTCCACATGACGCAAAGGTTAGCAAATGCAAACCCTTAACCTTTCTTGCGCCAGCAGCAAGCATTCACATCAGGCGATGTCTTGCCTTGCTTCTGACCAACACAAGTCAACATTCCCAATCCCCAGCCAAGATCCCAAACCTGAAGTTCCTTGGTGGCTACAGGCCAGATTTTCAATAGCCCCACGCTATCCTGTCCACCTTCCTCCAGGTGTGTTTTGATACCTGCCAGGGCATTTTCCTGAGCAATAATACAATTATTGCAATGCATTCAGGCTTCAAACCTAGAAATGTGCCCTCTACTGCACCAGTGAGGTATTTCTCACATTTCCCACACCTGTAGCTCAAGCTCGCACCCTGGTTCCACCATCCAAAACCTCCATCTGATACCAAACTCCGCAACCCACATCAACCTCTACAGGCCCATCACCCCAGCCCTCGCCAGGCTCCACTCTCAATGCATGGACTTCAAAGTCCTTATCCTCGCCTGAAAATGCCTTCACACCCCGGCACCTCCCTATCTCTGTGATCTTCTCCTTCCCCACTCTGCTGCTCACCCTCCCTTGGTCATGAGAGGGAGAGAGATAATAATAACCAACCAATACTTCCATTTGCTAAATGAAAACTTGCTATAGGAGCCAAGTGCTTCCAATACACCAACAGAGCAATGATGACTAAGTCACCAAGAAATTTACAGTGCAGAAGGAGACCATTCAGCCCATCGAGTCTGCACCGCTTCTCAGAGCAAGCTATCCATTCAAACCCACTCCCCCGCCATATCCTCATACCTCCTTCAAACCGTTGCTTTTCACATATTTGTCCACTTCCTTACTGAAACCCACACACAGTTCCTGCGCAGGCAGGTAGCCACCCGCTGCTCAGTTGTCCATCCAGCATCGTCAAACGCTTTGAGGTGTCCTCCCGACGTGAAAGGTATAAATGTGAATTGTCGAGTGCCAGATTGGAGCACGTTGTTAAGAATTTAGTCTTAACTTATCAGCAAAATTATGGCCATATTTAAGAACTTGTCAAATTCTGGATACTCTGAAATGCCACAAAACATGAGTAAAACTGGATCCAGGTACAATTTCTCTCCTTATTGTCACTCCGGGTGTATTACTGGATGGATCCATGCAAATCCACGCTCAGATCCTCATTTTCAAAAGGGACTGGTGGCAATTCCACATACAGCAGGGCGGGGCAGGGACAGGAGAAAGGAGTACTATTGGAGGTCAGTGGACTCTGATGTCATGCTAACAACTGATCAATGGATTTGCAGTGAAATAACAGCAGCCTTACTGTTACACCAACTAGTGTTAACCTCAAAGGGTTAAAAAAATGTCCTTGGATCTTATATTGCGGAGAAAGAACATTAGGGGGCGTAAAGTTGACAAGAAACACCCCTGTAGCTCATTACTCCACCCCATCCCCAAAAATAATCTAAGCCTAAATATTTGCTTTTTGTAAATCTCTGCAGGATATGTTATAGAGGTGCGAGTGTTCGGTATCTCATAGCTTTAGTGATTCATGAGTCTCATTCATAAGCCCTAGGATGTATTCACCAGCAAGTTATTATTTGGAGTCAATGAGTCTTCAGTATTTAACCCATTTAAATCAAAAACATGTTAAGCTTTTCCTCCCCGTGCCAGGCCTGCAGGAATTCGACAGGACTGTTGTGTGTGACTGATAAGTCCACAGCCAGTTCCACACCATGAAACAGCACCTTCCAGGGCCCAGAAATTCCCCTCCCCCATCCCGACCCAAATTTACCCCCAAATCCAAAATGAATCGGTTGCTCATTCGCTTGCCACGTACGAAGGACGGAATAGTTTAAGGGACTTTAACAGAACAGTTATGGTTTACTCTGAGCCAAAAGCAATTTAGCTGACCATTTCTGCCAACACTTACAACAGCAGCAGAACATTTCGATGATCGCTTTACGATTGGGCATGCGCTCTCTACCTGCGCTGAAACAGTTAACTCGCCTTACAAGGGAGCAAGGGAATGGGTAGAGCGAAAACTGGAATTTCAGAGTTTGAACATTCTTCAGCAAAATAAATCTTGCTTCTAATCATCGTACGCAGCATGATTATGATTTATTATATTATTATATCAACACAACAAAACAGTGCCCCACGGAGCGCTCCAGACGTTAGTCACTGCAGTGGCTGAAGACTAATTTGTGCTCAAGACATCTCAACTGGAACTGGAGAATTAGCTCTTAAGAGTTAAGAGCAAAGAGTAAGAGAACTCATTTAAGAACCACAACTTGATATAAAAGCTGCTTTGCGACTCTTGCAATTTTGTAGTCATGAGCCCCAAATTGGATTTCTTCCCCCCCCCCACCCCTAAAAATAAGTCTCAAACTCTTTGGAAAACTTTAAGCCAAACTTTTATCGACTCTGCAAAACACAGCCCTGTGTTAAACGTTACCATTCATTACCTGCTCGATCCTTGATATCTGTTCGCTGATCTTCTGCCTGATTCAAACCACAGGGGGAAGGGAGCTCTCTGTCCAGAGAGGAAAATAAGTCTTGTTTTAGAAGATCGGGCTTGGGATGCTTTGCCTGGTCCACTGGAAATGGGAATGAAGGATAAAAAGGACGGGATGGGGGTGGTGGGGGGAAATGGAAATAGGGAAAAAGGAATAGTTTCCCTGAAAAAAAGAGAGACGCGTCCAGCCTGGAATCAGGCGTCTCTAGACTAGGAGGACTTTGCAAAGCAGACTCCGCCTAACTGCTGCCCAGATCCAACTCTATCCCCAAACTTTCCTCTAATTCCACCAGCTGTACTCCTCTCAAACCCCCCTCTGAGGGTCCCCTTGTATTTCCGACTTGTACACAATAAGTGGCGCTGTTTCCCCACTAAATTTCACCCCCCCCCACCCACCCACCCATCCATCCATCCATCCATCAACCAGACATCAACCACCCATCCAATTGACCAACAAAGCTCTACCTCCTCCACCCTCACTCAATCAATCAATCAATCAATCAACCAGACTCTCAGACCTTGTTCAGTAGAACATTGCCCTTCGTTTCGCGGGGCACTGATCGCTGGCTTCCTCTGGCAAATCTTGCAGGATAGCATTCGTCATCGCTGAAGTTTGCGCTTGGGGAGCGAGGTGAAAGGGCGCTGTATAAATGCAATTTGTTGTTGCTGTTGTTGTTATTGTTGAGCTGTGGAATTTTATCCCGACGGCTTTCTGTGTCAGGAGGACACCTCAAATCAATTCACAGGACTTACTGCAAATTGTATTTGGTTTTTCTACCAATACTGCACTTTACAGTGAATCATGTGAAGCGCCTTCAGACGTCCTCTAAGGCATGAAAGGTGCTGTATCAAATGTGAGGATTATTATTATCACCTAGTGTACGGTTAGGGACAATAAATAGTAATCTTAGAATTTGATAAAGTGCCTTATCACACCAAAAACAGCAAACAAATGTTTGCCTAAAAAAAATACATTTTACAGAATATCCTGTGAGGCGCTTTAAGATGATCTCCTGATATGGAAGGCACTATATCAAAAGGAATGATTATTATTGTTATTATTTATCTAAAAGCTCTTCACATCAATTATTGTTAAGTGGAGTGGTGTTGTATTGTTGGAGGTGTCTTCCTTTAGATGACACATTAAACTGAAGTCCTGACTGCCTGTACATTAAAGTGTATTGGAGTGTTAGTCTAGTCTATATGAATTCCAGGTCCTGATAGGGGGCCTGAACCCGCAACCTTTTGTCTCTGAGGAAGAGTGCTACCAACTGAGTCATGTTGACTGATGCAGTGTGCAGCCTTCCCTTGAGTGTTCAATGCCCTTCCGCCCGCAGCTCACCCCAACGCTCCCCCAACGAGGGAAGGCGGGTCTTAAAGGGGAAGAATTCATACACTGAGCATTTGGGTTGCGAAGGGATTGTTGGCCTCCAACTCTACTCAACATCATTAGAATAGTTTATAAAGCTATTGGACCTTGTGTCTTTTGTACAGACTGGCTGGCGACAACGCAATATTTAACAACAGGAATACCATCAGAAGATTTTGTTTTTTCCCTAAAATTAGATTTGAGAAAGAAATCCGTACTCACATTGAATTGTTTGGTGCTGAATTGAGCGTCTCATTAGCTCAGTAACTCAAACCAGTCGTTCAGGCTGCACAGAGAAGCTCGTGTTTTCAATTAGCCTGGCATTTCCCCCAGAAGAAAGGGACAACAGCAATGTGGCCTGCTTTTTAATGATGTAATGCAAAGCAAAAAAAAAGTCACATTAATCTTTTAAAGACCATCACATCAATCCCGAAGCATATTTCCAAAGTGGAACGTTTGAGCTTCCTGCTTCTTGTGGGAGGTGGGGGGATATTTAAAATAGGAGGTGAAATGGTGGAAAGGCACATGGATATGGTGGTTAGACGGAGGTGATCAGGTGAACAGGCAGATGGACCTCAGTTTGTCACATCCAAAGGACGGCACCTCCTACAATGCAGGACACCCTTAACACTGTATTGGAGTTCACTCCCAACATTCTCCTTAATGAGGGAAGGCAACACAGTGGCATATAAATGGTCTGTGGTGGAGTGGGTTGAATGGCAATCAATATCCTCCCATGTTCCGTTATCTTTGGGTCATTTTCAGTCAGAATGTCTGAAGGAATTCTATTATAGAAAGAAAAGAAAGTCATATAGATTAGGCTGCCACTCCAGTACACTGCTGGGGGGTGCTGCGCTGTCAGTGACTCTTTCCTTTGAATGAGATGAAGATGTTAAACTGAGGTCCTGTCTGCCCACTCAGGCGGATGTTAAAAATCCCGTGGAAGAGATTTTAAAAGAGAAGGGAGTTACTCCTGGTGCCCTGTCCAAAATCCCACAGATAAAATTGGTCATTCAATTGGTCACAAACATGGTTGTTTTTTTGGGCATAGCTGTAATCTTTAACATGCAGACAGTCAGAAAGATACCTCCAACAATGGAACGCCATTCCAGCACTGCACTGGGGTGTTAACATAGACTATGTGAGTTCAAAGTCCCAATGGTGGGACTTGTAATCACAACCTTCTGATTCAGAGGCAAGAGTGTTACCAACTGAGCCAAGTTGGTACTCTTGTGAGGGGGAGGAGGTAGTGAAGGTAAAATAATACCAGATATAATTAGTTTGGTCACAGCTAGTGACACTCTCCTCTTGAAAACTGAGAACTTGACATGAAAGCTGTAAAGATGACATTTCTCCTGCTCAATATTAAATACTTCTTCGCGTTGCATGTCCCAACTCCCCACTTGGCAACTGAAACCTTCAATGAAAGAAAAAACATATGAACAAAGAGGGGAAAAAAATTCTGAGGGAATGGTTAAATTGTGCCAGGATTATTAACGTACCACAAGAAATCAGAGAACACAAGAAAGGCACTCCTTGGCTGAAAGTCAAGGCATTTGAGAACCCAGAAATAGTCCCAAATGGGAACAGTGGTACTGGTGAGACTGTGGGAATGGTAGATGATGACTCAGATCAAAGCCTGGGCTGGTGCTGAGTACTGATCTTAATAGTAACATTTACATTTTATACAGCAACTTTCACATCAGGAGGACGTCTCAAAGCGCTTCACAGGATATACTATACACAAAATATAGCAGCCAATTTACACATAGCAGTGTCCCACACCAGCCATGAAGTGAATGATTAATTTTATCTGGGGGATTGTCAGTCAGGATACCAGGATGATCTCCCTTCTCTTTTCAAATAGTGCCATGGGATCCTTGACATCCACCATACCATGTATAGGTGGGATGCATGGAATTCTCAGTTTGATTTGGATACTCTCAAGCATGGTGATAGATATCTAACTTAACAAAAAATAACACACACATCCAGACACGACCTTGGTTTAATGTCTCATCCAAAGGATGGCACCTCTGAATCACCAACACTGCACTGGAGTGTCAGCTTCGATTACATGAATTAAAGTCCTGAAGTGGGGCATGAAACCACAAACCTTCTGACTCAGAGGCAAAAGTGCCAGGCTGTCACACGGTGGTGAGGTAGTGGATATCACTGGTAGTGGAAAGGTTGGGATGAAAAAGAGAAAAACACGCTTAATATTTTGAAAGAGAGGCTACAACATGAAATATGTAAAGGAGGTTCAACATGAAGCAAAATCCCTGTGAAAAAGTGGGTGAGTTTTTTGACCTACTTAATAGGAAAATAACATCCTTCTGTATGTGCAGACATTGCTACTGTCTAAGTGTTTGCTGGCTTGACGCAGTATTTCTTTGGGAGATTTCCAGGCCTTGTTACAGTTAAATAAATATCTTTCACCATCTTTCCTACATATAAAAGGCTCCACTAGTTTAGCTTGTTGATTGAGGGCCAATTTTAGAGACACTAAAACTTACCTTTGTTCCAGATTAGTAAGACCTTCATCTCAAATCTCTCTTGGCCTTTCACTTCTCATTTGGGTCTAAGCATTAAAGTTTTTACTGTGAAAAACTAAAAGCTCACTAGATTGGATCTACTCATCCTCTTGGTGTTGCAACAAGAGTTAAAGCCAGATTTCGGGAAATAACAACCAAATGGTATCCTGTCCATCTGTTTCTAGCTTCTGAAAAACAACTAATACCACTGTCAATTTAGGTCAGTTATCTTGTTCTCTACCAGTAAGTAAAAGCAAGGTACAATGCTTGGCTGCTTGTGGGACATTGCAGCGTGCAAATTGGCTGCCACTTCACCTGCAAAAAATAGTCAAATACGCAGGTTAAGCGGTCGCCCAGCTTTAGGTTGTGGTCTATCGCTCTGTAGATAAGCAGGCCCTTGTTGATAGGTGAGGCCAATTAATGGAAAAGTAGAAGCCTTCGATCCCTGTAAACACTTTCATAGCAATGCTGGAACGTCTCATGCAATATAAGAAAGGAAATATTTTCCAGCAGGTGGAAAGATGAGTGACTTGGATAGGAGCGTGGGATATTTAAAAGGTTGATCATAACAAGGTATGACGATGCAAGCGTCTGTCTAGCACTCTTGCCTCTGAGTCAAAGGCTGGTTCAAGCTGACACTCCAATGCAGTGCTGGATGTATGCTGCATTGTGAGAGGTGCTGTACTTTGGATGAGACTTTAAACCAAAGTTCTGCCTGCCTGTTCAGGTGGACAATAAAGATTCCATGGCACTGTTCAAAAGAGAAGGGAGTTTCTCCCGTTTTCCTGGCCAACAATCTTCCAGCTTAACTCGGTCACTTCATGGCTATTTGTGGGTACATTGCTGCGTGCAAATGGCTGCTCTGTTTCACAAAACACACAGTCACTACACTTGACAACGAATCCTGTGAATCAATTGGATACCTGCTCAATATAAGAATTATATGTTGTTACAGCTTGAAAGATCAGAGCAGAATCATTTCAAACTCCCCATAGATAAGTTTGTACGAATCTTCAGAAGGACAGCCCAAACTGCACCAAGCCTCCCCCACCCACCACCACCTGAACAACATGTAGACCCGGATCAAAGGCTCCTGTTGGAAACCAGCATGGGCTGAATGCAACCTTGTGCCGCCTAGTCTCCCCAGCTCTCAAATTCAATGAACAACTTTCACTTTCCAGGAAAAATGTTTTGTTAACCTCGCTTTACAGTGATCGGGGGAATACCATTTCCCATTGTTTCGAATTGACTCACAACTTGTTTGTAAATTTTAGTACATTGCTCTCTCGATA